CTAAAATAAAAAGGTAGATTAGCTTATATAATAACTCCTTTCTATTAATAATATTAATTATATATTCTATATTTATAAATATAAGTAATTCCTTTACTATTTATTCTAAAAAAACAATTTTAAATTTGTCTAGTTCTAGTAAGAAGTCAACTTCAAAGTCTTCCTCAATCAGCTCCCTATCACTATTTAGTTATTTATCTTTTCTTCCTAAGATAATAATTATATATATAATATAAAGTTTACCCTCTTCCTAGAAAAATATCTTCATAAACTAAGCAGCATTTTCATTTATTATAGCATTAAACTACTAATAATCTATTACTACTACTACTATAATTCCTAAATCCCATATACCTAAGTAGCCAATCAAGATATCAGAAGCATTCACCCCTCTCTCTAATCCAAAACAGAAAACTACAACATCTCTCAATTCCCCTCTACAATTAATTAATTCTACCCAGATCCTATACACCCCTTAAACTCTAAGCTATCTCCTATTAATACTTAACAGCTCTAGATTATTAAATTTTTATATATACTTAAATATATATTACTATACAAAATCTATTAATATAATATTTATTATAGCCCTAATATCTAAATCTACTTTAATTTTAACCTATTTCTTCTTACCTTTCCCTTAGAGTCTTATTTTAGTTAATATAACTATATAAAGGGACTTCCTAAATAGGTTTAATTAGGGTAGTTTTTCTACTATAATAAACTAAGTTAGGTATCCTACTATATAGATTTATTTCCTAACTTATTTATACTAAAGTCCTATAAGTATTCTAACTAGTTATTAAAGTTAAATATACCTATTATACCTTTTATAGCTAGTTCTTTATAATTATATTTATAATAGCTCTTTTTATTATAATTAAAATAGGTAATATAGTTAGCATTTAGTCTCCTTATACTTTATATATATCATCCCCTAATACCTCTATTTTAAAAGTCTTATAACTTCCCTCTACTAATTTAGCTTAAGGCCTCTTCTTAATCTCTTACTTATTTATAAAATAGCTAGCCAGAGTCTAATTACTCTTAGTAAGGGTGTTAAAGGTTACTATAAGTTAAGTTAGCTCTATCTTACTTTACACTCCTCTTCTATTTTTCTACCCATTTAATATAATATTACTCTACCCTTAGCTACTATATACAAGCTTCTAATAGGACTTCCTTATAGTTAGCAACTATCTTAAGGAAGATCTTAATTACATTACCTAAGGGTTTATTAAAGTATTTCCATAAGTCAAATACATCCATATTATCTCCTTTCTTCAAAAGTTCTCTAACTATACTACAAAGCCTCTACTATTCAATAGCAAATTTAATTAGATATCTACTTAACTATTATAGTTCTTCTAGCTTAAGTTAAACTTTAAATATATACTATTTAAAATCATAGTATAACCCTTCTATAAAGGTAAACAGGTCTTCTAGAATAACTTTCTCTACACCTAACTAATCAGCATAAGTTCTCTATTCTAAACAGAGGTTATTACTAACCTTTTATAAAGCCTATTAGATATAAGTTTACTAATTAACCTTCTTCTTAATAATTTAATTACTTTCTTAGATAGTAAGTTTCTAGTCCTAAACCTTTATAGTAGTAAATTTCTATATAAATAGTTTTATAATATATACTAGGCCCCTTAGGGCTATATACAACATTTTATTTAAGTTAAGCTTAGATTTAACTAATTTTTGAAGGAGGTCTTCTCTACCTTATATTTATTCAATTTCCCTTTACAGCTCCTAGTTTTTAGCTTATAATTTATCCTTTATAAGTAAGTATATATATTCTATCCCTTCTATAGAGAATGCTTGCTATATAGTTAGTAATTAGTTGCTATGTTTATTTAGATTATCTATTTTCTATACTTCTAAGAGTTTAGAACTTTTAGATAGAGTCTATTCTTTAGGAATAGCTTTTTAGGCTAGGATATATCTAGTAATTCTTAGTAATATAGTCTTAGTTTAAGCTTAGTATAGCTATAGAAGTTAAAGAATTATAAGGATATACTATATATAGCTTAAGGAAAGGCTAGTATTACTTAGAATTATATTTAACTAAAAGTCAATTAAATATATAAACTTTAACTTACTTCCTGGATTCCTTGTGTGCTATATAAGCCCCCTTTTCTCTAACCATGCTCTGACTAAGCTCCGCAGCTGAGTCATCCTAGCAGCAAGTCCTATAATACAGTGTACTCTCGCTTATACCTTACATATTTATTATAGTTTTAATATCTAAATCTATTTTAATTTTAATTTATTTCTTTTTACTTTTCTTTTAAAGTTTTATTTTAGCTAATATAACTATATAAAGAAATTTCCTAAATAAGCTTAACTAAAATAATTTTTCTATTATAATAAACTAAATTAAATATCTTATTATATAAATTTATTTTTTAATTTATCTATATTAAAATCTTATAAATATTTTAACTAGTTATTAAAGTTAAATATATTTACTATATTTTTTATAATTAGTTTTTTATAATTATATTTATAATAATTCTTTTTATTATAATTAAAGTAAATAATATAATTAATATTTAATCTTTTTATACTTTATATATATTATCTTCTAATACCTTTATTTTAAAAATCTTATAACTTCCCTCTATTAGTTTAACTTAAAGCTTTATTTTAATCTTTTACTTATTTATAAAATAGCTAGCTAAAATCTAATTACTTTTAATAAAAATATTAAAAATTACTATAAGTTAAATTAACTTTATTTTACTTTATATTCCTCTTCTATTTTTCTATTTATTTAATATAATATTACTTTATTCTTAGCTATTATATATAAACTTCTAATAAAATTTTTTTATAGTTAGTAATTATTTTAAAGAAGGTTTTAATTATATTATCTAAAAGTTTATTAAAGTATTTTTATAAATTAAATATATTTATATTATTTTTTTTAAAGGTTTTCTAATTATATTATAAAGTTTCTACTATTTAATAGTAAATTTAATTAAATATCTATTTAACTATTATAATTTTTTTAATTTAAATTAAACTTTAAATATATATTATTTAAAGTTATAATATAACCTTTTTATAAAAGTAAATAAGTCTTTTAAAGTAATCTTTTTTATATTTAATTAGTTAATATAAGTTTTCTATTCTAAATAGAAATTATTATTAATTTTTTATAGAGCTTATTAAATATAGATTTACTAATTAATTTTCTTCTTAATAATTTAATTACTTTCCTAAATAATAAGCTTTTAATTTTAAACTTTTATAATAATAAGTTTCTATATAAGTAGTTTTATAGTATATATTAAATCTTTTAAAGCTATATATAATATTTTATTTAAGTTAAATTTAGATTTAATTAATTTTTAAAGGAAGTCTTTTTTATTTTATATTTATTTAATTTCCTTTTAAAGTTTTTAGTTTTTAGTTTATAATTTATTTTTTATAAGTAAATATATATATTCTATTTCTTCTATAGAAAGTACTTACTATATAGTTAGTAATTAATTATTATATTTATTTAGATTATTTATTTTCTATATCTTTAAAAGTTTAGAGTTTTTAGATAGTATCTATTTTTTAAAAGTAATTTCTTAAGCTAGGATATATTTAATAATTTTTAGTAGTATAGTCTTAGTTTAAGCTTAGTATAATTATAGAAGTTAAAGAATTATAAGGATATATTATATATAGCTTAAGGAAAGGCTAGTATTACTAAGAATTATATTTTTAAAAATCAATTAATAATATAAACTTTAACTTGCTTTTTAGATTTCCTTGTGTGCTGTAAGAACTTCTTTTTTCTCTAATTATGGTCTGACTAGGCTCTACAGCTAAGTTATCCTAGTAGTAAGTCCTATACTATAGTGTCCTCTTACTTATACTTTATATCTAAAATATAAACTCTATATATTTTTTAAATTATAAGTAAATTATAATTACTTTATATTACTTTATAGATATTTACTATATATAGTAATTATTTTTTTAAATAAAAAGGAGAACTAATATTTTATTAATCTAAATAATATATTTTTAATCTTTAAAAATTTAGTTTTTCTATTTTAGATATTATTTTAACTATATTTTCTTTATTACTAGTATTAATTTAAGCTTTATTATTAGTTTTACTTTATAAAACCTTATAAATTTAAAAATTATATAAATTATTAATATAAAAATATTATATTCTAATTTTCTAAAGAAGCTAGAGAAGTTAATATAAAAAAGAATATAATTATTTTTAGAAGATTATATTTTTTAAAGTAGTTAATTAATAACTTTATCTATTTTTTTTAAGTAGTTAGAATATAGGGTATTTATAAGATATTTATTTTTAATAACTAAAAGTTTTTAGTTTAGATTAAATCTATATTTAATAGCTTGTATATAGATATTATTTATTGTTTATATTAAAATTCCTAGTTAGGATGTAATTTAGGTAGTAGTTTTACTTCTAAAGGGGGTTTTTAATATGATAATAAGGGCTTGTATAGCTAGATCTGTATTTAAGCTGTGTGGTAGTATCTTTGAAAAAGTGAAAATAGTTAATATTATTTTTTTTAAAAAAGTTAAAAAAAAGTATATATATATATTTTAATTTTTATAATAGGAATAAATTTAAAAATATATTATTTAATTATATAGAATTGTATATATAATTATAAAGAAATATATATTTATAGGGGGAGGGGTTTTTGGTAATGACTTTTTGTAGTGACCTTTGTATTTCGTGATATATAATACAGAGTTTGTGATCTTGTGTAACCATGCAACCATGCTCATCCTCATCATGCCTAGACCCATCCCGGTCATCTAAAGCGGGTATAATCGGTCTACTGTAGTGTACATTGCTCCTGTAAGTCCTGTCATCCCTCCCCTTGGCCCATGTTCCATGTTCCAAATGCCAAATCCAGCAATTTAGCATTTGTAATGGTTCGGCTCCCCGAAATTGGTACGCTCCGTTCGACGCTCTTGCGTCACTTCTGGCTCCGTCAGCATCATGTCGCCATTTTCTCCTGTGTTCTGGCCTGTTCTTCCCGCTTCTCAATCTCCGCGAGGGCCTCTTCCTCCCGGATCAGTTGAACCATTGCTTTCGCCTTGGCGAGATTGTCGATCTTGATCTTATTCAGCTTGGATATAAGCTCACCCCGCACTTCTCTCAAGTTCTGGACGTACGTGGCCCTGCCGTCCCCGAGCAAGAGGTCCATCTCGGGGCCGGACAGTTTCCTCCGTTTGCTCTCCTCCCGAGCCAAGGCACCCATCATCCTCTCCCACCTATCCTCGGTGTATACGTCCGGTATCAGGACATTTGGGATCTTTGATATCAGTTCCGCATAGAGCTGTATTTTTTTATTGAAACTTTGTATTTTGCCGGACAACCTCGGCGGTTGCTTTCCCTTAGTTATGCGGAGAAACGGCACGCCAAAAGACGAAGCGGCAAGATAGGGGATCTTTCGGTCCCCCTTGAGAGCCGACTTTGGAAGCGGCCGTACCGTAGCCTTGTATACTGGTCGCTCCCTGGGATTATTCGTCACGGGTGGCAGGCGGGTAAGGAGAGGAATGGATGGCCGTTTTGGAGGTTCGACCCGCGGCGGTCGACTGTTGTAAGCGTGCACTCGGTCTTTGACCTCATTAAGAATAGATTCGTATTCAGGCGACGTGGTAACCTTTGCCTTGCCAAAGAGCGCGAGAAACTAGTCGGCGGGGGTAACATGAAGTCAGTCTTCTTTGAAAGATTCCGTGGTCTTGTCACAAGATTCCCTCCCGATTTTTTTTTTCCTACCTTGTACCCTGCGCTCAGTCCCGCGTACACTAAGCGCGGACTAGTATCTGCTCTGTTCTTGCGGAACTGCCTCCTAAGGGCGGCCCGGATCGGGTGCTTGCCGTTGAAGGTGAGCTCCGGGGGGAGAGGGATCTCTCGGGCGGAGCGCAAGAGCGCCCGGTAGAGGGCGAGGCAAGCGAAGCGGTGCTGCGAGTTTTTGGCGGGAATAAGGATCGGCATAGTCGTTGGGTTTCCTCGCAGGATCAGGCGCTTCCGGTAAATGGGAGCGAGTAAGAGCACCGGTCGCTTGCTGCCTGAGGGAGGGCCTCATTAAGTGTTTTATTCTCCCAACATCGCCGGGACGAGAATGCGTGAAGCTGGTGAATCCACACGCACGCGATGGTTGGATTTTCGATGGGGGTGTAGGGTGACTAAGCATGCGACTCAATTTCGACGACACTGAACCCTTCTAACTTCCCCAGAATTTATTTTTCTTTCATCTTTTTACTGATAAATTAACCTCTTGAAGCTTCAAAAGAAATCGGGGAAATTTTTGAAATAAGAGCTAATCGTCTCTACGTCGATAAGAGCCTGAGTTCCGAAGATTAGGACGAGCGGAAAGGAATTGAAGAAAGAGGAAAGGCTCGCTCGTTTTGCTCCCCCGATGAAATCGATTCATCCCCACAAGCCCCCCCCCCCCTCCCCCGCCCGAAACTCTATCCCAACATCTCCACCCAAGCTGGGGTCGTAAATTTGGTCGTCTTTTTCGCAGAGAAGCTCTCTGACAGTGGACTTCCCTCGGTTTAGTCAAGATCACAGGACTGACGGGGAGACTGAATTTATCTAGCTTCTTTGCCGAGTCGCATATCCCCGACCACTTGCATGCCACGCCACAGTTTAAAAATGGACCTGTCTCACTCGATTCGCCCAGCTCCCCCAACAAATGTCTCAGGCCCCGAGAGGGAGGGGACCAATAGCCACCTGTGGCTGGTTGGTCTTGTTCAGGTATGTTGGACGACAACTCAGGCGGTCACCTAGGATGGTTTTCAACCCAATCAGCTCGTGGTGGTGACATGCCTCGACGAGATGTAATCAAATTCGACCCTCTTTTCTGTCAAGGCGGCGTCTTGGCGAGTCTTCATACCAAAGTGCTGTCATGAGCACTCACGGAACCTGGCCTGATTTTGCAACTGACAAAAAATGCTGCTGATGGGGAAATATACTTGCCGGGAATCAAAAAAATTACATGGAGAAGAGGAACTGGAAACCGTCCCACTGGGGGGTTGCGAATAGTGTCCTAAAGAGGCAAGGCATCACGACCCCTCCGAGACTACTTCGGAGATCAGATGATTGAATCTTCGTCTTCATTTTCATCTTCATCCGGGACCGAGGGCGCAACCCACCTCTACGGGCATGCCCCGAAATCTTGGGTCATAAATTTACTCTAGCCCATCTGCATCAAGAGTAATGTCCTGCAAATGAACGGCAAGATGTCCTACATCAGGGCACCCTTATTTCAGCCCTACTGACCTGGCAGGCGACCGCGCCACCATAAACACTTGCACCGCCTACTTCGTAGTTGCCCCAAACACCTGAAAAAGTCATGTTCTCTCCGTCTCATTGGGCAGGCCTCGACTCTTCTCCGGCTCTGTGACTCTATAACGCGTAGACTAGGCTAAAGCCATTGCTGCATCCCCATCGTGTAGTGTCTGGGCATGTCACTACCTTGGCTTCCTGCCCAGGCAGTCAAAATGGCTGGGATCCCTGCCACAATCCCCTCGAAGCATGTCCATCGTCTTGATTTTCTTCTCTTTTCCTTTCCCGCTTCATATTAGTATCTGAAACGAGTTTGTAGTATTAGCGTCGACCTTTTTTTCTTTTCTTCTTTCTATTGTTACAACTCATGCATTCATAACCAATAATACTTCCTACCCAATATGTGGCGACCGTCATCGACGAAGCCCCGGGGCATCTCGGCGTACGAGTACAACACTCGGTATAACCTCCAGCCCACGGAAGATCAAGAAGAAGCCAGAGATGTCGCGGAGCGCAAGGGGTACTCAACGGCGTTCAAGAAGAGGCCCGACTACAAGCCGACGGCTCTACGATGGTACTTTATAGTTCTCCAGATCATCCTGCTCTGTGTGATGATTGCCATCGTTGCATATTGCCGCGCTAAGATGCCAGACTCGGACAATACTGCCACAATAGAGGAGAGGTCCCTAAATCTCGACTGGGAGGCTAAAGGAGGTCTGGGTATGGGGGTGTTCAAGCGTCATGAGGAACCGGCGCAAATGACAGGTGTGGACGGTCTTGTCATTCCACCGCATGGAGTAAGAGCTTTTGCTGGGCCAACTCCCGTCCTAGCAGCAAGGGAAACCTCACCGACAGTTGCACCGACGGCTGCACCCTCTGCTACGCCCTCCTACAGCCCTAGTTTCTTCATTGCCGACATCATCACCATCATGAAACCGTCGTACATTCAATCTCTCATCGAAGATTCTAGCACACTTGTGTCGCAAGCCGAGCAAGAAAAGAATGGCATCGAAATCGACACCGAGATCCCCCTGGTTCCCTGTGGCACATCGACCGTCTGTACCACGACCATCACAAGAAAAGTTATCACCACTCTCATCATCCCAGCAACGACCGAGGTCTTCACAATCACGATGGGAGCGACAACCATCTATCACATAACAGAGGTGGAGGAAACCGTTACCCAGCCAGACGTCGTCTTCACTACGGATGTTGTTACCGAAATCGAAGATGTGAGCGAGGTCGTGGAGACTACCGTTTTCACACTAGGAAAGCCACCGCTTCCGGGAGATGGATCGTTCCCGGGCAACTCCACTCGGCCTCCGGCCCCACCGCAGCTGACTACGCAGACAAGGACGAGTTCCCAAACGATCACACAGACAGTTACGACGCCCTCTGTTGGAACATCCGCTGGCACCACCGGCGTCATCACTAAGACCCTCACCGAGACGGAGGTGATCCCCAAAGAGGCTCTAGCCACAAGAACCGGGGAAGAGCAAACGTACTTCCAGCTTGGAGAGACGACTATCGAAGTTACATACACACCTCCACCCCAGGAGAGAGTTGCTGGCGTTGCGGAGCCCCCAGTTACACAGATAATTACCACGGTAGACCCTGGAAAGACGGTGGTAGACGTGGTTCAGGACCAGCCGTTCCAGGTCGTAGTTAACGACAACAATGAAGTGAAGACGGTCGTGGTTGGCGCGCAAGTTGATCAGGTGGTCCAGCAGGTAGGGGGCGACGTGACCAATATGGTGGTTGTCGTCACACCGGTACCGGTTGGGGTTGGTCGTGCTGGTTCTAACGGCAAGAGTGGGTCCAATAATCCGGGGCAGGCCGGTCAGTTTGGCAATCCTGGAGACGGATCTGGGAATGTCCAGAATTTCGGAGATCCGGATCGAGGAGGCTCCAACTCTGGGCAAGGCAATTCCAATTCTGGACAAGGAAATTCCAATTCTGGACAAGGAAATTCCAATTCTGGGCAGGGAAATTCAAACTCCGAGCAGGGACATTCAAACTCTGGGCAAGGAAATTCCAATTCTGGCCAAGGAAACTCTAACTCTGGGCAAGGAGGGTCACGGCCGGGTCTATCAGGTTCGGTCGCAGGTCAAGGAGGATCTGATAATTCCGGGCAGGACGGTTCCAGACTCGGCCAGGGAGGTTCAGATAATCTAGGACAGGGAGGCTCTAGACCTGGACAAAGCGGTTCTGGCAATTCTGGCCAAGGAGGCTCTAGTGCTGGACAGGGAGGATCGGATAACCTAGGTCAGGGTAACTCAGGTCAGGGTAACTCGGGTCAGGGTAACTCGGGTCAGGGAGGCTCTAGACCCGGACAAGGAGGGGCAAGGCCCGGACAAGACGGATCTGGATCTGACCAGCAAGACTTTGGTGACGACTCTGGCTTTGATGGAGGATTCGCCCCTATATCCTTGACAGTGGTATCCCATGTCGGTGGGCAACTTACAGTTTTCACGACCCAAGACTCACCACAGACTATCGTGACAACGAACCCGGACGGGTCTCCAACGACGATCATCACGACGCCGCCGCCGAGAGTCGCCACGTCGACGATAGGCGGATCTCTTACGACGTTCGAAATTGTGACAACACCAACAGCTTCGGATTTGCTCTCCTTTACTGTTGTCAGTACCATTGGTGGCACCCTAAGCACGATACTCACGACCAAAGAGCCGACTACTTATGTCACTACCCTCTCTGGGACCCCGACGACCATTACTTCCACGCCGTCCGCCCGCACAGTGACCTCAACTATGAAGGCGACCACCAGGACGATAGTATCGGTAACTACGCCGACCCCGACGGATGAGCCGCCACAAACAGAAACAAAAGTGTACAATGTCGATGCAGCCAAATACTTCCTGGGAAAGTTCCTCCCTGCGCTTCTCGCCATCATCCTGGCTATTCCGTTGAGAATCATCGATTTAAACGCCAAATTATATCAGCCATTCTACACTTTGAACCAGGAGCGTGGTGCACTGGGACCGGATTCGATGACGCTTCATTTTAACGGTTTCAAGGCTTTGACCAAGCCGTTTGAGATGCTCTTCCAAGGCCACCCTATGACATTCCTCACCTCTATTATATTATGGGGATCTTCCCTCATGGTGCCCCTTGCAACCGAAGCCATAGGACTTAAGATCCATGGCAAATGCACGATCAACAGCATTGTAGGATGTGGCCTCGAACTCGGAGTATCCCCCGGCCCAACCCACGCGCTTCTGGCCCTGTTGGCCCTAATAGTCACCTTCCTCCTCGTTCTCCTCTTTATCACCCGGAATTACGAAAGCGGGCTTTTCGCGAACCCGTGGAATCTGGCAGGCATCGCATCTTTGGCAAGATGCCGCGATGTCCGAATCCATAGCTCGAAGAAGGAAACTATTAGAAAGGAAATTACCGAAAGACGCTATGGGTTCGGATTCTTCCGAAACGGCGAAAACAGAGACGAGTACGGCATCGTGCTGCTCGATGATTCGGGCCAAAACCTTAGACAGGATAGGGACAATGACGCGACCATTGATAACCATTCCGATTCTGAGGAAGACGACCACGTGTACGATGCTCCTGCTGGTCCCGCGAGACGTCGGAGCAGCTCGCTCTCGACGGAGAATCAGCGGACCTCGGTCCCTTTTCTGGCGTTGACCTACCCCTGGAGGATTATTTTCATCTTGTTTCTATTGGGACTTTTTATCGTCATTTTGTATTACCACGTCAAGGTCATGGACCAATCGGACCCCGGGCTCCGGAGCTTCATGAACAGTCGCAAGTTTGGCGCTCGGTTCCTCTTTGCCGGCTTCGGTGTCATCATAACCTTGGCGTGGTTTGCCTTCTTCGTCAGTAAGTGTGCAATCTACCCCTCCCCTTCCACTCGGAGGTCTCGGAAGGGATTTTTTTTAAATTATTTCAATGGAAAGTTGGAAACTAACCCTGTTGGCTCCATCAGGTGTCGCCATCATAACGCCATATCAGCTAATGGCAGAAAGTCCCCAGCCCCCCGAACGCAGCATCCTGCTATCGAGACCGTCGCATGGGATTTACGGGATCTACGCCGCGATCAAAGAGACCAATATATTCCTCGTATTGGTGTCCTTTATAGCTATTCTCGTCGAGTTCCTTCCGCTGCTCCTGGCAAACGTTCCTTTCAACTTGACGCAGACGAAGCTCACGCATGACATATGCGCGCGGCTCTCGCTTGTAATATTAGCAATTATGATAGGGACGCTGGTGGCTTCTTTCTTCATCAAGTGGCCCAAGATGCCGGTTGACCCCAGGAGCCTGGCTGGGGCGATGTACTACGTCTCGGGCTCGGATATCCTGTTGAGTAGGGTTGAAGGGGGGGCGAAGATGGATGGGGAAGAGAGGGAACGAAGAGTTAAGGAGTACGGAGGGCGGTATTATTATGGAAATATCGGTGCGAAGGGTAGGGTTGGAGTCGAGGCAGACGAAGGGGCAGGGATCGGGGATGACGTTGAGACAGCTTACCATGGACATCGCATTTAGATGTTGGGTTTCGGTGTTGGAGATCTGGGATCTCACATCTTTGATTTCATCAAGGCTCATTGCATTTCTTGGGTTTAGATTGGGTATTTAAGGTATTTAACTGCTGTATTTTTGATTCTGTGTTTTTCGAGATAGAAGCGGGCATGGAGGGTTTCTTTGTTTGGTTGGAACGCTGTTTACGATCCCGAGGCATGATGACGACGATACCACTCTTCAGACAGCAAGCTGAAATAGATATAGGGTCTTTCATTTCATAATCGGTCATGGAAATTCATGTGTTATTTGGAAGTCTTCCCAAAAAATTTTAAACAAAAATAAGAATAATAAAAAAAAAGATAGACAGACATACAACACTGGGGATTCGCTAGTCGTCACCGACCTAGCTACTAATCCAGCCCTCTCCGGCTTATTTTCTCGAGAGCAGACGGGATCGGATGTTTCCCGGAGGGTATGATCGTATGTAATAGTTCTCGTTTCGAATAAGTCTTTTGAATGATTTCATAGGGTCTTTTCTGGTTGAAGATGTTCGTATATCCCGATACTAAGACCACCAGTCACGACTCCATCGCGACACTCAAGATTTTGTTCAGCCTCCCACAATGCCCATTCGAACCTTCTGTTAAAGTCAAAGACCTGACGTAGTATGACTCAATATCCGCATGTGAACAAGGCCCCAATAGCAGGAGCCTCCAAGGACAACGTTGACATTGGAGCGGGTGGCTGCTTCCTTCCTGTCGAGTCATCCGCCAAGGCACAATGGGAAGTCATCTTTGCACCTCCTTTCTTGGAAACTGGCCACTTGAGAGTGAGATGGGTACATGTAGTTTGTTTCAGAGAGACAGAACATCAAGGAAGAAATCCGGTGTCGTCCAGAGGTTTAGGATGTGACGTTTTCACCGTCAAGACCTGGGTTCGAACCCCAGCACCGGAGTGATCTCACCTTTTTTTTCTTCCTCCTCTAGTACCATTTTTTTTGTCCCGATTCTCTCTTCATTCCATATTTCTTATACCGATTCTCCTAATAGGTATTTGGGGATTTAAACTCGGTCCTTTCGCTATGATTTGCGCCGTATCAAGCCGCTCGGGATGAATCCTTTTCATTAGGTTTATGAAGGCCTTATAGATCTTTTTTTTCCCTTCTTCTTCTTTGCATTGATCAGAAGTTGAATCACTCTATCACTGGAAGGTCTTCGCAAAGTGTGCAAAGAAATTTCAGGCTTTCTTCGCGATTCTTGTCTCCGGTGCTTTGGGCCAGATCCTCATTAACGCCATCGCCAGCTCTCCAAACATGTGGGATACTGGTCACAGATGACGGAATAATCCCTTCTGAAGCGGTTTTCTTGACCTCAGCGCCAGTCCTACTTCGACTAAACCGCCAAGGCTCGATGCTGGGTGGATAGATGTTGATTGAGACTTGAGAAAGGAAGAAAGCAACCGTCAGAGTAGACGTAGGCATTTACTCATATTACTGTCGCTCCAAGGACAACAATTGTTTTAATACCCCGTGTTAGTATACTCTCGACACGCAGTTTACTTCGGGCAGCCCTGGATTTTAATATCATGTTCTTTCATTTCGTGGGTATCATACAGATTGAGCTTATTCCCAAGTCCGGATTAATTTTCAACACACTCTCGGTAGGCAAGAGAGGTCGCTGTCCGCAGGGGAAACCTCCTAGCATTTAGACTAGGGAAGCAACCTCTTTGATCTTCCTTTGCGGCTTCCGCAGCTGCTCGTGCCTCGCCCATCAAGGTGACATACTCCAAGAGGGCCAAAAGCTTTGAACCGAGCAGCTAAAGTATTGCAGAGTGAGCGGAGATTGACATCTCTGGACTGCTCAATGGTTCTATTGGAAAACCCGCGGTTTTTCGTGGCATCGGGAAACGATGTTGGACGCCTGGAATGAGCCTTTTTCACCAATTTCCATTGTCAACCATCAATTATCATCATTGGCACGCATCGATTCCAGCTTAATCGATCGACGTGATCGCCCGGATCTCGCAGTCGTGGGTTCTCTCGGCTCTTCTTTGACACTGCCTCCGCCGGCTTCCTCCATCCTAGAATCCTCATCCTCATCCTCATCCTCGTCCAACTCTGGACCCCGGCGCTCCCTTTGCGCCCTGCGAATTCGCGCAAACATGGCCTGATCAGGGATGAGGTCGGCTCGAGAAAACGACTGTAAGGCCAAAAAAGACCACCGTTAGCATCGGCATCGAGATCCCAACGGGGCGGGGGGGGGGGATAGGGGCTTGAAAATAACGAGAGCAGAAAATCAACACTTACCGCGCTGCACCCTGCTTGTGGACATTGTACCCTTCGCGCATCACCAAAGAACTCCAGAATTGCAGACCTCTCAAAAGTGTGCTTGCACACAGTGTTCGTATAAGGCTCTTTCATCTCCTGCAGCGACAGCGGACACCTCGTGCTGACCTTCTCCCTCTCAATGACGAGTTCTTCATCTTCGACCGCCATCTCCTCGTCTTCCTCGCCCCCACCGTTCCTGGGAGCATGATCTCCGCTGTGACCGTAGTTGAACACCGGTTGGCCCTCCCGGCTGAACCACCGCTTGGCATCGGGAACAACGGCATCAGCGCCATATAGACCCATGTGCCACTGCCTCTTGAACTCAATGTAGTCGTTGTTCACGCTGTACCGTTGATACATGGACATGTTCTCGTACTCGTCCGATTTCTGCTCTCTCAGCTCCTTGATCAATTGTGTTGAGGCGTCGAACTGGGGTTCAACCAAGGCATCCCTAACATCCTCTACCGGCTCCCCGAGTTCCATTTGCCTTTGCTCCCTTAACCTCCTCTCCTGCTGACGGGTCCTAGCAATATGCGACGTAGCGTCGTGCGTCGCTTTGATGGATTCGCGCTCGTCAGCCACGTTCGCCTTGATATCAATCAGCATTCTCACGGATCTATCCGCCTCCACCGTGAGTTCCTCTGCTAAACCCTCGAGCTTCGTAACTTTCTTTTTCATCCTCGCCCTCTCCTCTTCTTTCCCTTCGCCTAAACTCTCGAGATTGGCCCGTGCGCTCTGAAGCGTCTCATTCAAGTCGAAAGTCGCCCGGCCAATGAGCCCAAGGGACTCACGGACATGTTCGTCGAGCTTCTCGGTCTTGAGGTTCTGGCTTAGGAGAAAGAGCGACTGTACGGCTTCGTCGTCGAGAGCGCATGCTTGCTCTTTGTATGGAGGCAGTTCAGCTGGTGCGACGGTCGATGGGGCTGCGGTGCGTGGGGTTGCGGTGCGTGAGGCTGCGGTGGAGGGTGGGCCGCCGCTGCGACGGCCTTGCTGGAGACGGCGTCTTCCAGGGAGCATGGTTGGTAGGGAATACCAGCTGAGGTTGTGGTTATTGAAAATGAGAATAATGAGTGAGCTGGTTGATTGATTGAATTTGGGAGAACGCGTTCGTTGTCGCGTTGAATTATTGGAGGGGCAAACGCTAAATTGGCACCTGGAATCCGGAAATGACAAGTGCCAGCAGCTGGAATATCAACGTGTGACAACTCCAGCACTGTCTCAACGACATGCACTTGTCTACAGTACCCTTCACATCGCCGACATCCCCTACAATGACTCTCCAGATACTCTCAGATCTCCATCTGGAGTTCCCCAAGGCCTACGACATTTTTGAGATCGTACCAAGAGCGCCGTACTTAGCACTCCTTGGCGATATTGGTAACACATCACACAAGGATGATTTCCTTGGCTTTCTCACTCGACAACTCAAGCAGTTCCGCGCTGTGCTCTTGGTGCCCGGGAATCATGAACCGTTTCCGTCCAGTTGGACGGAATCGCTCGGCATACTCCGAGCATTCGAACAGGATATCCGGAAGGACCCATCATTAGGAGAATTCGTCCTGCTCGACCGCGCGGCCTTTCGTCTACTAGATACCAACATCACTATCCTCGGGTGCAGCCTTTTTTCTGACGTTCCCCCCGAGAGTGAAATGGCTGTCAGTTTCGGCCTCAATGACTTTTTCCAAATCCGCGACTGGGATGTCGGTGCGCACAACGGGGCGCACAAACGGGACCTTGCCTGGCTTAATGCGCAGGTCGCGGACCTCAAGCAATCTGATGATATTATCATCTTTTCACATTGGAGTCCGTCGAGAGATGCTCGTGCGGTCGATCCAAGACATGCGAACAGTCCGATTACCAGCGCTTTCTCGACTGTCCTCTCTGGAGAGGAATGCTTTAGGAGTGACAAGGTAAAGCTTTGGGCGTTTGGCCATACCCATTATAACTGCGACTTCATCGTTAAGCGAGACGGGGCTTCGCCTTTGAGACTACTTGCAAATCAGAGAGGCTACTACTTCGCCCAAGCTGAGGGATACGATGGGGAGAAGACGGTTTACTTGTAAAAACAGTCGTGGGCTTGGCTCCTCGAGCTGCCCAAGCTCTTGGAGCTATATTAGCTGTGACTGCGATATTCTAAGTGCTTCTAACGCCCACTGGCGAACTGGCTTCTTTCCCTCCCTTAACTCTCTATAAAACCTCCTAAGTACGTCGCTGTCGAAGTCCTCCTCGATACATGAGACCCGAGAGCGACAAAATTGATCGCCGTGGCGTAGGTCCCCTAAAGGATATAGGGAAGTTGGGCCGATTTGAGGCAGAGCGTGTACGGGACAAATGATTCGACAATGTTTTCCTAGCTGGCTTCTATTTTGGGTCTGAATATATTTCCAGGTAGATGGCAGTGGTGTTCGTCGTTTGCCAGAGATAATATTGATATATACCTCAGAGAGTCATGTAATGCGCTCTGTCAAGTAAATATTTCCGTTTAAGGGAAACTACCACTCTGCAATCCTTGTTAGCGAGGGAGGTCTTAATGAGGTAGCAGAGTGGCTGGCCGCTTCCATCCGATCCCTTGATCCTTTCATCCCAACCCACAATCACAATCTTGTTGACGAGGCAAGACAGCCGTTCAAACGAATCTCAAAATGACAACCTTTACTTGCTTCGGCGTACTGCCTCTAGAACTACGAGTCCAGATTTGGAAGGAAGCCCTCTCCACGCCGGCTGTCCTAGCTGTGACTCTCACTCGAACCTTAGAATACGTCACCTCCACTTACACGTCTAAACTCTCTTTCAACATGGCCTACATTGGACCGAAGCCGTATTTAGCAGGCCTCTCCTGCAAGGAAGCCCGGCGCATGCTGGAACAATCCTGCGGCAGCCCCATTCGCGGACTTCGCGGACCGGAGGCCAACCCCAAGAGCACTCCTGGCCTTTGCTGGGTCGATTTCGACTCGACGGTCATCTACCTAGGCCCCGACAAGGACGCAGAGGTACTACTTGAGAAATTCGAATCGTTTTGTTGGAGGAGGATTTTGGTGATCTCGTGCCCTGCTCTTCGCACCATTATTCTTCGAGCGCCTTGGAGCGCCGGTCCCATTCCGGAACCAATGGACCCGGGGGCGACAGCCCTTTACATTTCTATTGCTGAGTCGGGTTTAGACCTAAGGGATGGGATGGGTTCGTCAATCCGTACTTCCCAAAGCTTCTCCGGGAGCATTATGGTGATTCACCGCCCATAATTTGCGAAGTGAACTATGTCAGAATCAGAATGGGGTGCTAATCGACGTGGCTTCACGATGGGACTGTTCTTTTCTTATTCGAGTACCGCCGCGATCAACTTCGACCCTGTTCAAATTCAGATCTCAAGATTATTCGGCATTGGGCCAGAACTCGTTGAAATCTACCCCACGTGACATTTAACACACGCCTCTAGGCAACCCATGTGCAAACAAGAAACATCAACCGACTCATCCAGCCATGCGTTCTGCCAAATTCGAATCAAGACGTCCAACTACTCTGTAACTAGCCCCTCCAGTCATGGAATCAATCGCTTCTGCACTGAGTCCTCTCCCAGCCATTGCCTGGGGCGAGATCGCTTTGGGATACCTTGGGGTTGGGACCGTCATAAATGTTCGTCCACGCTCACATCTCATCCCCCGCAAATTAGCTCTGGACTAACACACAACATTTGCAAGACCTACATGCTTGTTATTGGCGACGGTGATTTTGATGCCGCGGTTGAATCATTGCGCAATGCAGGCTTTCGGGATGCTCCTTGGTCATATTATTCTGTAGTGGACCCTCAATCTTTGGAGGACGAGGAGATGAAAGGAATGCACCAGGATGGTGGCCTCCAGTACCGCAATCTCGACGAAAACTCTATGCGTTTCCAGTTTCCTTTGGAAAGTAAGGTCAAGATAAGAGCTGTTCTACTGAGATCGTCGTATACCCACCTTAGTCTTCTTGATACGCCGGATCACAGGTTTGCCAAGACTGGGAACATATATTATCCTGACAAGGACCTCCTTGTTGAGAGCTTTGCTAAGACAGCAGTAAGGGAGCCTTCGATGAATATGTGGACGGGCGACCTTGAGGCGTGGGCGATATCATACGCCTACGGCTGGCTTGAGATCAACGACACGGCGCTGGATTCGATCTCTGACGAGGCGGCTAAAGCGTGGTTTAACGAACGAATCTTAAGGGATAAAGGGGGGCTCGACAGAACTACAGTCACGAAGAGGGTCGGAAAGAAATACAATACATCCGGAGAGGTAAATATGTCCTGAAATCGCCTTCCACGGCCGGTTTCTCCGTTCCCATTCCCAGGGGAAGTGCTCTTGACATCATCAAGTGTCCGCTTCCACTCCTCCCCCCCGATCTGTCAGACCCTCGAAGATACTTCCTTCTCAAGTCACTTCGGGCCATTAGGCCGCTTATCAGGGTCGACTCTTGCCGAGAAAAGGGTTCTTTCCTCTGATCCCGTCTGTGGAAAGGAGTGGCTTATCATGTGACTGCTGCCTGGCTCTGATCAGGGATTCCTTCTCGGCCCCTGCTGTCTGTCACACTGCATTTTAGGCAGGAAGGAAACAACCACGGACAACGATACCTCAGGAGGCGAGTCACAGCTTTCGGGAAGGAACGGCTCGTGTCTGATTCTCATTCACCGACGAAAGGCCCAACTCTCTGAATTGGATGCAGACCTGCCCAATAGCCTCACTTAACATTACCAGAGAAGGTCCTCCCGCACATGTCGAGGGCCAACAGGGGGCACATGGGCCTCAATATAAGAAGGGGGGATAAACCCTTCCACGAGAAAGTGGTGGAGCACACCGATGCCCCTTCTGCATCACATTAGTCCCAATTCCGCACCTTTTCATAGTATACACTTCAAGTTCCACGCCGTCTTCGACTCTGCCCAGTTGCAGTCCATTCCCTATGGCTCCAAGACTCAGCCCCGACGAACTCGCCAAGGCTGCAGTAATCCTTACACGCCATCTCGAGCATTGTGGGACGGACTTCAGCATCAATGGCGGAACCGCTGTTTCCCTACTTCGATTCAAGTATCAGGTTGTTGCACGTGTCACGGATGATATCGACTTGGTAATCCAGCCCAAAGAGGAAATCGACGCCGAGTCTGTCTCAAAATGGATGTGCGATACGTACCCTGAAGTCTTCGGCGAAAAGAAAATTTACGGTTTCACGATCCCGGTGGTCAAGTTTACCCGAAACAACGGTTCTAAGATCGAAATCGAACTCGAGCTATTTGACGTTCGCGCCTGGCCTCAAAGGCCACAGTACGACCTGACCAGCCCTGAAAATGAGAGAATCACAGTTTCCGTTGACGGAGTTGATATCCCCATCTTTGGCCCACGCTGGCTACTGCGGGAGAAGATTGTAACCGCATACGATCGTCGGGGCAGCCAAAAGGAGATCACTGACCTCGCCGACATCACCCAGCTCCTTATGATCCCCGGCCTTAGTCCGGTAGATCTCAGCCACCACCCCGAATCGGTCAGCCATGTGCTGTCCCAGCGTCCCGGCTTAGAGCCATTCCTGAAGCGGGGAGTATACTGCCCTACTGTATTGGGCAACTGAGTGAGGTATTAGCTTTGGAAGGCACTGGGATGAGCTTTCATATGAACTTCCGCTTTGGAGGAGATGGGACACGGAAGTTTGGCGAGGGCGCTTGCTTCATGGATCGTACCGAGCATCCGATGAATGATTCCTAGTATATTGAGGGAAGGGTATCTGTCGCGGCACCTTCCTTCACCCTTGGAAGGAAGTGCCTACCCTTGTCAAAACCCTCGTCAAAACGGCAGGAGGTTTTCATGGATTCGAATCCGAATCGGATTCAGATCGAAAACGACATCGGATTATAAACGGCAAGGGCGGCTATACATTTAATATATGGTATATGAGGGCAATATATTGACCGTGCCTGATCTTATTGACAAGCGCCTGGATAGAAGCATGTGAATGAATGCCACGAGAGATACTCGGTGAGATTGTGTGGGCGTGTGAGGTGGCACGGGAAATGAAGCGAGAAGTCCGCCTTCCTGATTTCTTTCTTGATCCTCCAATTAACCTAGTTAATGAGGACAGGTCGATGCCCTGGGTACTGTGAATACCGCTACTATACCAATGCCTCAGTATCTGGTGCAGAGCTAACATCGGCCCCTAAATCTTCCTTCGGGCAAGAACTGGCTCACTGTTAAGCATCAATTCAGTTTTGTCAAACTTGTTTATTCTCAATGCATAGACGAAAGGTTATGATGTCCTAGAAACCGACGAGGAACCGCGAAAAACGGTATTGCCCATGTGGTGTTTCACTGGGGAGGTTGAATCAATGATCGATATTCCTGGAGTAATGGATCCTGTCGTAGTAATTTCGATCTAGCAAGCGCGTCACAGGGCCTAAGCGTCATCACACCAGCCCTGGCAGACATCGTTGGGCCATCATTGAACAGCCGTCTACCTTCGTCTCGTGATGCTTCTTTTCGAGAAAGCCTAAAGATTCCATCCTCAATGTTTTCTGTAAGGCGTATCCCCTCTGTCTCGCTGACACGGGTTTTCACTCAAAATTCCAATGCCATCCAAAGGCGCTCGTTTGCCGCGTCATCTAGATGTCCTCGCCCATCATCTTTTACCAATGCCGTAGTCTTCCATCCAAGGTCAGAGCGGCGACATGCCGTAGCCTCCAAGACTACTCGACGAAGCATATCATCAACGTTCACGCCCCCGCCATCTGCGCAGTCTGTTCTTCGGGAGGTACTTCATGCCGACCGCCACGATAAATGGGGATGGGTCATCTACCGCTGTACCTACGACGACGACGAAGCCTGGTCCCGGTTCAAGCAGATCGTCACCGATAGGTCTCGAGAAGAGCTCATGAAATCAGATGCACCGGAACTACTTGATTCGCTCGAGTGGACTTTCGTCGAGGATCGTGAGACCCTCGAGGGCGCTACCAAAGCTGAGCTTCGCCCGCGCTTCCTCGCATGGGCCAAAGATGCCTACAAGCTCGAACAACCACGCGCTCACGACACTGGTAATTGCTTATTAGATTTTCCTCGGTACAACTATTTCATCCACATGGACGAGCCTGCTTTGCGAAGCGTGGTTTATGGGCATCCCGATGATTATTGGGAAGAGGGATGGGTTAACCTTGTCAGGGCTTGTTGGAAGCCCCAGGGCCCGCCGGTATATACTGAGGAGGAAATCGCTGCCCTCGAGGCCCCGGGCGGGGTTCATGACGAAGACGATGTGCATGATCCCATTGAGGGCTGCACGGAGGAGGATGTTGGATGGATGAGGATGGTATCAGGGATGATGCATAGCGAGTTCTACGAGGCGATATACGGCTTTGATAGCTGGTATCCTTTTTATCAGCGTCCGCCGGAAATAGTGAGCTGGTAATAGTCAAATTCCCATCGCGGACTACTTCGTAGACTTAAAAACATTGGTCTTTGCATCTTGAGATTACAAGGACTGCAGGATGGATCAATTAATCCATGACCGCCTGCAAGCTGAAAGCACTAGCCAGGGGGTTGAGCCCATCTTCGCCGGTACGTACCGTCGATGTTAAACCACTAATAAAACCCTGCACTGCCTTATGAGGCTCTCTTCCTGCGCCTGTCACGATCCAGACCCTTTTCTTTCTTTCAAACTCAGGCGAGCAAAGTCGAGGAGGCATTGCGCCTTCAAATACAATTTTTCCAGGTGGTGCCCACTCCCCCAAGACCGCCGCCGCTGCCGCCACCACCACCATGGACCGCGACAATGACCCACACGCCACGGCCTCCGACATCATCACCTACATCGGTGTGCCCCTCGCCGTGCTCGGTGTGCTCCCCATCCTCTACAACACCGTCGTGACGCTCGCCGCACTCTCCAAAATCAAGCGCATGCTCCGCCACAGCGAACTCAAGGCCCTCACGCGTAGCGACGTAGTCAACCGCGTCATCGAGGTCGAGCTCCCCCGCTACGCAGTCACGCCCCTCGATAGGTTAGAGCAGCGCGACGAGTACTGGACGCTGAGCCGACACCCGAGCAACATCCCCGGCGGCTCGTGGACGACTTTTAACTGGAGGACGAACGCCATCGGAATTAAGACGCAGAGGGTCGAATATGCTGATCAGTTGCGGCAGCCGCAGGTTGATGTTGATTTTGGCGAGTTGGTTTCGTACTTGCTGGATTTGGGCGCCGTTCCGGATCCGTATGGTTGGAGGCTTTTGAAGACGACGGGGTTGTGGACGCCTGTTGGGTGTGCGCTTATGATGTCGCCGGATGGGAATCATAAGGCGTTGACGGTTGCGCCGTTGGATGATTCGGATGGGAACCTTTCTTTGGCGGTCCATTGGTCTAGTTACTGGACGACGAGGAGTCATAGTTCTTTACCTCCTTACTGGGTTAGGATTCCCGCCCCACAGATTGTGGCTCCTGAGCCTTCGGAAGGCGGCCAAGGATCGTCGTCTGCGACGCTCTTGGAGCAGGAACAGGAACCCGCATCCCCTTCCAAATCGGTGAAAACCGGTGCTAAATCCGTCAACGGCTCACTATCCGACTCCCTCCAACAGGAAGCTGACGCCAACACACGCCGGGCCATCTCCTGCCACATCTCCACCCATGGCCTCATCACCGCCCTGCCCACCGACGAATCGGGCAGCATCATCTCTGACGGTCTCTACATCGACCACCTCCGCATCACGCAGCTTTCGACCAATGGCGTCTGGTTCGCCAGTGCCGTGACGGCCTTTGGCACCTCGGGACAGACGATCCTCTGGAACTACAAGATCCCTGACGAGATCCTTTCCTTTTCACGCAAGGATAGTGTTCCCTGCGGGGTCATGGAGATGCTTGGTGTGGTTACTGATGATGACACGCCGGAGTGGGCTACTAAGTATGATGACTCGAGTGTAAGGCTCGAGATGCAATGGAGGAAGGCCCAGGAGCGAATGAGGCAGATTACGGCGGAGAATGCTATGCCCCCCGCGCAACGGGCGCAAGCGATGAGGGAAAGGGTACAAAAGGAGGGTATGGACCAGCTGAACGAGAGTAAGTCTTACGATCTGAGCTGTTCAACGCCGAAAGGCCGGGCTCGATGCGAAAAGAAACTAACACGACGACTAGTGCGTGACCGGATGCGGCTAGAAAAGCAACGACAAGAAACCCGCATGGCCGAAGCATTCCAGTCCCCCAAGTGGAACGCGACGCTAGTAGCTGAGCACAACCTCCGCTGGCTCAAGTCCAAGGGACACGTCAACGAGTTCCTCAGCATCAAGGAGGCGGCCGGCACGATACTCCACCGGATGATACTCGACGGGCAGTTCGCCAACTCGATATGCCGCATCCTCGACATGTGGAAGACGTGGACGGATAACGCCGGCATGCGGAATTCAGATTTCGAGGCGCTCAAGGAGGAGCAGGTGGTGTTTGCTCAGGCGACTTTGCTGGTTTCGGTGATTAGGGAGACGGGTAAGGGGGAGACGCAGGTGTCGGTGGCGCTGGACTTGCAAGAGTGTTTGAGGTTATGGAAGAAGGTGAGGTTGGGTTAGAGTGACGGGGATGTGTGGATAGTCTATTCCATTGTAGTTGTGTCTTAGTGTACAATACCCGGTCTCTGATGACCCCGTTGATCTACGTAAATTATACTAGTACATCCAATGCGATATTTGAACAGCGCCGTCGATAGTGGGACATTGGGTATCAAGGACCATCTCGCCGTATAGCAAAGAAGTAGTTGCCAACCTTCTCGCTCCCCTGAACCTCCTTCCACCCAAGCCCAGGAACATACACAACACCCGTACACCTTGGGTTATTCCAACCACCCATGTTGTGGAAATACGCCCTCAGCTCCTCCTCGTTGATATACTTGTCCCAATTATGCGTTCCCTTGGGCACAATCTTAAGAATATCCTCGGCCACCAAGTTTGTCGTAAACCAGCTCACCCATGTCCTTGCAATCGTGCTCAAGACAAGCCAACCGCCCGGCTTCACGAACGGCTTACACCTCTCGAGGAACTTTCCCGGCGCATCAACGTGCTCGACGACCTCGAACACGGACACCACGTCGTACTGCTCCTCAACCTTCGTCGGCACCTCAAGCTCCTCGATGGATCCCCATTTGTACGTAAGTTTGTTCCTCAGCCCCGGATCTCGGCGCGCATGCGCTTTTGCAATGGCGAGCACTTCCTCGGACGCGTCCACGGCCGTGACGTGACTAGTCGTGGGGAGCCGGGCGGCGCTTTCGGCGAAGATGCCGCCGCCGCACCCGATGTCGAGGTAGCGCAGGGAAGACGGGGTGTTCGGGAGAGGATCGGGCTGGGAGGCGTGGCAGGCGCGGATGAAGTCGTGGCGGGCGGGGTTCATGAGGTGGAGGAGGCGAGAGGGGCCGTGGGCGTCCCACCAGGAGGAGGCGAGGGCGTTGAAGTGGGATATCTCGGATGGGTCGACGGAGGAGTAGTTGGGAGATGAGGGCGAGGACGAGGATTGTTGGCGCGATTGGAGGAGTACTGGTGAGATGCGGGTCGCGACTGGCCTCGCTGACCGCCGGAGGGAGGCGGCCAGATGCCGCGACGCTCGATTGACGAGCATTGTGCACTGGAGGTAGGAGGTAGGTGGTAGGAGTTAGCTGGTGCTGGGTGTTCCTCGCCAACTGCTTCAGGCACAAAATCGATGCTCGAAGCTGCTTGTGACGGAGCTAACCCGACTTGACTGGGAAGTACATGGGTACCCACCCGAGGGATTACCTAATCCGGACCGCGAAGTGCAATTGTACCGATAGTACGAAGTACGTACCTTTGTACACAGGTACTGGGATCTTCAATCGACCGGGTCAATCACCCCACAGTCGCAGTTTTAGGATCGGGAATCCGCCTGGTTCTGGTTGCAGCAGGAAAGAGCCGGTTATCGCCGCCCTATCCAAGTTGCCAGAATACTAATCACATGCCTCTGTAATACTGGCTCTTGCGGCTGCAATCCTCCGCCTTCACGACTCGCACCATCAGGTCTTTTCTTGGCTTATTTTCAATATCCCGCAGACATTTCACCTATCTCCGCGCAGGGTACGGGTACCCCATTTTCAGGAAATCCCCTGCAGCTGTCGGCAGGTGAGGTAGTGTGCCGGTCTTCATGCACCAACATGACGCCATCAGATCGAATCCGAGATTCGGAAGGACCCTGATGAAAGAACGACAGGTGATGGGGAGGGAATACATACACAGGTATTAGTGATGAATCTGCGACTCCAGTGCGGTCTGCTTGGTCGCAGGATCAGGACTACTTCGTACTGAAAAGGCTTGGATTACTACCATGCCCGTTCCTGCTGACAATTATTGTGTGCCACCATCACTAAGCCGAGGAGAATAAAACGGGGCGGAAGCAGGCTTCGGACGGGGATAGCGTAACTTTTACAAATGACCGCCCATTGTTCTATCCCTCTCCCCACTTCGGCTTTTCCTTGAGCAATGAACGGTTGTGGACGAAGTGTAGCCACTGCTGTGTCGTGTGGTATATTAGACTGTAGTGTACTTCGTAGAGAGGACATAAAAGTACAAGAGTACTTTCTTGACTCGACTTGGACTTTGCCTTCTATTTTGATCAATTGATTTTTTTTTTCCTTCTTTGCTGTTAGACTAAAAATCGTCAGTTTTACTTTGTACTTCGGGCACTAGTTCTGACCTTCTGTACGAGTCAATTGACCGCCGTGCTGTTTCCAATTGCCTTCTCCATTCCCGCTAAAAAAACGGCCACTCCGCCCTCGGCTTCAGGTATCGCCGCCTGTTTCTCTCCACCCCCCTTTCTTCGATTTCCCATTCTTTTTTATCCACTCGCTGGTTAAATCGTGTCTTTATCTCCGTTCTTCTATTCCCAAGTTAACATCGTTTTAAGCGCTTTGCACGTCTAGATCGACAAAGAAACCCGTTTGGATACCCCTTTCACCGAAGAACGGACGACGAACAACACCCCACCATAAAATTTCCCCGGTGCTTGTGCCCCTCAATTCTTATACCGCGGTTCCGCATTTGGCGCATGACGCATATGCGACGGTAGAAGAACAATTCATTCTCTCGAATTGAAACCTCCAATTCCCAACGACACTTCTCTCTTTCCACAAACCTTCCATTCGCAAGACTCAAGAACCTTTCCCCGAAACCAAGGCCAACCCCCCAATCCCAATTCGCAACCATGCCTTCCGCCATGCTCGACAAGTCCCTTTTCGACACCATTCCGGATTCCATAGCCGCTTTCAGTATGTACCCTCGAGAAGGAAGGCGAAGGAAAGAAGAAGAGAAACAGAAGATGATACTAACGTAGTGCCCCCAGGGAATGGTGAATTCCTCCTCGTCCTAGACGACCCCGGCCGCGAAAACGAAGCCGATCTCATCCTCCCCGCCCAAGACGCCACAACCGAAAAGCTCGCCTTCATGATCCGCTACTCCTCCGGCCTCGTGTGCGCCCCCATCCTCCCCTCCCGCACCGAAGCCCTCGAACTCCCCCAGATGGTCTCGCAAAGCCAAGACCCCCGCGGCACCGCCTACACCCTCACCGTCGACGCCAACCACCCCACCATCACCACCGGCATCTCCGCCTACGACCGCGCCCTCACGTGCCGCACCCTCGCCGACCCCGCAGCCACCCCGGATTCTCTGCGTCGTCCCGGTCACGTCCTGCCCCTCAAGGCTAGGGAGGGCGGTGTTCGCGAGCGGCCCGGGCATACCGAGGCTGCTGTGGACTTTTGCAAGCTCGCGGGTAAGTTCCCGGCTGCTGTGATTTGCGAGGTCGTCGATGATGGTGCGGAGGTCGAGGGGCAGGCTTTGAGGTTGGAGCCGGGCATGTTGAGGGGGGAGAAGTGTGTTGAGTTTGCCAGGAGGTGGGGGATTAAGGTCTGCACTATTGCGGATTTGGTCGCTTATCTTGAGAAGACTGAGGGGAAGCTTGCTGCCGTCAATGGTACGTCTTGAGGGAGGAAGGGGCCGTTTGCCGTCGGGGGCGAAAGGGTTGGCTTGGGTTTTGTTTGGTTCTTTGCTTGCATCAGTGAGGGCCGGCGGGTGTGAGGAGAGGGGGTCTCGGTGGGTGCTGTTGCCCGTGATATATACGCATCTTCCCATCTTACCTTGTATGTTTTTGCTTGGTTTATTTTTGGATTTCATTTTGTCCTCTTTTTTTTTCGGCTTTTAGAGGGACGAAGGCTCGGTTGTTCTATTGTTTGATAGACCGTCTACTGTTACCAAAGAGAAGCGTCAATGTCTAGAGACTCGACGGGGCATATATACATCTCCATTCTATCTTTGCTTCTAGGCATCATCGGTACCTGCCACCTTACAGGAGCGATCGTAGAAACTTCACGGACTTCGCGGAGGAGGCGAGTGTGTTAACGAAATTCCGGCTTTCAATCAAACTGTCCTACCTCCGAAATCAACTTTATTCATCAATACGTCGCCATCATAACCTGTCTCTAATGACTTGGTATAGGAACCACCGTCCTGTCTACAGTTCCCATTCCCTCCCAAGTATCCATCCGTCTAAGAACCATAATCTCATGAGAAATTAGGAACAAAAATAAAAGGAAGTAAAGAGGAATGAAGAATGTATGAAGAAACGAAAGCGGCAGTAGCCGAGCCGTTTTCTTGCCGTGAACCCATCTAACCACCGCGCTCGTAGCGGTAGTAGTAGTTCTTTTGCTTGTTGAGTTTCGTGCTATACGCCATATCCCTCTTGGCACCCTGAACCTGCTCGATCTTCCGGCTTTGGTGGATGTCCCGCGCAAGTTGTCCCTTCGCCTGGTCCGTAACGCCCATGATTCCTTGCTGAGTTCTAGGGATGACAGCGCGGTTGCGGTTCGCCTCGTTAGGACCGCCTTCGCCATCTGGCTGCTCATCACCGTTCGCCTCGCCGTTCTCGATGGCGAGCCTCTCGCGTTCGGCCCTCTCCTCCGCAGTAGGATAGTTGTGGAGGTTCTGGCGGTAGTAGCGGTTGAGCGAGCGATGGCCGACCGATTTGCCCGATGGCAGATGAAGCTCGTAGTCGTCGTGGAAGACGGAGCGGGCATTATGCTTGTGAGCATGTGAGTGCCATCCGTCCGCGAGGTGATGTTGCCTAGGATCTTCGTGAGAATGATGATGACTCTTGTTGAGGCGTTCATACTGGTTTTGGCGGTCGTCTGCAGGGACGGCCGTAAGTTCCTCCGAGTCAAAGGAAGATGCCGAGCTATCCGTCTCCCAGCCATCTTCCTCGACAGATATCTTCTCTCCATTCTCGTCGGTAGCACTCTCAGATCGCTTCGCTCCAAGCTTAGTGCCATCGATCTTCAAAGGCTCATAGCCGGATTCTTCCTCCTCTCCCTCGTCCTCCTCGTCGTCCGAGTAGGTGCTCCGGAAGTCATAGAAGTCTCCAATCTCTAGTTGCTCCTCTTCCGTCGTGTAAGGAATGGTGCAGTGGCCGACATCCCGCATGTGAGTCTGCGCGGCGAAAGCGTTGGATTTCGCCTTGCCGCAGGTGAGGCACTCGAAATCTTCGTAGATCTTGGAAGCTAGGTATTTAATCAACCCATCGAGATCGACCAAATATTCTTTCTCGGGAATAACCATGCCGTGGAAACGTTCCATGTGGTGGGCATTGAGGTTGACCGTAGGAGACATATATCGGCAGAAGAGGCACTGCTGCAGCAGAGTGGAAGGATCCGGCTGTGAAGGTGTGGGTGTTGCAGACCCCGAGTCTCTCCCGTTGCTCTCTCTTGATTCCGAATCTTTCCGCGCGGTGGTAGCCTGGGGATTTGAAGGCCTCTTGACGGGCGACGGCCGGGTGTCGGAGACAGTTGTCTTCTGTAGTCCCTCGACAACTTTGTTGAACTCGGCTTCTGCGGAAGCGGACTCTAGCTCGTCCTCCTCATCATCGTCGTCGTCATCGTGGTGTCCCTTTACTGGTTCTCCCAACGAGAACGTCGAGCTCATAACCGAACTGGTCTCATCGGGGATGGCAGCCGAAGGCCGAATGCCTCTCGCCTCCCTAGCGCGGTGCTTTTGGCTGGACAGATGATTCTGGAACGAGTTCTCGCTATAATATGTCTTTTCGCAGACCTGACATGTCTTCTCGAAGAAAGCCTTGTCGGCCTCGGCGGTGGTCTGGGCACGAGCTTGAAGGACCTTCTCGGTAAAGGCCTCGGCGGATATGGGGGGCAAGGAGGCGACTCTTCGCTTGAGGTTGTAGCGGCTGTGGTGGGAGAGGATGGTTAGCGACTGCAGACTCGAAAACAACTGAGCCAAGATCAAGATCAAGACAAAGAGACAAGAGCAGGTAGTCGCTTAAGGAGGATGGATATACTTACTGCCAGTCACTCTTCATGTGGCCCTTTTGCAACTCCGCATTGCGATAGGCAACCTGGCATGTGTTGCATGTGAAGGGGTGGGAGGCAGTAGCCCCAGTGGCTTGTAGAGTCGACATCACGACCAGGTCGCAGGAGGAAGAGAGCAAGGTCGATCAAAATGGGATTTGATATTGTAATTCCTCCCCAATGCGGCCGAAATGCAAAGATAAAATAGACCGACTGTCTAGTTTTGAGTATTAATGTGAAGAGTGTGCTTTGTGTGTTTGTGTGCGGATGCAGGTGCGTCTGTGTGTGACGGCAACTTTGAGTTGGTTGGAGGAGGGGCAATCCCAAAAAGCAGAGAATTATTTTTATCAAACTATTTTTTTGAGGCTTATCAGGGCGGGGTTGCGACTTGCTGGGGCCTGGTTGAGACTTGGACTTTCTGGGAAAAGAGCGCCAATCTGAATTTTTTTTTTTTTTTTTTTTTTTTTTTTTTTTTCTCTCTTCTTTCGCTTTTTCTTCTTCCCACCTTACAAAGCAGGTCCCGGGTCCCACTGTTGTTCGAACAATAAGCGACAAAGAGTACACGAAGGTATTTCCCTTGATTAATAATGGGAGACTGGAATGGAACATCTTCATTATGGTGCCTCAACACCGATCTCAAGTTACTGAGAATGGCAATGGCATCAACTCGGCAATCTTGGTCTCTAAGAAGAGTACCCAAGTGCACATGAGCTTGGTACGTGGTGGGAAAAGACTCATGGCGGTTGAGGCGAATTATTGCAGCCTGGCATCAAAGATGAAGATCGATGGACTTGGGTTTAAGGGCCTTCCACGGCCTTCTGTAGAAGCATGGCTAAATTGGGTCATCACTGGCCAGTGTACGTACGTACTTCGTACAGCGTTGTATAGTTTGGGGGGCAAAAAGAGTCGGTCAGAACTGAACACTCACTCACCAAACGCCACAATACTCTGGATCTCTGAGGCAAGACGGAAGTTCCCGTCTTAGCAACAACCCGACCCGAGACCGACGTGGAGGGGACGATGGGTTGTAAAATATGGGTTTCAGGAATCAAAGAAATATAAAATCAGGAACACAATTTGTAGCTACGCATGTCTCGAACTTCGTCGGTATTTCTCATCCTCTCGAGGCCTTGCGAAAAATTCTCTTGGTGACGCCATCAGTGTCGAGTGCAGACTCGAAATTGAGTCTCAAAGGTTAGACGCCACTAGTTTTCCTAGGCTGGTCAGTGCGCCGTGATCGCAGCTTTCCCCGCTGAAATTGTGCCGGTTACCTCAGCCCACTGCAACTCAGCAAGTCAGCACCCACACGCAGCCCAGCCTTGCCTTCCATTTGATTGATGTCCCCGTGCTACCCTGTTGGTTGGTTAAGCAGGTGCCCCCAATCCCCAATCCCCGATCCCCAGTCTCACGCCTCAAATCTGGAATCCCTAACTACAATCCAACCTACACTGCTCATGGCGACCAACTCTTGACAACCGAAACCACATGCACTCCTGCATCTAGCTGCGCTTTAGGATACCGCGATATTTTAGTTCTATCGTCTATCTCGAACATTCCAACCACGAGCACCCACCTAACCATATCCGGCGTCTTAGGCACTGACTGGAACAGCGGTCCCAACTCCACTCCTTCGCACCTCCAGAACAAGCAGCGTCTGTTGAGGCAGCTCGAATACCAATCTCGTTACCTCAACTATCCTCAGCCGTCTCTTTCTTCATCAATTTCGAAGCTCATCTCCCCCAGAAATCGATACGCCGAATGTCATGACGAGGGAATCGACTCGCCCTTCCCCTGGCGGGCGCATAGATGCCGACATTGATCTGCTGGCACTCCTATGGGAAGAGGCTCCTTTCCCAAAACTCCCTCGCGACGCACCGCCCGAGCTCAAAGAGTTCGTCCAGACCATCGAGAATCCTCGTCATGTCTATACTATCCACTGTGCGGCCCGTCGCCACAACTTCCAGACCTTAGTTGAAAAGTGCGTCAACATATATATCCCATCACTCTAGGCTCGGCCGCCTTACTCATTTGTCGTCTCTGCTACTCTATGTGCTAATGCCCAAATCTAGATTCATCGTTCAGCTTCGATATGGTTGCGATAATTCTTCCTGCGCCACCCCGTCATGCCTCTCTTGCCGGAAACGCGTCGCCGGAAAGACTCCCATCCGGCGTTACAACCCGACGAGTGCGAGAACCCTAGCCGTCTACATGGCTAGCCAAGACAATCCCGAACGAACACTCTGCCCCTATATCCGAATCGCGAAAGACACTCCCGTGTCAGGATTGAATTCTCTCGTCATCTCCCCTGTTCATTCCTCACAGCATCATGGCGATTCCCCTAGGAAGGGGAGACGGTCATCAGACACCTCCAGGGACCATGTCAACAGTCGAGATGCGAACCACGGCCCTAAGTCCCCCGAACGTGATGTTAAGGAAAGAAATCGGAGCCTGAGTCCCGGCAGTAACTCTTACGACCGCCTGCCTAGGCGACAACGAAGCGCAACTTTCGAGCTGTCCGAGCAGCCTACCAGATATGATCACCGCTCCTTTGCTGCAAACATGTTTGGGACGGTAGCATTCAAGATGTTGGAGTGGCTGACACCTCATGGGCTTGATAATTTGACGAAGAAAGTACAAGCGTTGTCTACAACAGCAGACGGAGAGCAATCATCCGACCCGGGGCAACCGGCACCGTCCCGTTCACCTTCGGGCGGCGCCAACGGTTCTGTGTCTACCGACTCATCACATCAGAAGGATAAGCTCCATGCCAAGACGGACGATCGCCCCTCGGAAAACCCCTCAGAGAAAGCAGGAACTAGGTCATCCTCATCTTCGAAACTCAACGGTACCAGGCGGAATTCCAACGCGAAGGTCCGAGCCACATCGACGAAACCGATACGGAGGTTGTCGACGGACCCTTTCGTTCCGACGGCACAGCCAGAGGATGCGCCCACACTAGTGTCCCCGCGTATCACAGGAATGCATCCCGAGAAGCTACCACGACCGCCCAAAACTCCTCAAGCAGCAACGCGAGAGATCCCAATCGCCCCTCCTTCCCCAGGGGGGTCTTCGGACGACGCCAGAAGCGAAGAGCCTGCCCAGGATGACCAGGATCAAGCCGATGATAATATAACATCGCCGGAAGATTCTGCGGAGGAGGACGTTGACGATACCCTCGAAGGCGAAGAGGAGCCCGAAGGCGACAAGCTGCGGAAGCACGCAGAGCTGGTCAAGAGCTCCAAGGACGAATCGTCTATAATAGAAGACCCTGATAGCGAAGGCCTAGAAGATGATGCGGAGTCTTCCATTATACATGCTGCCCTGCTTCCCCAGTCTCTCAACAAACTCAACTTTGAGATCGTCGAATTTCTATTCAGTGTCCTGCGCGAGGACAGCACTTTTGAATCGCCAATGACCCTTCCGCGAGGTAGCTCGTGGCAAGTACAGACGGGAAGGCTAAAGCGACTGCCGGCGACGCCTCGCCCCTACCCGATACCGATGAAGATCGAATGGAAGCGCTTCGTTGAGCAGAGCGTTTTCTATGTCATGAGCGACCCGCACGCCCTCGTTCGGTCATTCACTAGGAATGGCAAACTCATTGACTCGCGCAATCTCTGGCGATGCATGGTACGCCTAACTGATGCGGTGCCTAGCCTCGTTTTCCACAGCCTTTGGCTCGCGTCGTCGAGTTTATTCACCCTACCTAAGCCCTTCCAATCCACAGGTGTGAAGTCATTCCCACGATCACACAAGTCACTTTCCAACGCAGAGGCCGCCTATCTCGTGTCTATATGTCTTCACGCCCTGGCCGCTGCAGCCCCCGAGGTATCCAGTCGCACTGCGCTCCTTGATATGTCTCGGTTGCGATCGGGTGGTGTTGCATTGTCTGGAAATGGTGGTCCTAGGCTTCCAGCCAGCTTGTGCCTGCAGTACGACGACGCTTTTTCCAACGACCTTACTTTGCGGCTAGCGAAGCGGCTGTTCACCGCTCTAGTTGCGAGAAAACACTTTGCGACACTGGCCGAGTTGGACGATGACGACCAGGACAAGACCGAAAATCTCAACGTCTTGGCGCCTCTCCTAAGCCAGATGGACTTCCTCAATTCAGATGCAGAGATTGGCCAAGGCTCATCTCCGATGCCGCAAGCGTTGCCCATTCTCCTCCTTGATTGGGCTCGGGCGGTGGTTATGCAGGAATGGGACGGCCAGCCCATCTTCAACCCCGACAGCGCCTTTGGGGGCGCGATGCTGTTCATCGAAACAATGTGTAAGAGCCCCTACTTCTATGTCCCGTCTCACCATCTCTCGCGGCGCAATATACTAACACAATCGCTAGATGAACGAAGGCAGGAACTTCTCTTGGCCGATGTCAACTTTAGGCTTGACTACGTGGCTGACCGCCTCGACTCTGCCTGTGTGCCAGTGGACTGGCTCTCTTTTAAATCGTCTCCCAAACGACAGCATCTGCTTGACCGCCCATTCATATTCAACCCATCACACCTTGTATCATACTTCCGCGCGATCAATTTAGCACGGATGAGTCGAAGCTATGAGGAGCCTAGCTCCGTGTACGAGAGAGTGCGACGACTTGTTAGTGATGGTCTTGTTACACACACTCACCGCAAGCTACTCCAAGACATGCTGAGGAGAACAACGTCGAAGTATCTCATCCTGAATGTTAGTCGCAAGACGCCCGTTCGAGATGCCTTTGACCAGTTGTGGCAGCGCGAAGAGCGGGAATTGTTGCGGCCGCTAAAGGTTCATCTTGGAGAGGATAACGGAGAGGAAGGATTTGACCTTGGCGGCGTCCAACAGGAATTCTTCAAACTGGCATTTGCCGAAATTTTCGACCCCAGATACGGAGCCTTCCAGGTGGACGATCGCACTAGGATGGCGTGGTTCGCGCCCGGTTCTCTTGTTGAGCCATGGAAGTTTGAACTCATCGGCGTGCTCTTCTCCCTCGCCATCTACAACGGTCTTACTCTCCCCGTCACCCTTCCCAAGGCTCTCTATCGAAAGCTTCTCGGCGAGCCCGTCAACGAGCTCCACCACATTGAAGATGGTTGGCCTGATCTCGCCAATGGTTTAACCACTCTGCTTGAATGGGACGAGAAGGATGGATCTGTCGAGGACGTCTTTGCGCGCACGTACGAGTTCTCGGTTCAAGTGTTCGATATGCCGATCTCGCGGAACATGCAAGGCCCGCCCATGTCGTGGCCTCGTGCCGCTGTCCCCGCAGAATCCGATACGCCCGCTGCTTTCGAAGAGAACCCTGAAGATGCCCCCATGGTTACGTATGATAACCGCAATGCCTATGTCAGCGATTACATCGAGTATCTGACCCACGTATCCGTCCTCCCGCAATACACCGCCTTTGAGCGCGGTTTCAAGGCCTGCCTCAACCCCGACTCCCTCAATATCTTGAACCCCACAATCCTGCAGTCCATTGTCGAGGGCACCCAGGAGATCGACCTCGCGGAGCTTAGACGTTACACACGCTATAACGGATGGGACGCCTCGCATCAGACTATTCGCGACTTCTGGAGCATAGTTAAGCGCTACGATGAGCCCATGAAGCGTCGCCTCCTCGAATTCGTCACGGCATCTGATCGGGTCCCCGTCGGTGGTATGCAGAATATTCAGTTCGTCATCCAGCGCAATGGTGAGGAGGGGCCTCTCGGTCGTTTGCCCACGGCGTATACCTGCTACGGCACGCTGCTGCTCCCTGAGTATCAGGATAAGGAGGTTCTCAGGGAGCGTCTCGGCATGGCTTTAGAGAACGCGCAGGGCTTCGGCTTTGGTTGAGCTAACGATGTTTTCTTCCAACCCCGGCGAGCCTTGTTTTGTTGTGTTTTTATTATAACTTGTTCGGCTGTTCTGGCGGGAGTTATTTTGGGCCTTTCTTTCCCTTGCTTGTTTTTGTTTCTTGTTTTTGGGGTCTGTTTTCCCCCCTCCGACGCTGTCACTATTCTCTTGTCTGATATTCCTCCCATGATTGATAAGTCGTCCCCGTTTTGTGTTTCTCATTATGCCTTGAGCAAAGGAGGGAAAGCAAGACATGAGAGGGTAGAGATATACATGTATGCGTTGCAATCGCAAACTGTTTTGTAATAGATGTTGTTATTATATTGGGCGTCCCAAGCAGGAACCAAACGAAGTGGAAGCCATGGCTATGGTCTTCAGGATCTGTGACTTTTTTAGCATTTGCATCAATATATACAGTCGCAAGTGATCATCCACTCTTCCTACTCAACAATCTAGCAGCCTTTACTTTTTTGGATTCCCCCTTCCAGCCTTGTCTCAATGCCACGGTCCCATGTTCAGGGGATGGTGAGGATGTAAGTAGCGCTTCATATGATATCGCTCTAACTCGTTAACTGGTTTCTTGCTCCGATAGTCGGATAGTCTGAGGGTATGCCAGAAACGTAAAATTTCGACAAGTTCGGCGATACATTGCTTTCTATCTAACTCAGAGTTCTACGTACATTTTTGTTCACGGCCGGACACACAGACACGAATACTCGAACAGAGAACGCCGCTCATAGGGTTGAAGAAGGGAAGAAGGGTTGAGAAGATGAAGAGAGAGAAAGAAAAGCATCCAAGGAAAAAAGGGGGGAAGAGAAGAGAAGAGAAAAGGAAGAAAATAAAATGGAGAGATGACATGTCCTAACAATATGACGTGACTCTCAGCACCCACGCACATATCACATAGCTAGTTCCTGTACCCTTTGACAGACGCCCCGGCATTCTATCAATCAAGAAGCATCAGTTCAAGAGAGAGAGAAAGAGACGGAGAAGGAAGAAGAGAGGAGAAACACACAACACGAGACAGCGATAAACGTCGGAAAAACGTGTTTTTAGACGGGAAACATCTGCCATATCTCTTTCTTGTTCACATCAAAACATTATGCCAACTCCTCTGCTGAATTATGCTAGCTGGCCGTGCCTTTCCAACACAAAACGAGGTTCCTTTCCACCAACGGGGACCCCGATCCAAGCCTCAGATGCTTGCCAAAAAGCCACCCGGCTGGCTGGTATCATCTGCTTCTCACCGCTGCCTGCAATGCTGTATACGAACAGGGAAATCTCAAAATTGTACAAGTCGAATAATGAGAGACATAAAAGAAAACAACAGAAATAAAAAGATAAAATGGAGGTACTGGGAGCATCGGAGGCGTAACAAAAAAAGAGAAAGAAAAAAAAAAAAAAAAAAAAAAAAAAAAAAGAAATAAAAAATTAAACCAAAAATTAACAAAAAAACGTATACATAAAAATTTCTCAATCCATATCCATGTCTTGATTGCTCGCTCCACACAAGTGCTGGGTGGTATATATATATTCCGCTCGAGCGCTGAACGGTTCTCACGCGAGGAATGCGTATCGCGGCTGGACTGTTCTTCAGCGTAGCCCGAATCGGGCTTCATTCGTTCCCAAAATCGAGCTTGGAGCGCTTGTAATATCGAGGCTCATGAGTCGGTGGTGGTTCAGTCGTAGGCGGGTATCTAACCCAACGGAACTGCCTCCGCTTCTGGTCGAAATTGGCGGGATGCCTGGCATTCTTGACCGAATTTCTCAGTTCAATGGATCCACGCCATAGTGCCTCGTTCTTGATCGTTCTGATACGAAAAGTAGGTGTGCCAATGGATTCCGTCTTCCAGCAGCATCTAACCGATTACGACACGCGCACCCTCTTTGCCCAATACGCCTCGTTCCTTCGGCTTCGGGCTGTTGGATCTTCCCTTCTTCCTGCTGAGGAAACCGAACACTCCTCCGTTAGTTTCTTGCTTCATGTTATCGACGCAGTTGGCATCCGTGGGTAATGTCGCATCTTGCCTCGCAAGATCAGACCAGCTGCCCTTGCCGTCTAGAGTAACCTGGACACCGCCGGTTGGGCTGGTTACACGCTTGATATGGGCCGACGAGGGCTGGAGATCTTTCATGGGCCCTGCGAGCGGCGGTGGGCGGAGAGGCAGGCCGGGAGGTGGGGACATCCTCTGGTGATGATCTCCGTTCGGCTTCACTACCGTCACGGAAGTGGCCTTGTCTGTGGTAAGTGCCATAGGTTCGCCTTGGTTAACAAGAACGGCTGCATCCTCATTCGTCTGTTCGTCTGGAGATTGCGACGTCATCCTGTAAGAGTATAAGTGTCAGCAAGAAACGAGCGAGAAAACCAAGGAGCGAGGAATAGGGGCACGTACTTCTTATACGCCGCTACTGTGTAATCAAAGTTTTTGAAGTCTGTCTCGATCATGCGATAAAGCTCGTCCTCGCGAATCTCCTTGTCAGTCGCATCCTCCTTTAGACGCTCACGGGGCTTCTGGCGGCGGGCTCTCGCTTCCAGAGGCGCCTCTTCCAACAGTAACTCCTCCAGGTCGTATGTAGCGTCGAAGTTGGTTTTCTCGGATGACGGAACAAATACTGGCTCCACCTTCTTATTTTCTAGATCCTCGAAGTCTATGAGCCTGAAGAATTCATGTTCGGTGAAGCTTTCCCATGTCGCGCCAAGCCGCTTATCTCGATCGTGTTCCAGGGCGGCGGTCATAGCAAACAGACAGGGAACGGAGACTGGCGGTTGTGTAACTGGGAATTTCGGCTTTCCGGCGAGGATTTGTGCACTGAGAGTCGATTCAGAATTGCCATCGAACGGACGCTAGGAGATGGAACCGAGTCAGCAAAATTAAAACAGCAAACGTAGTCGCAATCCGGGTGGGCTTAAAAGGGTAGAGAAAGTAGGCCTACCTTGTTATATATGCATTCGTAGAACAAAACTCCCAAGGACCACCAGTCTGCCCGAATATCATAGCCCTTCCCGGCATAGACTTCCGGCGCGAGGTATGCGAGGGTGCCGGACTTGCTAGTCAAGGTCCGTCCTGGAACAACGTCGGAGGCAACGTTCTAAGCAGAGCGTTAGTGCTGGTTACACCGGGGTGCCGGAGCAAGTAGATGTGACTTACAAAGTCTGTCAGATGTACATGGCCATCGGCGTCTAGGAGAACATTGTCGGGCTTCACATCTCGGTGGATAATGCCTTGGCCATGGACATATCGTAGGGCACATCCTAATTCTGCGATCCAGAACCTTACGGCTTCCTCTGTGAATGTCTTGCGTGATATGTGGAACCGTAGATCTCCACCGCTCATTAAGTCGACCACCAGATACCTAAGGGGCACCGGGAGGAAGTATTAGGACAGGTCCCTAGCCATGAAAATGGGTGGGGAGGGGGCAAGAGGGGTCCCATGGGAAGCCGCTTACATGTACTCTATATCCTGAAAACTATATCGCAAGTTGCAAATGAAGGGATGGTTTACATGCTCGAGCATGCGTCGCTCACGAATGATATTGCGCACACTTTCGGAACGTACGACTATGAAAGAAACACAAGGCAGGTTAGTCAAGAACTTGTCAAGCAGGTATTCGGTCGGAGAAGTTCCGAGGGCCGACTTGAGTAACTATGTGTCGCAGTCGTTCAACAACCTACCGTCATCTTTGCGAATGTATTTTAGAGCAAACGACAACCCCGTGTCTTTCCGTTCGACAATCCGTACTTTGCCAAAGGCACCACGACCGACTACCCTAAGCAGCCGGAAATGATTCAGGTTTACTATGGTCCGGAGTTAATAAGCTTCAGGCCCTTGCATGAAGGTCAAGGGGCGAGCGGTCACGCTTCGAACTGCGGGCGGCACCGTACCTTCGCCATCGAGGTCGATGGGTTTCCCCTGGCTGTTTCCCATCTGGAAAAGGAGCGATGCTTAATACTCGCCACGGAGGGGTAGTTTGTTTCCAAATAGCCTGGTCAACCGCTATATCATCCTCTTCTACGAACCCTAAGAACACCTCGGCGGAGATGGTATTAGTAGAGTGGGCGATGCTTCGTTACACGGAAAGCAAGGAGGGTCAACGGCGAGTGAGTCGGTGTGTGGGTGGGATCAGGCTGGTAGAGACTTCGGAGGGGAATTCGACGTTCAAGATCTTGTTATTCTTCTCGAGCCGAGTCGACGCTACAGCTAAGTCTCGAATCGGGAGCGAATGATTACGGGTCGATCAAGTCGATCTCGACCGGGGGTTATGAAAGGATGCGCAGGATGAACGTTCGGACGGCCGACGTGGATTGTGAGTACGGGAGTGGTCCTAAGTCGGTTCGAAGGCGTCTTAAGATTGGTTGTCGAGCTCAGAGGAAGCGAGGAGATATCGGTGTCTGGTAAAAGGAGGCAAGGAAACGTGAGCGTGAGCAGATGAATGATGAAGAGCGGAAGAATATGGTGCTTGGGAGGTCACAGAACGCGGTCGGTTGGCACCGGGGGAGGAGGGGATGCGACGACAGGGTATCTATCTTACACACAAGATCGACTTCAGGACGAGCAAGGGGAGAGGGTACGAAACAACTGCGCAAGGAGAGAGAAGGTTACAAGAGGACTGAGGTAAAGCACGATTGATCTGGTTGGCAAAAGATTGAGAATCTAAGCTGCTGCCCGCACTGTAAGAATCGAGTGCTGTGCGGCGAAAGAGTACATGAAAGTGGTCTTGGTGTATTGTCGGCTTTGGGTGGGGATCAGGCTGACTTTTTACCTTTTCCTCGTTGAAATACTTCGGGTTTCCGCAATATGCTCGCTCGGTTGATGTATCCATTCAACCCCTTCAATGTTCTCGTAGAAGTGGGGATCCTCGAAGCTGAGAGCATTGAAGCAAGCCCATGACGGGAACGGAATTGGTGGAGGTGGTATTAGTGGATTGAAGTGTCGTAAGCACCACTGAAGGAGAATTATACAGCATATGAGGTACTTGATAGTTGGGGTTGCCAGCCTGGCGGCGGTGGTCAATGTACGTGTAGCCTACTAATTTCTGCTCTACATTTATGAAGTACAAGTACTTGTACGAGGACATAAAAAGACCAGGGTAGGGTAAGAGGTAGATGTACTAACCCCCCAATGAGCCAATGTACAGCAACTTACGCTACTTGTACAAATTGCGCCTTGAAGACCAGGGTTGACAGAGCATAAGTACGGAGTACACTACTCGGTCCTCGCCAGAAGGAGGGTTACTGCCTGTGCCATGCAGGAAGGGTGCGTGCGGATGGACATGGACTGGAAGGGATATCAGAATTAATACCTTCATCAAGCAGAGCAAGGAGTGGGTCTCTTCCTAGTCGGAAATGATTAGCTTGGTCAAGCACCATTGCTCCTTAGTGGATGCGAATAGTGAGAAATAGTGTGGATTGCCCCAATTGAGCGTCTTGTCGGGGCTTCCCTGATTTGTTTTAGGACATCCCGAAAAGTGTGGTCTAGAAGACGTTACCGCGAATTTCCTCCACACTCCAGGCGAATATAGAGCCCACACAAGAGTATTGAAGAAAGAGGAAGGAAGGGCTTAATTGAAGGGACCGGACTAATATGCAACGGAGGCTTCTTGGTCATGTGCGTGGCTTTTCTACTTCGTAGTGGTGTGCATTTCTGTGTGCATTTTTGCTTTTCCGCTTCTTCTCTGCTCCTTCTCTCAAGCTTCTCCCGCCTCGAAAAGGGGCTTCGTGTCTAGCTTCCTCGTCGAATATAGTGGGTGTCGCGGCAGGGGGCACACGTGATCGCACATGGCGAGATTCTTGCCATGTGCGCCGGCGGCCGGGGGATGCAGCTTCCACGAGAGCTGGATGCAGGTATCATGTATGTTCGGGAAGGATGTCGCTGCACACCGTACCAGGTACCACAATTATTTTGACAGGCTCCAATGTTCCTTCTGTTACAGGTCTCAGACTTGAATTGATGTTCGCTCCGTAAAATGTCACGCCGGGAGGATCGATCAATGTACTTGCGGCGGGCTTAAGTCCGGGTCACTTCAAATACTACGATGTAATATCAATGGCTTTGCACTCTTTCTGAAGTTCATCTCAACTCGGGTTTAGTATGAGGCGCTATCACAAGCCCACGAAGAGCAATCATACTTCGTAATGTAATCATGTACCATAGGGTAAGCCAACAGTGCATCGCCTCGTATCGTACGAACTACGAAGAAAAGGGAAAGAATGAGTTCAACTGGAAACTTCCTTTTCCAAAATAGCGCCCTGAAGAGAGTCGGTCCAGGCTTCCTCGGCTCCAGGATTCTGGAGATCCATCCAATTAGCCAGTGTTCGTTAGCGCAGCAAGCACTTGGCATCTGAATATTGACTGGCCCAGGCAGGAGTGTCTTGCACTTGGATTGAGTAGTGCATTTAGAATTGACAGGGATCCATGATGGCTATTTCCTTTCTCCTAGTTGGACTGGTCAGCAGCCCAGTCCTGTTTTGGACTTGCTTGATAGTGAAACTGCGACAGAGGTACTTCGTGATGTACTTGCTTCTCGACACGGAGAAACGAAGATACATAATTGATGTATCAAGAGAAGGTACCAAGACAGCTTGGCTGCTGGACGGGAAGGCCGAACCAATCTGGTGAAGTGACGTCCACCACACTGGAGACTGGCAAATTGCGCCTTCCATAATTCCACGTCCTCGAGATATCGAAAGATCGCTCCGTACCTTTTGGTCAGTTTGGATCAGGGGCGAGCAAGAAGATTGCTATCAATTAAAGTTGTTGCCAGATAAAACCAGTTTCAGGGGCCTGTCAGCGAAGAATATCAATCCCAACACCGATCCGGGCCTATCGCCGATCTCTATTAATTCTGGTGCTATATCAATCTCTTCTTTCGTGCTGCCATCTCCAAAGCCACATCCTTGACCAATCTGCTCTGACGCTGAAGGTCAGTATTATGTACTTCGTCCTATAAGTCGGCGGTCAATGTGTGCCAAGGTCCAGACCATTCATTGTCACAGTTCACGGTGCCAGATCAGTCATCCTTGCAGAGGGAGGGTTACAGTACGATGTGGAGGATGACCTCACCTGCCATTTTGTTCAGTCACAAACTGATGTTTAAGGCGGTGTGTCAATGCTCGAAGGCTGGGGATTGAAGCGGCGTTGAAGCTTCAATTCAAGTACCGACCGATGCTGCCTCAACGTCCTGCTGCTCCTGCTGCAACCTCTCCATCCCTTCGCTACTGAGCTCTCACCAGCGGCAACAAGGGATAACAAATTCCCCGCTTGAGAACCTGAGATATTGACTGCCTGGCAATAGTCAAGCCTATTGATCCCTGCGGCCCACGTGCCTGGTTGCGGTGGGTCTCGTTTCGTCTTTCTCCTGCACCTCGACTTTTCCAGGCGTAGCATTCTTGAGCTCTGAAGATGAAAAGATGAAGTGGAATTGATGGGTCAAACAGGATCGTGGAGGTGAGTATCGTTGTTGTATTACACTATTATCACATTGCCATGGAATGTTACCATATCGAACTTCACAGCCTGTATAATTCTAATATTGAGAGAGAGAGAGAGAGAGAGAGAGAGAGAGAGGAGGAATGCGGGATCCCCGGGATTCCCTCGCTCCTTTTACCAAGTCGTATACTAGCCAGTCGCTGGGGTTCAAGCCGTGTAGTGCACTGTTCAGCATTGATGCCTCAAGCGTGCTCTCCACTCTCCAAGGCCATCATCACCAATAGTGAAGCGTTTCGCACAAAGGTGTGCGCGTGGGGGCCAAGAGGAGGGTTTCTCCTCAAATTGCGGCTAGTCGGTTTGGACCACGGCGCCATGGTGATCCCTTACTCAATCCGACCATTTCTCCGGCCCTCATCAAGCCCGCTTTTTTCATCCAGGAAGCGCTACCATCCTCTTTCGGGCCAGGTCCTTCGCTGGAATGCGGCGCATTGACGACAAGATCTAGAAGTTTGCGTGACGAGTGACTGCTGCACGGTTACCGCCCAGGCTTGAAGGGTGACCAGGGGTCGCATTACACAGGGCGCAAGATTTCGAGCCACTTGAAGTTTGTCCAATGCCCAATCACAATCGCCAGAGGCCAAAAGCCTCGATAAAGTATTATTTGATCTACACTGCTGTGCTTGTCGGGGTTCCCCCCTGTGAAGGCGTTCGTCCCAGTATTAGAAGACCTGCGTTAACTCTATCTCACATAGTATACAGTCTTGTCCAAGTGAGCAAGTTATCTTCGCGTTCGCTGTATCGTCGACGCAACCAGTTGACGGGTGGCATTGTAAGTGTGGCGAGCAGAGGGCAGGCTATTGGCGCCACCACATGTCGATAATCTCCTCCGCAGATAATCAGCGATTGCGCATTCAAAGCAAGCACTTTTGTCCTTTTTCTTGTGCATAGTGTGGTGAGGCGTCCGTATCTAACCAATCCTGACGAACAACAGGGTCTCGGATCCCTCACTCCACCGCCCTTTCGCATCACAAAGGAAATATTCTAGAATGTTTCCAGTTGCGGCTCTTCATTCGCTCACGTTTTCTCGACGATAGGCTCCATTCCTGTAGCGAAGGGCAGCTGGTTTGGCTTAGCCGGGTCTGGCCTGGCCATAGTCTGTCTGCGTTCGGTGGCTGTTGAACATTCACCGAGAGGAAACTGAACCCTGAGATCCGGCGCTGTGGTTCAGCCCAGCAAGATCATAGGCTCCTATCCTCGAGTACAAGTACATTGCATCACGTTCACTCGCCGGTCTGAACTCACAACCTCCAGCTTTTTTCTCCGTGGTTTCATCCCCTTTGCCTCGTACATAAGACCCACTTGGAAAGCGACCTGCTACAAGGAAACCGATAAGGCCAAATGCCGAGAGTTCCTAGTGTTGTTGATGTTACTGGTAATAGACCAAATGTCGTCAGGATCTCCACTGTGGCGCACGAAGGATGGGCTCAGAGAGAATAATGGCCGAGGCATCTCCCTGCGCGGTGGAATGCCCCCAGCATGTGGAAGAAACGAGCTCTTGATCCATGGAAGACGTCATGCTGGTGATGGTTTGTTGGGCAATTCAGGAAGCAAAAGGAGACAGCTTCCAACTACTTGACGCATCTATTGCATCTGTTGCATGCAATCTACCTGTAATGTCCCAGAATTTGGCAGCATCTGGTTCTCTTCTTGGGCACCCTCCGGGTTGCTTCGTACACTTGGCGACCATAATTTTTCTTCTCTCTTTTCTTTCTCTTGGGAGCAGCAAACACCAGGCCATGCCAAATAGGATTAAGAGGGCGGCAACGAAAACACCCCTATATCGCTAATCCATCCACGGTCTCGCGATGATGAAGGGGGTGTCCTTGCATCTTTGAAGTTTGCTTCAAGTTCGAAGTATCCATGCACTGTGGCTACATCGCTACGGAGTACACTAATTCCGCCTCCAAAGATTCTCGATAAACTAGCATCGAGAGGCTATTTCACCAAGTGGCAATGCCTTTCGGTGTTTGCTACTCCAGGCCCTGTTAATAACCGCTCCCAAGGTCTTGGGTCGTGGTCCCCGTTCCAGGGTGTTGGAGTCGGGTTTCCTCGCAGTACAGATCTTTGGGTCCGCCCCCAGCCCCAACCTCAACCCCAACCTCCTCGACCATCAAAGCTACATCAAAGCTACATTGAATCATACCACAACCATGAAATAGCTGTCAATTGACGCTGTCAAACAGGCAGGAGAAAGGGGAGGGCGTGTTTCACGGCCGCGACCTCCAGGGCTGAACTGCACTCCGGTCTGCCCGCCAGTCGGAAGGAGAACGAACCAATAAAAGTTGTGACCCAACTGCTGTACCTGCGCATCTAAGGGTTGTGACGCAGGGGATGGTGGCAGCGCGTGTGCTCTTCCTCACACGAATCCCGCCTCGCCTGGCAGTTCGCCACCACCAACCGCGAAATATGAGCTCTCACGCGAACGTTGGAACTAACGCCGCTGGAGTGGTGTCGTGGAGGGGATCTACGTGCGTACGATGGGTCTAACTTCCTACCATGCGACAGCCCTCGTGGCGTGCAAGCCACCAACATGGGGCCAAGTTACGGCGAGCTTACGATGTGCGCACAGTCTATGTATGGTTATGAGGTTCTGTTGATAACAGAACTGTCCAGCCCCTCTTCAGCTTGATCCCTTTCGAAGAGAGTTTTGGTGCTTGCGCCAGAGACCATCCTTGGTTAGCCAGCCCTCCCCCACCCCCTCCGGCGGGACTCTGGGCACCGCCAGGATAAGGCGAAGGTTCAGAAAAGATGCAGGAGTGGTTCAGAACGATCCAAAAGCTGCGGCTGGGCTGGACTTCTATTAAGCGAGCCGCCTTCAATATCAGGATGTGAAAGGAGGGTCTAGACACATCGTTGATGGTCAGCAAACATTTATTGGTGGTGGTGATGGGCGAGGTACTGTGGACATCGAGGGTGGTTGATACAGATGTCACGGTACGAAGGATTCAGACAAGAGCGCTTGTGCATCGTTTGGTTTCTTTCTTGGGGCTGTTGGCGTCAATATGCTGCTTCATTGACACGACTCAATAGGAGCAGGGGGCAACATCAATTGAGCTTCAACCGCGGCTCGCAGCACTCACGCAGCCAGACAGTCAGACCATTGTCCAAAAAAAAAAAAAAATTAAGCTTGGACGAACCCCCCAGATCAAAAAAAAAAAAAAAAAAAAAAAAAAAAAAAAATGACAAGTTGCACAATCGACATTACGTCTAATTTTAGAGTTTTTGCTGTTAATCTCGAGACGCCCTCATCCCCAATCGCCAGGAATGCAGGGAGGAACAGGGAGAATATTCGACAAGGGATGCCCAACTTTAGAGATATTCGAGATTTTCCAGGATCAACATCAGCCGATCAGCCTCCAAATGGAGGGTAGAAGTCGGGAACGCCATTGTCAGCCGAGAGAGATGGAACAATCCAGGATCTCGTCGTGCATGAGCGCAGACGAAGATTTCTGCTTCCGGCGAAGTGCGTCCGAAATGGCCAGGCTCTCGAACCCGTTTGTTGGGGGCGCTGGTTTGCGCTTTTAATATTCCTGCGAGTCGCCTTTGCAGTTATTAGCTGTCAGCCGTCTTTCTTCCCTCAGTCTCAATTGATCAATTGATGTTTGCTGCTTAAATTGATCTTATATTGCGGATCGCTCCGATGCCTGCTTTGGCCGGCTCATTCCGCGTGGTCCAAAGTCCCAGGAACCAAAACCCCTGGGATTCTGGTTTTTGTGTTTCGGATCATTCTGGACATGCTTGATTCTTAAATGGCGTCTTATAGCTCGCCGTGGACCGGAGAAGAGTCTCCTTTTTTTTTTTCGACGATCCTTCTCATTGCCGTCACCTGGCCTCCTCATTTTTCAGTAGCCGATGGGGTCTCTCCACTTGGCTGCGCCATTTGATCTTGGCGGACGCTGCACCGCTGCACCGCTGCACGACTTGCACTACGAAGCACGTATGCGGACGAAGACGAGGTGCGTGTAGGTTCGAGCGAGAGCGAGGGAGCCCGTCAATCAGGGACGGCGATAGCTGTTAATAACACGCCATTAAGATCCCCAGAGCGGCACTAGGTCGCCGAACCCCAGATTCACACGGAAGCACGTACGATCGATTTGTGTGGAGGGAAATTGCCCCGTCGACTGAGCCAAGACATTTCCCCAGGATTTTCGTATCTTCCGCATTCGGGATCTCGGTGGGGAATTTCGTGCTAGTTTCCATCGCGCGAGCTTTGCCAAATTGCGGTTCCGGTTGCCAGTCCTGTCGTAGTCCGTAATTTGTAATTTGTACTTTGAGAGCTTCCCCGCAGTTTCGCTCTGGCGGAGTCGGATCTGAAAGCCGGGCTTGGAGCCTCGGATCGGTAATGCTTTTGAGGGGGGAAGGCGGGGTGACGTGAGCCGTGAGCCGTGAGTGGTGATTGACGATGCGCCTGGCAACAAGAGCCGCTCCTACCCCTTTCGGCCTCACGAGCTCAACGGATTTGATCGTTCTCATCTTCACACACTGAGAAGACATCGTGGACAAGAATTGTACAAGTTGTTGTTAGCGAAAATACCAATTCGCTGTCTCATCCATCACTATCTTATACAACAAAGTCTAAACCTAAGACGTCACAGCTTTCGGACACCGCAAAACCTTGAATTGGCGGTGTTGACGCAGGGCAATTGAGAGCACACTTGTGGACACGGAAACGCAGCAAGCATCTGCCGAAACAGGACGAAGCAACTCGTCGTGCTGTGATTGAAGGAAGAGAAAACAATGGCTCCTCTCACTCCTCTCACCAGAGTTCTGCCTAGTGTACGTGTGTCCAGATCATGGCAATTCAATTTGCTATCGATTCCCCCATTCCTAGAGAGTTCTCTCATCTCACTCATCCCCATCATCTAGGCGGCATCGCGGGCCACCAGCCTCCTCCGAACTATCCAGTTCACTCATCCTCCAAGCTGTCCCTGCCACTCCAATCCCAACTATCACAAGACTCCGACGAGTCTTACGCAGCGGAACTATGAGAAGAACAGGCAGTATGCCACTCCTGTAGACGGTGCGTTGGCCAAGGAGTATGCCTTTGAGATGGCGGCTTCTTCCATCCGGTTCGGACCCGGCGTCACGCAGGAGGTCGGCATGGACCTGAAGCACCTCGGCACCAAGAAGGTCTGTGTCGTCACGGATCCTACAATTGACAAGCTGTTCCCGATGCAGCAGGTTAGGGAGAGTCTGGCCAGGGAGGGAGTCAACTATGTTGTGTATAACAACGTCTCCATTGAGCCTAAAGACACCTCGTACGTATTCAATTTCGCGCCTCAAAGGAGAAAGGAAATACATAATCATGCTAACTAAGAGCCTCAAAGTGTAAAGGAGGCAATTGCATGGGCCAAAGCCCAAAACGTCGACTCCTTCCTCGCAGTCGGCGGCGGTTCCGTCATTGACACTGCCAAGCTCATGAACCTCTACACCACCTACGCCGACGCGCCCTTCCTCGACTTCGTCAATGCACCTCTCGGCAACGGCCGCCCCGTGGACCGACCTCTCAAGCCGCTCATCGCCGTGCCCACCACCGCCGGAACGGGTTCCGAAACCACCGGCACCGCCATCTTCGACCTCACCACCCACCACGCCAAGACCGGCGTCGCCCACCGCAACCTCAAGCCGCTCCTCGGCATCTGCGACCCCCTCAACATGCGCACCATGCCCAGCGCCGTCAAGGCCAGTTCCGGTCTAGACGTCCTCTGCCACGCGCTCGAGTCCTGGACTGCCATTCCTTACACGGAGAGGAAGCCGAGGCCGGCGCATCCGCTTCAGAGGCCAGCGTATCAGGGTGCGAACCCCATTAGTGATGTGTTTTCGCTGCATGCGTTGAAGAGGACGGTGAAGTATTTGCCAAGGGCGGTGCATAATCCGGATGATTTGGAGGCGCAGAGCGAGATGTTGCTTGCTGCTACGTTGGCGGGTATTGGGTTTGGTAACGCCGGTGTCCATCTCTGCCACGGTATGGCTATCCCTCTTTTCCCTTCTTTCTTCTTGCCGGTCTTTTCTTTCGTCTTCGCTTGGCTGGAGTTATTTTGCTTCGTCACTAACAAACACATTGCAGGCATGTCCTACCCCATCTCCGGAAGAAACCCAGGCTACCACCACAAGGGCTACGAGGTCAACAAGCCTCTAATCCCCCACGGTGTCTCCGTCGCCGTCACAGCCCCCTCCGTCTTCCGCTTCACCGCGCCTTCCAACCCCGAGCGCCACCTTGCCGCGGCCGAGGCGTTCGGTGTCGACATCACCAACGCTAAGCGCGAGGATGCCGGCGAGATCCTCTCGGACGCCATTTCGCGCTTCCTCGAGGAGCTAGGCGACCAGCCTAAGGGCCTCAAGCCTCTGGGCTTCACCTCGAGCGATATCGATGCGTTGGTGGAGGGAACGCTTCCTCAGCGTAGGGTAATCGTTTTGGCGCCTGGTATTGAGGGTGGAGAGAATGATAGGGAGGTTCTAACTCGGTTGTTTGAGCATGCATTGGAGAGGAAGTAGGAGGTATATAGCAGGACGGGTATATAATCTTGCTGTAGTAGGTTCCTCGCTGTAGTAGGTTCCTCGCTGTTTAGTCACATCCAATTCTCTCTGTGGAAGCTATTACAATCCTGCGCCCGTTGTAGCGTTTATGTGCTAGGACGCGAACCGTGACTCTTCTACGGTGATTCCCAGCTTTCCTTATAGAGATGGATGAAGTCTACGCTCGTCATGTTCTCCTTCATGGGAAGGGTTCTTCCTATGAGAGAAACAGATGGGGAACGGTGGAACACCGAACCCGAGACAAGAAGGAATTTTGCAGGGCTACTGCTAAAGTTCTCACGTTAACTTGATCTTCTTTGCTATAATTTGTGACCATCATCTCACCTCGTCGTCAGCACTGCCGATGACAACACTTCCAGCCATGAGACCGCATATTATCTATTGCCCTTCTTTTGCGTAATCGTAATGAAAGACGCCACTGGAAACAATCCAGCTTGCTTCTCCTCCGACTCGTTGGCGTATAAATGTTGTGTTTTGGTCGGCGGGCACCTAATTTAGTGGATCTGGGCGCTGTGGTAGAAGCTAAAGACCGCCCTGCCTGGCTCCCTGTTTGGGTGCCGTTGGAGTCGCCTTGATCATGGTGCTTCGTTCACGAGAATAATTGATTGGACATAGATATATACGCCCTCGCCAGAACCTCGAAAAGAGGGCAAGAAATTTTGCAAGAAATTTTCCTAAAACTGTTACTGGAGAGAGTGGTATTTGACCTGCAAAGGGATGATCGGGAACAGCCTCTGTTGTGCGGCGGGAAAAGAGATCGGAAGACGAACTTGGGCTTAGCCCGAACCGGAGGCGGTTCTCCAAGTCAGCTCACATCCCATACCCGCCAGTCGCAGCGCTGACCTCCAAGTTGGAGACATGGCTGCGGGGTGTCAGATTCCCGAGGGATATTTTGAAGTGTATTTGATCGGCGAACATTTCTCAGCGATATTAGAAGATGTAGGTTAATTATTCCAACAGCAACAACATCAGACATAGTCTTTACAATGGCATCTAATCCGCCGGGAGCGTGCTGTACCACCGGCTTCAAACACGAGTAAGCAGTCTCCGACGTTTCTCTCACTCTCCCTCCTATGCTCCACCTTCATAATTCTCGCACCCCTCTGTCGTCTGTGTCACTGAGCATAGCCATGCCTGTTGCTCCTCATACTAACTCACGCTCTCCCTGCCTGTTCCCAGAGGTAATCCTCGAGGGACGGCCATCAAGATCGCCGGGAAATGGGACGCCTACGTCACTAAGCCGCAGGATGGCAAGCCTAGCCGCAAGGACGTTGCGGTTCTGATCATCCCCGACGCGATAGGTCTCGGTTGGGATAACGTGAGACTCCTGGCCGACATCGTCGCTGAAAGTGGCTACACCACTCTCGTTCCCGACATCTTCAACGGAGATCCCATCAAGCCCAACGAAATGAACACGGTGGATATACCTAAGTGGATCACCGAGGGTTCGGACGGGCGCAATCCGCACACGCCGGATGCCATCGATCCTATCGTCGAGGCAGCCATCGACACGCTGAAGAAGGACTACGGAGCGCAGAGGATCGGCGCCATGGGTTACTGTCTCGGTGCCAAGGTAAGTTACGGATCTCCCTCTGTTTGATGTTTCTTAGAGTAGAGGCAATTCTGAACAACTCCGTGCATTAGTACGTCGTCAGGCATTTCAAATCCGGCGTCAACGTCGGGTTCCTCGCCCATCCGACCATGGTTACCGATGACGAACTCGCGGCCATCACTGGCCCGCTCTCCATCGCCGCTGCTGAGACCGACCCGATCTTCCCGGCTGAGAACAGGCACCGATCAGAGGGCATCTTGCAGAAGACCGGGCAGCCCTACCACATCTCTCTCTTCTCGGGTGTGGCGCATGGGTTCGGGCTGCGGGCTGACCTGTCTAAGAAGGACCAGCGGTTCGCACAGAAGCAAGCGATCTCGCAGGCGCTCGCTTGGTTTAGTCAGTACCTCTGAGGATGAAGGAGGGATTCGAAGTAGTATACATGGGAGTGAGCGGGGAGTGGTGAGGTCCAGTTTGAGTGGGTGCCGTTGGGACGCATCCTACATTTTACAAGCTTAGAAACATTTTTGGGATATAGGAAGATAGAGATAAATCTGACGAGTCTGGCGATCTTTGATCTCCATTTTGGATGGGCAACTGAATATCGCAACTCCTGCATATGAATTTGTGATCTTGCCTATTCTCGTGTGGAAACTAAAGGCAAATAAAATGAGGGCATGAAGGCAAAAGAGGCCACGGGCGATTCTGATGTCCACCCGCCAAATGGGCCTGCAGATTAATGCAGCCCGTTACAATGTGGCTGATAGCCTGGCTAAATGGGCTAGGCGCAGAGAACTACTAGCTCAGAAACTCAACTATCGCAACTGACTAGAGGTTCTTAAGGTCATCGCCTGACCCTGGTTCATCTTCATGACCCTTGACATTTGTCAAGTCAAGGACATATTTACTCACTCATTATCTCTCTCAAGCTTAGCCGACGGCGAATTAAAAAATAATCAGAATAAAGACTATAGGAATTAATATGTCAAATTGCCCTCTCTCTTCCAAACTCTTCACCTACCCTCCTAGCCTATCCTTGTCACTCGGCGACAATCTTAGAGGAGCCATACATTCTCGTTCCATCCATTCAATCAAACCCGTCGAATATTGTAATCAAACATCGCATTCGAGGGCGCCGAGTTCCTGTCTCGGAGCTTCTTCGCCGTATCAATCCCCGCCACGGGGACGCGGTACTCCACCGACCCTCCCGCGCTGGCGCCCTCCTTTCCAGCTTCTGACGATATCGGGTAAGGGAAGGGGAGATACTCGGGCATCAGGCCGAGCTGCCGCAGGACCGTGCCTTGATCCCACGTAATATGTTCATGGTAGAGCCGGTCCCCGCGGATGTTCACCACGGCGGTGAAAGGGATTTCAGCCTTGAGGTTGGTGGCAGGTACGCCGGGGATGCTGGGACGTTTATGTGTTAAGGACAGGGCACACGACGGTTTGGTCATGATGAGAGTTTGCTTACAGCCAGTCAATCACGCGGTCGTGCGTAAACTTGAAAATAAACTCGTCAATGATGCGGTCGATGGCGATTGACCGGCTGACGAGCTCCAGCTCCGTGTCGGCCGAGTTAAGGAAGATGAAGTTGTCTCGGTAGAACTGCGTGAGCGATGCACGGCCGACGCCACCCGTCATCTACAATGAATGATAACATCAGACTTGAACTTGCTCATCTCTTCGTACAAATAAACACTTACTGTCGGCACATGGTTCACGTATGGCTCCTGGACCATGGTGCTCATGGTGTGCTCGACGGAGCGATCGGCAAACTCGTAATAAGTGTGCTCATCCCAAATGGTCTCCAGATCAAAGTACGGCCCACCCATGATGGGCTTGAGGTGCTGTAGGCTCCTCGTGTGGGACCGCGCCTCAGTCGTGTAGTGGAAAGAGGGCTGGAAGGGCGTGGAGAATTTGTACGTCTTCATATCAGGGTAGTAGTAAGCCAGAGCCGTCCCGTTCTCCCGCTTATACCGACCTTCCTCACCCGCGACCTGCGACTTGCCAGCGAGGTGGTGGACCACGGGGACCGGGCTGGCAGCGAGGTTGGCCTCATCGGAGGCATCGGCGTAGTTGATGGCCGCTACGATAGATGAGTCCTTCAAGGCCGGAGCAATCTTGTTCCATAGGCTGGGGCCGTACGCTGTGTTTGGGAGAATTTAGAAGAGTTATTAGACTTCATCTTCCCCGTTTAATAAACGCACGACCTGGGAGAACCTACAGACCAGTCCCACCTTTCCCTTGGGCTCGCACTTGTCGCATTGGGATAACGCCTCGGTGGCCTGCTTGAGAGCAGCTTCACCAAGTGCGCGCTCCTCGACCTGCACGACGGCATAACCCTCCTCGGCCCATTTTATCAGGGGCGACGGGACACCCTCGGCGATGTTCAAGTGCTCCGTCGTGTCGGGCACAAGCAGCACGAGGCCGGGCCCATGACCGCGGCGTGATAGCGGGAGTAGCAATCCCACGCCGGGTGAGAGCTCCGTAAATTGGATGCTGGGAAGCGGCGGCGGGGGCTTTGAGATGTCGTTGTACATGGTGGGCAAGATGAGATGAGGGAGATGTTGATCAATCCAATTGATTTGCTTATTCTTTTCTCTGGGCTCTCTAGAGGCTTTCTCTGTATCAATTGATGTCTTCTTCCACAGAGATGTTAATTCTTGTTCACAGGATGGAATGGATGGAATAGAATAGCTGAATTAATGCGCTAAGGTTTGCTTGTCAATTGAGGTGATCGGATTGCATGATTATAGTTCACCGTCCAACCTTCCCGCTCCTCCATTACAACATCGAACATTAGCACACGCTCCCTTATCGTCTAGCTCGTCTAGTGTAAGATTGATCCAAGGGCATGACGCCCTGTGCCGATGCAGGATGCAGGTTGTCGGAAGTGTTCTATGTTCTGGACCATCCCACTAACACCTCCGCCTTTGCCTTTTTACCGCGGCACGCACCCCAGATTAGATTCTCCTCACTCCTCACGCCCCATTCCTGTTGCCCCTCATCCTCAACCCCTCCTCCCCTCATCCCCCTGAGCAACATCTCCGGTGACGCATCAACGCCTCTCCCCCGCATCTAGCTCCGTTAGAGCCCTGTCTTATCGGGAACTTCTGTACCTCGTGATAGCTTCGGCTGCAGTGCTAGTGTAGATAGATTGGGTGCTGCAGCCGCCGCTAACGTCGCGCCAGAAGCTCGGCTCGATTACAAGGTCGTAGGCACTAGGGTTGTTAGTTCATGTTAGCTGGCCATCCACCCTTCAATCGTAAGAAGCAGAAGTCGGGGCTCTCTCGGACAGGGTTTCTTAGGAATCACCGCTTCTTGTTCTTCTGGATAGCTTTCTTATCACGCCAGGCGAGCTTGCCAGTTTTCTATCCTCAAGCTCTTGATCCCTGTTAGCGATCCAAAATTAAACATTGATCTTTTCATTTCATTTTATTTTATTTCTAAAAGGTGAAGAAGAAAAAAATGGCCGACAAGCTCGACGACGTCCGCCCCATGTTCGAGCTGCGCAACCGCAACTTCATCGTGACCGGAGGCGCCCAGGGCATCGGTTTCGCCGCAACTCGCGCCATCTGCGAGATGGGCGGCAATGTTGCCGTTCTCGACATCCAGGACAAGCCAGTCGAAGAGTTCAACACCCTCGCAGAAAAATTCGGCAGCAAGACAGTATACATCAAGACCGATGTGACGGTGGAAGCTAGCCTGAACGAGGCCTTCGCCAAAGCTCTCGCCGAGCTCGGTACCATCGATGGGCTTGTGCCGGCGGCGGGCATTGCGATTGACAAGCCTTTTGTCGACCAGACCTGGGACGAGTTTACGCGCATTCAGGAAATCAATGTGAGATTGCTTTACATACCTTATATCCTCCCTTTTTATTTTATTTTATTTTTTTTTTTAAACCCTCTAGTCAATTGTCATACATGAGATGATGGGAGAAAGATCCGAGGGCTGACGTTTATAATTTCCTTGTGCAATAGGTCCGCGGAACCTTCTTCATCGCCCAGCTAGTGACCAAGCAAATCATCAAGCAAGGCACCGGCGGCAGCATGGTCCTCATCGCCTCTCAATCGGCCCACATCGCCCTCCCCGGCTACCGCATGGCCGCTTACAACGCCTCTAAGGGCGGAATCCTGATGCTCGCCAGGGCACTGGCCGTCGAGCTGGCGCCTCACGGCATCCGCGTCAACACCATCTCGCCGGGCTACGTGGACTCGGAGATGACGCGCTCGGTGCGTGCCATCAAGAGCAAGCGCGAGGGTGACCAGATGTGGCTGTCGCCGCCGTTGAAGCGCCTGAGCACTCAGAATGACCTCACGGGTGCTATTATCTACCTCTTGAGCGATGCTGCTCGGCATACTACGGCGACGGATATTCAGATCACTGGAGGTTTGCATGCGGGAACGATCGATGGTGTTATTACCTGGGAGTAAGAGAAGGACGGAGGACCTGGATATTGGGGTTAAAATATATATAGATCAATGAAAAAGTGGATGAACTTGCCCTACGATTTCTCTGCAATTTTATATCCGTAAGGCTGCTGTTATCGTGAGAGGCGAAAGCCCACTGCTGTACGTGCTCTACTCGCGACTAACACAGTAATGACGAGGGACTTGGAGAGTTGGTGCTAAGCAGAGAACATAAGATCACTGGAACTTACATCAATATCAATTGATCAATTTTTCGCGTGTCATTGGGAGCCTCCCCCTGTCGATTAAGATTAGTTTTGTGTTCTTGGGGCACATTGACTTTCGAGATGGGCAGGACACTTTAAAGTCTAGCAATAAATCGTGTTGTTATTGGACATTAAATTCACTAGAATCATCAACTCACGCCAAAACATATTCAAAGAAAACATATTTTCCGCGGCAGACTTCCCCCGACATACAATCTTAAAATCAAGCTAGGATTCAGTTAAAAGGAAACAAAGGGAAACAAGATGAATAAATAGAGAAAACGGAGATACGTCAAAGAAGCTAGCGGATGGGGTATTCTCCTTTGCATACGCCCTTTCCATCATTTCTTAGCCTGCAAAGCGAGCCACTCCTGTGTAATGCCCTTGTAGTCCCGGGGCTTGTATGGTTCCAGCAATTCGTTAATCTGGGTGTCCTTGCGACGACACGGGAGCCCGAGGTCGTTCATGAGCAAGTCTACGTAGGGCAGCGAGTCGAAGGCAAAGTCGGGAAGGTTCGCGCCATATCCACAAGGATACCGCCACTTGCCGAACTGAGTGTGAAGCATGACCTCGTCGAGCACCTCGGCGTCGTTCTTGGGGGCCCGCGTCAGCTTCCCGTCGAGGAAAGCCGAGATCCAGAGGCCCTGGATGCTGGCGAACATGGCGGTGCACACCGTCGACACCATGCCCGCGTAGGCGATGTTGCGGTCAAACACGGCACCCGACGGCACGATGAAGCGGTAGTTCCGCATCGGCTCGGACGCGCCGTTCCCGTTCTTGGCGTTGGTGCCGTTGGCGACCCCGTTGGTTTCAGCGGTTGCCGACGACGACGACACGGGGGCCTTGGAGATAACGGGCTGGTCCTTGAGGGTGGGGAAGAGGTCGCGCACACGTTTGTCTGCCTCTTGCGCGAGGCGCTGGCACTCTTCAGGAGACTTCTGGAGCCCCACGTCGAAGTTCTGGAGCTTGATGCCCGATTCCTTCTTCCATCCCGTCGCGCAGATGATCACATCCGAATCCACAACTTGGCCGTCGCTGAGGTACACCTTGTTGTCGGCGTCGAGCCGCTCGATCTCGGCGAGATGCGGGCGGACCTTGCCCTCGCGCACGAGGTCGAAAAAGTTGGTAGGGTAGTTGTGGATGCTCACGCCACTACCAGTCCACTGCGGACTATGCCAAGGCTTCATCTTAAACACCTCCGGGTGCTCGTTGTAGCCGTGCGCCTGAACCACATCGGCCTTGATAAAGTTCCAGAAGTTGCCGACGAGGATCTGGCCCAGCGCCGAGTTGTGAAGGAAGCTCCGCACGATGCCGAAGCCGTCCTCGCCGCCCCAGGGGCACGGGCTGAACCACGTCAGGGCGCGCGTGCTCAGCAGTTCCTCCAACATGCGCTTTAGCGGCGTGACCCAAGGCGGGCTGATCCAGACGGGGCCAGCGCCAGTGGGACGCATGACGAGGTCGACGGTGGCGCCGGCTTCGGCAGCGAATACGTAGGCGCAGTCGAGCGCCGATTTGCCGGCGCCGACGACGACGACCTTCTTGCAGTCTTTGACGGCGTCCCTTTGTCGATGGAAGTCCTTGGCGTGGAAGAACGGTGCCGTGTACTTCTCTTGACCAGGGTAGGTGGGAAGGTTGGGGTTTGTTGTTAGGCCGGTGGCGACGATGAGCTTCTGGGTGTGTAACACCTCAATCTCCGCATCCTTCTGCTGGCCCTTACTTGGTCGAACGTGCACCTTCCAGCTATTATCGCCGGGCACGGCCTCGATTGCATCTACGGCCGTATCGAAGCGCGTGCGCTCGAAGACGCCAAAGTGTTTGGCGAAATCGGTGAGGTACCGGTGCATCGTGGCAGCGGGAACGTGCTCGCCATACTTGACGCCATAGACCTCCTCGACCATGGGGAAGTCAGGGTGCTCGTATGAGCCCCAGAGGTTGTTGGACTTGAGGCCCGGGTAAAGCCGGTCCCGGGACCAGGTACCACCGCATGTGCTCTCAGCCTCGATGACGAGGATCTTTTCATCTGGGTGAAGCTCGATGTACGACTTTGCAGCCGAGAGGCCGTACCACCCTATAAGCTCGTCAGGACCCGTGCCACGATATCGTGTAAAAGCAGGCAAAAAGAGGGACAAAACAGAGAAGCAAAGGAAAATGGCTCAAGCAGGGGAGTGGACAAAGCAAGGAGAAAGACAACGTGAGGTTTCGGTGAGAGTGCGAGTAACAACGCAAAGGAAACAACTTACCGGCGCCGATGACGATTACGTTGTAAGTTGGGGCCATTATTCACTGCTTTTTTCCTAAGTTTTCTTTTTTATCTATCTTGTCCTTTTCTCTGCGGCTCTCTCCACACAATCGAGAGTCCAACAACGAACGGGTGATATAGGAATTATCTCTGTCTCGCAACCCCATGCTGCCCCCATGCTTCCATGTATATTTAGTTCCATTTACGACTCTAGCATACGAAGTACTTAGCGGATGTGACACCGCACTCCAAAGATGTACGAAGTAGGGAATGAACAGGGATCGGGTGCGGGTGCCTGGAGAGGAAACAAAAGCCGCAAAGAAGAAGAAAAAGAAGAAAAAAGAAGAATAGGAAGCGCTCCTGCAAGCATAGTATGAAAACCGGCGGATTCTAGGGCCTACCGGGAAATGCTCGAGAAAGATAAGGTGTACCATATCCGAAATGATGATGGGTGATTGTTGGGTGCCATCGGGCGAACCTTGAGAAGCCTCGTAACCCCAAAAGAGACGGAACTAGCAACAACTACAGGGCCACCAACACACCGATGGTCTGGGCCTAACCGAAGAGCTTATCACTCGAGAATGCGGGGGAATTGTGGGGAGAATGCACCATCACCAATCCCCCGCCGTAGGATTCCCTCGTCTTTGCTCGTTTTGGCATCCAATTTCGACTTAGCTTATGAATTTCCATGCTCCGCCAAGCCCGCCCTGACCTTCTATCTCACATCCCACAGATACGCCGCCTCGAAGTCCACCCTCCAGAAGGTCCTCTCCCCAACCTCCCTGGATACTCCTCTATCGGGTGGGGGCAGTCTGGGATGATCTTGCCGCCTCCGACTCCTGAAACGGTCGGAGGCATCCAGCTAGTGTTGGCTGGTTCCATCCACGCGGCCGACCTTCTCCGATTCGTTGTCCTGCGGTTTGGCGGCGTTGGTCAACATGCTCTAGAGGCCCTATCTCTCATCCTTGATATTGTTGGAGAGAGCCATCTTGCCATTGAGCTTGCAGACCCGCTTAAAGATGGGGACTCGGAGCAGTAATCGGCGCAATGGAGGTGTTCACATGTAGGCGGGGAAAACAAACGAGAGCGACGATGCTGCGAGATGTAGGTTGTCAGAAGCTGCACTGCCAAGAGCGGTATAAGTGGCGCCAGCAGCGTAGGTTTCTTCCACTCTTGGAGGCTCCTCGAACAATATGCGAGCAGCCCAAACAGGGTCTTCCGGATGACCGACGATATAGAGCCAAGCCACCGTCAACCTGTGGGGAAGCGGAATGCGAACACAGTGATGCCAATTCGCGACATGAAGGCGGGCGGCTTTGACTAAGTTGATGGTGATGGCAGCTGGTTAGACCATGGATATCCCCTGATTGTACTTCGTAATACTTCGTATGTGTTTTCTGATTCCCCTCGGTTGTACGAAGTATTGCGCGGGATATTAATAGAACATCCACAGAAGAGAATGGGCAAAGGTGTCAAATCCTAATTCCTATTTATTATAAAAAGGAAAAAAAAATTAATAAAATAAAATAAAACGACTAACGACTGAAAACGAGAGGCTGAATACTAGAAGACTGACTGAACTGATTCACTTCACTTGTGAACCAGCAAGTAAAGAAGAGGGACAACAGGAGAAGAAAACTGCCACCTCAAACCAGGAACAATGTATTCCCGTTCCATGGCTTTCTGTTCTGTTTCGCAACCGCCGACATTCGCCAGGTCCACGACGCGACGGGCACGACCAACCCATCATACTAGGTTTAGATATGGGAATATGCTACTATTAATATCTAGAGCGGAGAGAGAGCACCTACTGAGAAAGAGGATTGCTCTTAAGGGCAGATCAGATAATGTTTAGGTTTGCTCGACCCTGTCTCCGAGAGAGATTTCAATTTGCAAGGAGCGTAAGGCAACTAACGAGCCTTGCCGCCGCCAAAACGGACCCTTGCCAACCCTTCGAAGAGGAGCGACTCCCCTGGTACGACCCGGATCAATTCTATCCGGTTCGAATTGGAGAAATTCTCGACTCCGAATACAAAGTCCTGGGAAAGCTTGGGTACGGCTCATATTCAACAACCTGGCTCTGTCGAAATATCAGGTACTCTTCGTGTTACATCAAGTTGTTCTTGCTCAGAGGCTAACGCAATCATAGAGACGCCGGGTTTGTCGCCGTAAAGGTCTGCACTCGAGATAGTGGCCAATCTGACCGTACTCGCCGGGAGCTGCAGTTCTATGAGCACGCCAGTTCACTCAACTCGCAGCACCATGGCCAATCCTTCATTCGCGATCTATACGGAACATTTGAAATCGCCGGCCCTGTCGGACAGCACCTGTGCTTGGTTCATCCCCCGATGCACATGACTATCCAAGAGCTCCAGTACAAGAATCCATCACACCGACTGAATGAAACCCTTTTGAAGTGGACGTTGTCCAACCTACTTAACGCGCTTTCCTTTCTACACGATGAGGCCAATACGGTACATACTGGCAAGGGCTTAGAGGTCTGTAATAACGTTCTTAGCTAATAAATAAATTAGACATTAGTCCTTCGAATATCATGTTAACCCTCGAGGATGAATCTATACTTCATGATTTTGAAAAAGCCGAAGCGGACGAACCGTCGCCGACAAAAGCCATCGACGATACCCGCATCATTTATGGCTCGCGTGAGTTTAGGCTTCCCAAGGGTTCTCTGTGGGGTCAACCAGTCCTCTGTGACTTTGGAGAAGCTCGAATTGGAAGCTCGCACAGAGGTTTCATTCAGCCCGAACTATACCGTGCCCCGGAGGTGTTGTTCGGCATGGAGTGGAATTTCGCCGCTGATATTTGGAACGCTGCCGTTCTGGTGAGTATATATATATCCACGACCAAACACTCGCTTGTTACTGAAATTATTGATGTGATAGATCTGGGATCTGTTTGAGAATCGACCTTTGTTCAGAGCGATGGATGAGAATATGGAATCCTCAGAAACAGCCTACGTTGCTGAAATGGTTGCATATCTTGGGTTACCTCCTCTCGAGTACATCCAAAGAAGCGAGATGACGAGGAAAGTTTTTGACGACCAAGGTTCGCAAAGAGACTTCAACCTCATCACGTTAAGCAACTAACTCGAGATTTTCAGGATGCTGGAAGGGGGCTGGAGGTATAGCGATCCCGCGACTTTCACTTGGGGATTCAGTCTCGGCCCTCGATGGTGAAGCGAAAGCAGAGTTTCTCAATTTCATAAAATCAATGTTAAAATGGTTTCCGGAGGAGAGAAAGCGAGCATCCGAACTCCTTGAAGATCCGTGGATGGCCGAAGCGAAAACATATTAGAAGAAATCGGGCGCATGGTTTAGTGGTATAATTCCTCTTTAGCATAGAGGCGGTCCCCGGTTCGATTCCGGGTGCGTCCAAGGACTTTTCCTTTTGGCCTTTTTGGCCCCTTTTTTACTTACCTTTTTCATAATGCAATTTTTCAAGAGAAGAGAAACCGAAATCCGATATTCATATAAAATCTAAGAGAGCTTCTTCCCTCGTTACTTCATAATATCGGGGTAGAGGTGATACGCCCATCTCAAATTAAGTGCGGCCACTGGATATGTCTAACATGAAATTTTTCGCACAGAATATCCACGCAAAGACGCAGTGGATTTTAGTCCATCGCATTGATGAGTCTATGTAGGGCATTCCGTATAGGCCGCAGTCAAGCAGAGCCATCTATTGATTATTACTTCGTAGTTCTAAATCACCTTAGCCTCGCTATCCTTGTACTGTCCAAGCTTAAACAGCGCCTTCGCATTCTCCCTGCCAATCTTAGCCCGGTCCCTCGTGCTCATCTCGGCGTTGTCGAACCAGTCGCACGCGTCGTTGAAGTGCTCAAACGGATAATCCACCGAGAAGAGGATCCGATCGGAGCTCACTTCGTTGATGCAAAAGTTCAGCGTCGTCGACGAGAAGTGGCCCGACGTTGTGATCCAGATGTTCTCGTTAAAGTACTCCCGGATCGTCTTCTTGCAATCAAGACCCAACAGCTTCTTGCGGTCCTCGAACCAGTGGTTGATGCGCCACAGGTCGAAGGGGATGTGCTCGCCGAGGTGGCCCAGGATGACTTGGAGCTTGGGGTTGCGGTCGAACACGCCGTTGGTTACCATGCCTAGCACGTGCAGGCTCACGCCCTGGGCGAAGGATAGGGGAGGGCCGATGAGCCATTGGCGGTCCTTCCAGAGCTTCTCGAACACAATGCCCGTGGGGTTACGGGGGTGGAGGTAGAAGGGGACGTCGAGCTCGACACACGTCTGCCAGAAGACGTCCCACTCGGGAGAGTCGTAGAAGATGAGCGTTTCGCCGTCCGCGCCAGCGCGCTGTGTGTCGTTGACAAGGGCGCCCTTGAAACCGTACTGGGTCACGGTACGGCGTAGTTCCGCCGCAGCCTCAGCCGGGTCGTGCATAGAGAGTGTTCTGTTGGGATCAAATTTAGTGGACGATTAAAAATGTTTTGGTGGAACTAGTCTACTCACGCAAATGCACCCAACCGGTCGGGAAACCCCTTGATCTGCTCCGCCACATAGTCGTTGATCTCGACGGCCAAGGCTTGCGCCTCCTTTGGGTCGAAAATGTCCTGCACGCCAGGCGCCGTGTATGACAGGATGGTGTATCCAACACCGTGTTTGTCTGCATGCTTGAGCCGTATGTCTGTGAGGTCCTGGATTTCCTTCACGTGGGTCTCGGGTTCGGTACTGAAGAGGCCAGCCCACCAGCGTGTCTTCTCCTCTAGCCTGGGGAGCGCGAAGGCTTCCTCGAGGATCACCTTTCCAAGCATTCTGAAGGTCTATGAGATATGTATGAGGTACCTGGAGGGAAACGTATTTTCCTTTTTGGGAATAATGAAGATAAGACGATTAACAGAGATAGAGATAGAGAATACAGAATAGATGTCCAATGGCTTTATCTGCTACACCGGTTGCAGGTTTGAAGATATCATGTACCATAGTAGCTTTCACGGACAGACGTTTTATAGAGCACCAACATTTGCTAACCCCTCTCCCCCCGCGAATACATGGATGCATAAGCACCGACCTCTACACTCCACGGATCAACGAGTCGGTTGGCGAAAGTGACGACATTGGAGGAGTTCGGTAGTTGCGTGGGACATTGGCGAAGCTTCTCCCGCTCTCCCCGCTGTGCAAATCAAGGGCGGCGGAAGCAATACCAGCTTCCATCTCTTGGCATCCGAGCCGGGGTGCGGCCCGACACCCTCGATCCGCCAGAGCGGATGGTGGAAGGAGACTTTAATGCCCGTAGTAGATACGGGACATTATCTTCCATATTCCGTATGCTGCACGGTTCCTGACTGGACTAGGGCGCCGCTGACCTTTGGAACCTGTAATTCATGATTAATCTACGAAGGGTGACGCTCGAAATTCGGGAATGCTTATCTGGGCCCACTAGCGCCTTCCTAAATTTAGAGATCGTCATCGTCAGCACAATCGCATCTTCACACAACATCGTACTTCTATTGGATGAATCGTCTTAAGAGATAAAACTTCAATGGTTTTTCCCGATGCTCCTTTTGGATAGGAATAGACTGACTAGTTATCTGGAAGGAAAATTGGGGAAGATCGAATGGCACGAATGTTACACATCCCAGCCGCAGACATCACTTCGCATCGAAGAGATCTGGGGGATGCTAGGGATTCTTTCCCCTTTTCTGTTTACGTTCTTTTCTTTTTATCTAGTTTCTTATATCTTTTTAATTCATACCTTTTATATATATGTGTGTACATGATTTTGCTTCTTCTTGATATGTTATTTTTCTAAATGTTATTTTCTCGATATGGGCTTTCTCGAAATGCTGTTTTCTCTCTTTCCTCTCTTTCTTCCTTTCTTCCGTCTTCGTCTCTCGGGAACTCGAGAATCTACCCTACTGGATGTAGTTTGCTAGTTTGGTCTCTCGGAGAATCTTAGCATAATATATGATTTTGTTTATTTTTCTATTCGGATATATGAGTCATTCTCCCCCGTGTCAGGGACCAAAAAGAATACGAAGAAAAAGATAGAAAAAAAAAAAGACGAAGAAAACAAGCGCCATCCTTTCTTCACGCGCTGACCGTGGTCCCATTCGAAAGCTTCAGTCCGATCGGCAAGCCACAGATGAACTTGTCAGTAAACGGCACATTCTTCTTCTCGGCCAGCTTTTCCTCGATATCCTTGTACATGTCATATCTATCAGGAATTAGTATAATGACTACCAAGTGTGATGCTAAAGAGGGCAGTAGAGCTGCAGTGGCCGGAATAATGGAAGGAAGGTCTTACCCGTTCATTTCCTCGATGGTCAGCTTGATCTTCTCGTCCTCGACCTTGTAGTTCGGGATGTTGGTGTTGCTCGAGAAGCCTATTTTTCTCCAGGTCAGCACCGAGTCCTGTGGGCCATAGTAGGGGATTTGTTGATTTGCTTACCGATGCGCTCATTGATGTTATAAGCGGCCTTCGCGGACGCACCCTGAACCTTGGTGGCGCGAGGCAGGCGAACCTCCTGGTAGACTTGGAGGGTATCGGCGACGTCACCGCCGAAGTAAGCTGGGCTGAAGAGGATTCCCAAAGCTGCAGCATCTTCGATGGCCATGCAAGCGCCTTGGCTTTGATGGGGCATCATCTAACGTCATGTTCAGTAAATTTATGCTTCCTCTGGAGGGCGAAGCTTGGTGAGACTTACGGGATGGCCAGCATCTCCCAATAGACAAACACGGCCCTTGACAATGTAGGGGTAGGGTTGGCTACAGTAAGAGAAGAGGAAGAAGGTTTAGCATGCCGAATTTCCAGAGAATCGGGAGAAGAAAATACGTACTGCACCCACAAACGCCACGGGCGGATCTCGATACCGATAGCCAGATGCGCCTTCACCTGCGCGTCCAACTCCGGGTACGGCGCCAACAACTCCTCCACGGGCCTGTCTTCGCCGCCCCATGAGTGATTGACATAGTCTCCCTTTTCGCGCGGGAAGAAGCAATAGTACGACAACAGCTTGCCACCGTTGCAAGGAGACAGCACGATCTTGTCCCACTTGCCTTCCTGACCGCCCCAATACTCGAGGGCGCTGTGCTTGGAGTAGTCGACGAGGCCGAGCTTCACGGCGTCCTCGGTGTTCACGTTGGCGTGCAGGCAGCTGGAGTCAGCGGGCCGCTTCTCCGGTCGCAGACCGATGATGCCGCGGACGGCGGAGCCGATGCCGTCAGAGCCGACGATGAGGTCGTGTTGGGCAGTTACGCCGTTGTCGAATGTGATGACACCAGTGTCAAGGTTGATGTCTTTGCACTGAAGGCGGAAAGAGGTGAAGAGAAGAAGTATTAGAGATTAATAGGCCTTGAAAGAGGGAAACAGTAGGAGGTGATAACTTCTCTGCCGACAATACTTGTCTAGATAGAAGAGAATCAAAAAGGAGGGGGGGGATTATGCGGGACAGTAGAGAAGGGGGGGAGAGGGGAGAAGATAGAAGATAGAAGATTGAAGAGAGATAAGAGAGACAGGTCAAAGTACTCACCGCATGGTTGACGAGCAGCTTCACCGGAGTGCCAGCGCCTTCCTCCTGAAGGGCACAGTCCTTGAGCATGCGGTGCATGTATTGGCGGTGGAACATGTTGTATACATAGCCCCAACGCTCCTCATAGTCGCCAAGCTCATACACACTCACAGGTTCGCCGGTCTTCCAGTCACGGTTGATGAGTGATCGGAGGATGACCGGGTCACCCTTCTCGATGTCGACTCCCCATTCGTGTAGCCACCGAGTGCCGTTGGCGGCACACGACACCGAAGCACCGACCTCTCCGGCGAAGTCATTGCGCTCGTAGATAGTTACGTCGTGTCCGGCGCGCCGGAGTGAGATGGCCACGGACATACCACCGATACCGCCACCCACAACGCCGACGCTAAGACGCCTCCACGCGGATTCGGCGTTGGAACCCATTATCAAAGGAGTACGAGACGAAAGGTTTTGGTTCCGGGGAGAACCAGAAGTAAAGCCTTGCAGGATTGGGGGTCCGTGGGCAATGCAGTGAACCGGGCAGTCTAGTAGTGGGGGGATGTTTAGAAGGCTTCCTTCTCGAGATGTATGAGATGTAAGAGATATGAGAGATATGAAAGATATGGGAGATGTGAGAGATGTGAGAGACCAGTAGAAATATCAACTGTCCAATATAGTACTTGGGTTCAACCTTGCGATTCAAGTTCTTGGTGGCAGCCTTGTTTATGCAGAAGAAGATATCTTGACAACATCCACTTACAAGCGCCTTCCAAAATCGCGACTATAAACCCATCCCAGGCTCCTCCTTCCTGCTGCCCAAAAGAGCACCGGAAAGAAAAAAAAAACTCTCCGTTACCTTCAAGCCTCATTTCCCGCTTCAACCTCCGCTATCCGCGCATTCTCATGATGTTTGTCGGATCAATTGAGGTGTATCTCGTCGATATCTTGTCTCTTATCCGACGCTCCTTCTCCCTTATCCGCTCATCCGCCGCTTGTTATCACGAAGTACCATTGTACTTCGTCGCGGAGGACCCGGATCAACTGGGACCCACTCCATCAGCAGGGGTTATCCATGTTACCCCAGATTATGACTAACCCTCTTCGGACCCGGATTCCGAATGCCGACCCCACTTCCTTATCGCCCGTTACCCGATGACGGGCCCCTTCGCCGTCTATAAGACACCCCAAGGGACGGAATCCGCCCTTCCCCCCACGCCCCCCTTCAAGATGGCTCTACGCGGATATTCCCCTGCCTCAACTCTCACTCTATCCCATTTCCGCCAGCGGTCCAGCTCTCGTCCCGCAAGGCTTCACTGTTCCCTTAGACTCTTGCAGCTTACATTCGCCTAGCTATCGATTGGCGAATACAGCCTCCTCCGCTCAGGCTACCTACCCACTTTGCACCACTCACCCCCTAAGCCCCACAAGCGTTCCCCTTCTCTCTGGGTCGTCTCCCATACACCCAGGCTCCCCAGACTTCTCCCGATATGCCCCGTCCCAAGGTGAAGCCGCAGGACCGAGTTCGGTCAGTCCGGGCCTGCGATGCCTGCAAAATCTCCAAGAAGCGCTGCGATGGGGCTCTTCCCTGCATTCTTTGTTCGAGGAAAGGCCTTGCCCGAACCTGCGCCTACACTGCACCGCGGCGGCGACGTCTGCTGTCTCCCCAGAGCGTACCCGAAAGGGAGGCCATGTCGGTGGAGGTGAACCTCTCACCGATACTCACCACTAGCAGCGGCGGCAATTGCCCGTCAATTGATGTGCTAATGGCGCTAGATGAGACACCCGGACAACCGCAGCCGTCACTCCAGACCGACCTGCGTCACTCGGAGAGCATGACCACGGCGGTTGCGGACGGTCCCGGCCAACACCCGGTCATGCACTCCAACCCCCGCTCCCAGGCTCCCTCAACACCAGCCCAGAAGCCCGTCATGCTCTCATGTTCCACCGGTGAGAAAGGTATGTTTATTCAATTCTCATTTTCTCTCCCTTTTCGCGTGTAATGAAAAATGGACTTGGGAAGTTTGTCCTTCTTTCCGACGCGGTCCCCAAAAGAAAGCCCATACCACATGCTGAACATAGGCACTGTACGTTTGCGGAACCAGTAATCATCGGCACTCCGGCTGCCATCTCGTTCCTGCGGTTCCTACAGACGACGTTGAAGGATTGTGTTGGCCCATCGGGCTTTACCGACGACCCAGTTAGCCGCAGACTATTCGAGGTTGCCACGCCCGATGACGTTGATACAGCCAGCTTTGATGATGATATACCCGACGAAGAGAGAGGGGCGTTAATACAATGCTTCCTAGATGTGGTGAGTTTACTTTTTTCCCTTGAAAACAAAGTCCATCAGAATATCTGGACAATAAATCTCTCTCTGTTTTTATATTTGATTTTATTTGATTCTCTTTTATTTTTACAAATATACTGCATATCTTGGAATAATATACATAATATAAGAGGCGCTTGTTTTCTTCGAATCCTCCTTCCAAGCATCAACGAGCCTTCCTTGCCGCTTAGACATCCTGCTTTAGCTGCCCCTTGTTCTTGTCTTCAGTATTGAGTCTTTTAAATTCACCCCTGACTCCCCAATATAATTTTATATTTCGAATTTCACTCGAAGTTTTTTTTCCCTCTCTGGCCCAATTCCTCTATGCCTTCTTTTCCCTCTCGCTTCATGACAAAAACTCATCCCTTCACCAGTCTAGTGGGTTCCTGGATCTCTTCACGCCAGAAGAAATCGCTCGAATCGTAGAACGACCCCGAGCACACGGATCCCAAACTCCAGGGCGCAGAATCCCTCCTCGGGGGATCGAGAGAACGGACCTCGCATCGCTATATCTCATGATCGCCATCGGTGCTCAATGCCGCGGCGAGCTTGGATCGGGCGCCGACGGGATTACCGATTCCACGCGTGTCAGGGCCGGGAGGTACTTCTCTGTGGCGCGCAAAATTGTCTTTGAGGGGATGCTCGAGGATCCGACCGTCCACTTAGTCCGCATTTTCTTGCTTATGGCCTTTTACATGCTCGGAGCGTGTCGACGAAATTCGGCCTTTATGTATATTGGCGTGGCATCTAAGTCGGCAGATATTCTCGGACTGCATGCGGCGGCAAATGTCAGACACTTGCCGCTAGTTGAGCGGGAGACAAGGTAAGTCAGTCTACTGTGGCATTGATTCACGGCTTCTCTCCCCCCCATCCCCTTGCCCTTGCCGTTCTATCTGGCGGATCTCCCTTGATTTCTTTCTCTCCATCTTAGTATTGTTCTTGCACTACCTAAACAATACTAACTAGGTTGGGAAACCGGAAAAGACTGCGAGTAGCTAAGAGTCTCCGGGTCTTCGATATTATCTGCAGCTCCATTCTCGGCCGCCAGAGTAGCTCTTTAACCCTCCGCTCCGATGGGCTACAACTGCCACCTGGCGGACCGTTATCGTCAAATGGAAGTAACAGCTATTCCTCCCTAGCCGTGTCTGCGGCCTACGAGCTATCTTTGATCTTGGACGACATCGTCCGCTTCTGCACTCTCGCCGATGACGGCCGATTGGATGACCGTACTGCTGAGACCTTCTTTCGGACTCTCCGAGCATGGAGCCAGGCCCTCCCAGCTGAGCTCCGGCAGCGGCCGCGGAATTCACGCAGCAAAGATGCCTCCGTTGACTCCGATCCTAATCATCGACAAGTAATGATTGGGAACGTTCATCTAGCTGGGATGTACTACTTTAGTGTTATTCTCGTAACGCGCCCGTCCCTGGTTCAACACGTCATACCGTACTTGCGGGGTGAGCAGCTGCCGCCCCGGCCGGGGACAATGGGATTCCAATCTGATCAAGGAGAGAGCTCGAAGGCCACAGAGCTCTCGCAGGCGTGCATTGAGGCCGCCACCTATATGATACAGATGTGCCGTGATGCCATGGAGGCCCGAATATTGTGGGGAAATATGTGCATCTTGAAGTATGGTAGTCTCTTATTTGTCTTGCTTCTGCTGTCACAGTCTTTCAATCATGAGGCTAACAATCTTCTCTGACAGGGCCTGGATTTTTGCTGCTGGTCTCGTTCTCGGCTTTCCACTCCTCGTCGATTCCGGCGCCACCATCGAGACCATCGACGCATTCCACACCTCGCGCCACCTCCTACGCGATCTCGGCCGCCTCAGTCCACAGGCAGCGCAGTACCAGCAGATCCTCGGCGCGTTCTCAGATGCCATTACCTCGTACCGAGATCACACGAAGCGCGAGCGGCGCAAGTCACGGTCTCTTTTTGTGGAGCCCGTCTTGTCATTTGAAGGCTTGTCGGGGGAGGAGAGCGGTGGCGGCGGCGGCGGCGGCGGTCGAAGTGGGACAGCGACCAATGCCGGAGGGACACAATTGCCGACGCCCGAGTTTACAGCGTGCGACGATGAGCCCGGGGAGGAAGAGGACGTCGGACATCAGCGTGGAGATGATCCGTTAGCGTATCTATCCGACTTCTTGGGAGTGCAAGGAAATCAGGGCCCGGGAATGGCTCCGGCCGATGATGACTTGTTGCTCCGGCTTTTTTGGGATGGGTTTACTGTGGACTTCATGGATCCAATCCCACAGGGCGATCAGGGTGAGGATGGTCTGGGTTGAGGATCTTATAGATCCTGCGAGCGAAGCTTTACGAGTGAGTAATGAATAATGGCAATGGAGAAGTGTCGGTATGGACGAGAGGTCACTTAAAAGTAGCAGTTGAAGAAACTGATCAACTTTACTTTCCAGATTGCCGATGGGTTGCGTCCTGGGGAACAGATCAAGATCGAGAACGATATAAATCGTGCTTCGTTCTGAGTATCCCAAGGAGAGCCACTGTCCCCCCTATGCTAGGCGAGGTTGGTTTCATCTTCATTTTCGTTGCTTTCCCAAGTGTGGAGGTAAAAGAACAACATGGCTCTTTTGCCCCTTTTGCCCGAAATCTCGTCTTCTTACGGTTACGGGCCAAGGATGAGCTTCTCAATGGCTCTGGCAGAGAAGCGCTGTCGGTGAACCCACCTCTATAGAGCACGAACACGAGCCACTTCACTGGTCGAAAGCAGTGGTACAGGCGATCGGCAAGAACTGCAGCGGTATTCTGGTGCTTTCGGGTAAGGGATCAAGATGCATCGGATATCAGGTGCCAGAACGGGTATAGTTGAGATTCCCCGCACTGAGCTAGCAAGCTACTGTACTGATTGGGATTGACTTGCATGATGTGGTGTAAACGCGAAATGGAAAGGGGGCATGATGGACAATGCAACACTGAGAGACGAGGCAGTAATTTGTGTTGAAAGTGGCGTATATAGACATTGACTTGATGTACGAAGTACAATGACGGATTTCAATGACAGCCAACCTGACAAACAGGACTCTGAAGCCTGGGCTCTCGATTCGGCACTACCGTGGAAATAGGACAACGTTCATATCATCACCAAGCGGAAGGCTTGGTATAGGATGTCACAGCTAACTTCGGGGGGATTATAGACATGTCGTCGTACAGATCTTGGAGAATTATCAAGAAGATAAGAAGACTATAACCGCAGACAACTATCAGTTCGTAACACACAGATCAATTTGCAATTTACCCATCATCCGATCTCCATCCCACGAAGTAGTCGAAAGGGATTGCCTCGTCGAGTCCAAACCCTCAAGTTGGTTCACAATGCTTCGGATTCTCTGCAGGTGACAATCGAAAAACGACAAGCGAGGAAGGAGCAGCGAGCAACGAGCAAGGAAGGAGCCTTGACGCGCATCGCGCCTTCCCATCTTCCCAACTCCATCTTGAAGGCCAGAATAAGCCTTAAATACCAAATCTGGAGTCAGGATTTCCAACACCAGCAGGGAAGCGCGGCGGTCTTGGGAGTCACTCATCAATGGAATGCTTGAACTCCTGGGTCCCCAGAAAGTACCTGTCTGGGTTCGAAACGCAGCGCGCGCGGAATAGGACACCTTTTTTTTGCTCCTTTTTTTTTTTCTCTTTCTTCCATCATCTCCCATCTTTTTCTTTTCTTTCGTCCTTCACTGCAGTCTAATTTCTTTTCGATGCTGGTGCTGGAATCATTGAACCTCCATGAAATGTTCTGTGCCTAGTGTTCAGTTGTCTCTTCTTGGCATTGCCGACGAAGAGGAGGGTGGGCTACGAGAAGACTCACGCCCTACAATTTATAGTACTGCTACGGTATCGGTATGGTTTGGTTTGGCTGCCTCATCAAGGCGGAATAAGTTTTTGAGGTCCTCATCATACTGATGGGACGCTTCCGCCTTGCTCTCGACTACCCTAGGAGCGCCTTCAGACCGGATCTGGACAAAAAAGCCTTCCGCCTTAAACGAGATAAGAGGTGTAAACCTGAGAGATATATGCCGAGTAAAAAGACGCCCCATAGCGTTTGTAGACCAGATACCACGCCAGAACTACACGTCGTCTAACTTTCAAGTTTTATACATAATTTAGGTTAGCGAGAGAGCTTCGATCTTCATCCTCGAAGATACCCATAAACTCTTCCTGGACCTTCTCAAACTTGACGAGGTCTCCACTGGTAGAGAACACATCCATTCCAAATCTACAGGACCGGTCATGTTCTCCTTCGGGCCAAAAAAGATGTCACTTACATGAATATCAGTAAGTTGGAGGAGGAACTGTCCATTCCGTCAGTCCTGTTGTATGTATTGGTGAGCAGGCCCATGGGGGGGGACCTTCGCAACGATATTAGCACGGCAATGTCTATCGTCAGATCTGGCGTTATGGTGACTGATCAAATGCTGGTCGCAGAAAGGGAAGAGGTCTGCAGCAAAAGGGTCCGTACATAACTATGTGTCGTGCTTCTCAACAGTCCTCCGCACACCATCTTTTTCGAAGAGCATAATAGCACAACACAGAGGCATATTTTCTAGCATAATAGGGCGGTAATCGTTGAAGCGAAGGAATGCGAACCGTGGTTGGGGGGATGCGGCAGCTTCAATGTATGCATACCTATCGAGGTGCGATCACCCAGGCTCGCGCCAGAAGCTCATTCTACAGTGTGCCATGCCCCGCTAGATTTCCGAAGCTACGTGCCCGAGAACCGACTTGTGAGGTAGGAACGAATCTACGGACGCTGGAGGAATACCTACATATCCCAATCCCACGTCTGTCTGGCTCCGGCTTCTCGGATCACTGTCATCATGTTAGTGTGGCTCAACGTTACTCCATGTATTTCTCGGTCCTCGCCATGGCCGTTAGTTCACACACGAGGCATAGCGGCCCTGATACATCTACATGATATATCATCCACAGCCCCTATTCTGCGGGGTTGCCAGATGTCGAGACCTCATATCGCACTACACAACTCACCTAACCATCCATGACCTCACCACGGGTTACATGTTACTTGAATCCTTGATTCAGACAAGAGCCAGATGCTCCCCAACACCTGGAACAAGCTGATTGGGGTTCTGACCGGAGGGAGACGTATTCCGCCTCATACATTAAATTACTATCCGTGTTGACAGGTGATTCGGATGTGATCGGGGCGTGGTCAAGCGGGCGTAGTGTGGGCATGGTGACCTCGACCGATGTGCCCCGTACAGCAGACGCGGCTTCCGTCACGATTGTCTCGTCTCTATATCGCTCGATGAAATGGGGAGCCGGCATGAGAGACAAAAAGAAACCCGATGAGCTCCGGCAATTGGGGGTTATCAAGGCACGAGTTGCCGAACTTGGCTTCGACCCCACTGACGTCCTGCCGAGACGTCACGCCGTTCGCTGGTATCTCTCGGTATGCATTGAAGACTCTGTGTGAACGGGCAGTTAGGATCAGCTCCAGGTACACGAGAGATCAATGTCTGTCGTCGAGGCCACCATGTTGGCGAACAGGACGCGTTTCGTGGCCTTTTATCTGTGCGGGATGTGTATTGCGGATATGCATTTGCGGATGTGCGGATGTTGTTCTTGTTAGCTTCTTAACCACTTTGGGAAGGAAAGATGGAGTCCACTCGTAGTGTATCCACAACACCGACGTTCTCCCCCTCATCATCTCCGGAGGTGTAGACTTTACACCAGTGGACCAAGTATCGGAGGCTTGTTCTCAGAGCTTCCTTCTACGTGTGCATCCACAAAGATGTGTAGAGTCGTCGCCTTCCCAACTTCACGTCGGGTTTGGCCTGGACGGAAGATATACCACGCTCATTTGGGACCGTTCGTCCAAAGGCACAGGGTGTTCCGTTTCTCATTACGGAACTCGCAAGTACTTCACAAGGGCGGTGTGGGTATTAGCGTCATCGCTGCAGGCGAGCTCGGTTCGTTCGGACCATGCTCGGGGAGATCAGAAATCCGGGTTGCGTCGGGGGAAGGACCCACAATTAACCGAAGTCGAGAAGAGTCCGGGCCGGCTGGATCCGCGCGGAAAGAGTTTGGAAAACCCGGCAAGGTGGACAGTGTGAGAGCGATTGTACTCCAAACTGATTTCATTGGCATGATACGATTTTAATATCTTGAATACAATAAATAAAAATGGTCATTCTATGTCATTAGTTGCTAGTCTATCATTACTCTAGTCGCCCTGTGTCCGCTGTTTCATCTCTCGCCTGCTTCAAGAATGGCATCAGAAGTGTTCCTCCCGTACCTGTTAGGACTTTAGTTGCCGATGATGAGCTGGCCAGGTTCTGTCTTGCAGCCCCCTTCCACGGTTGCTTCGACGGTAGAACAATGTACCGCGTTACAATCTTGATGTGCTTGTTGCGGAAGTCACTAAGTGCCTCCGTTGCCGCTACGTAGGCCGCTTGCAGGCGCCGTTGCTCATCAGTCTCCGGCGGAAGGAGAGCTAATTCTCTGATGCTTCCCATGCTCGTGACATGCTGGAGGAACTTCCGATGGGGCCCGGGCATGTATTCCCGAACCTCTTGGTGGTAGCTCTTCTCGACGACGGCCGAGGGCGAAGTGGCATTACCTTTGTGGTCCACGCCCAAGACGAGGTCGAAGAACTGGATGAGGGAGCTCTGCCCATTGCTTCCGCCGCAAAGCTCTCGCCACTGCCCCTTTCCGTCGCCTTCGTCATAGAACACTCCTCTTGGCAACCCTGAAGAAGCCATGTTCTTGCTGCCCGCTAGGAAAGGGCGGATTTGGTGGTAGAAGACCATCGGCTCGCATCGCTCAAACATTCTCTCCAGCAAGATACCAACGTCCAAGATGCACTCTCGGAGCTCCTCTAGGGCCCAGATAATGGTCTCATAGTCTCGACTGGGGATGGCGGCGATGGCCTCCATCATAGTATCAATGATGCCTGCTCCTCTGCCTTCCATGGCCACGCTGATGAGCAGGAACCACGACTCCGACTCGGTTCCAGTAAAAGAACAAAGTACCTTTAGATCTTCCGGGTGGATGAAGTCGTTGCCGGAACCAGCAAAGTTCCAGAGATTGGCAGCAGCGTAGGTGAGCACAGGAGGAAGGTCAAAGTGGGCCGAGACAAGGAGGAACGGGACCGTTATTTGCGGTGGCAGAACCTGTAGCGTTCGTTGTTAGCATAAGTGGATGGGCACATAATGTTCTTGGAAGACGCGAGCCTACCTCTGCTGGTTTGTCTCCTCCCCATATATACGCCTGTGCCATGAAGCCTAGCATGACATAGGCTCTTTGCCACTCGGCTTCCGATATGAGGCGACTCGTTTCTAGGACTGGGAGCTGGGCCACAACATCTCGTATGCTGCCATTATCGATCAGCTCAGGTAGGTGCTTCACGATGTGTTCCCAAGGCTCATAGTATGAGTCTGAAAGGAGCTCCAAAGGGCTCTCCGCAGGAAGGAAGGCGTTGCGAGTGACGCCAAACGCGTTTAGGTCTATTGATGGCTTCATCGATGGCTTTTTAGCCGACTCGATGGACTCAACGAAGTGAGGCATTGTAATGTGTAGCTTTGATAGATGATGGAGTAGAGAAAAGGGTTGGGTATATGAGATTGTGATTGACAAACAACGCGAGAACGAGACCGCAAGAGGGATTGGGAAAGAGATGAAGATATAGGCATAATGAAGAACATCTAGGATCATGGAAGCATCCTCATTTCCACTGTTTCTTCTGCTAGAGCTGAACCAAGACTCTCTCATCTCATGTCGATGTCGTCTGACTCGGTTGGCAACGGAAGGACGGAAAGACGGCAAGACGGAAGAGTGCTGATAGCACTGTCTCCACTGTGGAGATTCGGCGACCTCGACGCTGAAACCTGCGTTGGCAGGAAGAGACCGACGAGTGTATAAAGTGATTTCATCGACCCGATCCTGGAAGACCTGCATAAACTCGTCATCAGAGTCTACCAGAGTCACAATCCATCCCATAAGTGCCTCATACCTGCCCCGTCCGATTCCACCATGGAGATGTCAGCATTCACCGACCGCCTTCGTAGCGGCAAGGCGCCAGAATTCCCCTCTGACGCTAACACGCTCTCCTTTGCCCAGAAGTTGGACTCTCAAGACTCGCTTCGCCATCTGCGGGATGAATTCCTCATTCCGACCAAGACGTCGTTCAAGAAGAAGGCACTCGATGGCACTATTCCTGGTATGTTTTGTCCCCTCGTCTCTCCTACTGTCCGAGGGTGCGCGACTTGGGACAAGTCATGATGACAGTGCAAGACTGACTCGTCCTCCCACACACACACACAGGAACAGTGCCTTTACCAAACGGCACCGCCAACGGCACCCATCAATCCAATGGCTCGCCCACGGCAGATGACTCGGAGAAGGTCATTTATTTCGTCGGGAACTCCCTCGGCGCGCAACCCAAGGCTGTCCGCAGGTATATCGACGCCCAGCTCGAAACCTGGGCATCCATTGGCGTTAACGGCCACTTCACGGACATGGGAGACTCGCCCCTAGTCGCATGGCAGGATATGGCTGAGGACTGCGCCGTGAAGTCTGCCGACCTCGTCGGAGCGTCGCCCCACGAGATTGTCATCATGAACACTCTCACCGCGAACCTCCACATGATGATGGCAAGCTTCTACAAGCCCACCGAGAAGCGCCATAAGGTCATCCTCGAGTGGAAGCCTTTCCCTAGCGACCACTACGCCATCGAGAGCCAGATCGCTTGGCACGGACTTGACCCGGCCAAGAGCATGGTTAAGATTGAGCCGGATGAGAATTGTCTCATTCCCACCCAGAAGATCCTCGATACTATCGATGAGCACGGTGACGAGACTGCGTTGATCCTGTTACCCGGAATTCAGTACTACTCCGGTCAGTACTTTGACATGCCGCGCATCACAGCCTACGCAAAGGCCAAGGGCATCGTCGTGGGATGGGACCTCGCGCATGCCGCCGGTAACGTGGAACTTAGGCTGCACGATTGGGACGTCGACTTTGCCTGCTGGTGTACGTACAAGTACATCAACGCCGGACCTGGCAGCATTGCTGGAGCATTTGTCCACGAGCGCCATGGCCGCGTTGAGTGGGCCGATGATGCTGGTATTGATGGTACGGGGCGCCCTTCGTACCGCCCACGCCTCATGGGCTGGTATGGTGGCGACAAGAGAGTGCGGTTCAACATGGACAACAAGTTTGTGCCAACTCCCGGCGCAGCTGGCTACCAGCTGTCCAACCCGTCGATTATTGACCTAGCCTCGCTGTCTGGAGCGCTCAGCGTGTTTGGCAAGACATCGATGCACGATCTTCGGAGCAAGGCTCTGGTTCTCACAGCGTATGCCGAATATCTGATGGACGAGATGCAGGCTTCTTCTCCTTCGGACAGCGAACCACCCTTCCGCATAATCACACCTCGAGACCCGGCGCAGCGGGGCACCCAGCTAAGCGTTGTCTTCGCTAACTCGGAGCTTCACGACGCTGTGAGCGCGTCGCTTGAGGAAAACGGCGTCATGTGCGATAAGCGGAAACCCAATGTCATCCGTGTGGCACCTGTGCCGCTGTACTCGCGATTTGAGGATGTGTGGAGGTTTATGCAGATTCTCAGGGAAGCGGTAAGGCTGGACAAGGCATGATTGGGGAGGAAGAGAGAATGATGAGTTACGACTAGGGAATATTCAACAAACTAAATGATAGGATACGGTAATGCATACTGGCGACTCTTGTAGGCCTTTGTTTGATGCTCTCCTGTGACTGTCAGATCGAGTTTTCTCTCTGAATTGGCAAGATGGGGTAAGTTGAGATTGGTGGGGATTGGGCGATCAATGATACCTTCCCGAAAGATGCGGCATTACTTCGTAGGAATTAAGAAATCAAACAACGACAATCACATCGTTCTTCATATCTCCTGCCGGCTCCTGCCATCTTCTATGGGGACATCGGAAGGAGCCACGGAATCCATTGGTGACCCACTCCACTAGAGGAAGGAACACATTGAAGATTGAAGAGCCGAACCTCCGCGGGTCACACGGAAGTAGATTTCTTACGAAGTAAGAAACGGATCTCTGTTTTGAACCCTTTCCTAATCCACGTCGGTTTTCAGTTCCCACACAAAACGGTGCATTTCAACGGTGCGACACAAAATCTGATTCCAATGCCACAAAATTTTTACAGTAGCGTTTTGGGAGTTTTAGATACACCTCAGAAGAAAGAATAATTATATATATGGAGAAACGGATTCCCGTCTCCGAACTCAGCTCGAACCCTTTTTAATCCGTGTTTTATTCCGGGCTCATCCATCCGTTCCGACAGCACGTTACTTCATAATTTTGCATCTGTCGGTTTCAATTCGATATGGATCATACAAACACGGCACCGGCTTCACCGGCCGCGGCTTCACCCCCGGCGACGACTAAGATTATTCGCCGCCGCATCGCTAATGCATGCGATGGCTGCAAGGCGCGCAAAGTCAAATGCGACGGTCGCCAACCGTGCAGTTATTGTGTGCGGCGCCAACGACAGCATGCGTGCCATTATGCGCAGCCGCGCCGTCCTCGTCAACGACCCCCTTCTGTTGCCTCCTCGGAAGGTCCCTCGTTACCACCGTTGCCACAGTCGCCTCCTCAGTCGACTGTGAGCTTGAGAGCTTCAGCTTCTTCCACCACCAGGGATACATCACAACTTGATGATGGCAGTAGTGGTCGTAGAGTCGGATCGCCTGCCTTACAGCAGCAGTCTGATAAAATAGAATCAGCCGAAGATGACACCGAAGTGCCCAGAGAAGCCCGATTGCTCTTTGATCCCCAAGGACAACTCATCTTCATCGGTGACTGCGCACCTTTATCTCTCTTCCAGTCGGTTCGCCAGCTCGTCACTAGCCGTATCAGCCCGAACGCCTTTGCCCCAGAAACAAGTCGCTACTCCGTACTTGAAAATGCTGCTGCATTAGCTTCGTCGTCTCAATCCGAGAGCCATGGACCTCCAGACGTAAGGCCAATTGACGTTGCGTCCGTCGTATCGAGTTATGTCTCGGTGACTACAGGGCTGGTGGACCTATTCGACGAGTCGAGTTTAGCAGACGACCTGCTTTTATGGGTAAATGTCAACAAAAAGCCCCAGAATCTTACCTCCGTGATCAACTATCTCATCCTTGCCATTGGGGGCCTAAAAGATGACGAGATGTCGTCTCAAGTTTACTTTGACTATGCCAGAAACCAAGCCTTTGCCACTCTTAGTGGCAATCTTGGCGTCGGCACCGTTCAGGCATTCATCCTCATGACGGTTTACATGCTCTGTTCGTGTCAAATTAACAGCGCGTTTCTCGTGTTTGGCGTGGCTGCTCGTGCGGCTTATTCCATTGGACTTCATCGAACCGAGGTCAACGCCCGTTTTGGGCCGGAAATGCATCGGCAGAGGGATAGGCTTTGGAAAAGCTTGCGGGTCGTGGATCTGTTTCTGAGCACTTCAATGGGTCGCCCACCGGCAACGTCAGACGTCGACTGCACTGTACCGTATCGGTCGCTTGGGGAAGGCGGTAACGAGACGTTTGACCTCCTCAACGCGTCCGTGCAGATCCTTCTCATTACGGAAGGCATAGTCACCAAGATTTATTCGCGCAAGAAGATCTCGCTCCTTCTTACGGAAGGCGTCTCCCTCCAGCTGAGGGAATGGTCTGCGAGGTGGCTTCGGCGACTGAAGGAAGTTGTGGCCCGGCCGTCAGATCACAGCCAATCTGAAGTTAGTGGCGCCTGTCAGGTGCTGTCGTCCTACTACTACGCCGTCATACTAGTGTCACGGCCGTTTCTCATGTACGAACTCTTCAGGCGTCTCAGTGATGGACCGGACTCGGACGCACCTTCCGTAACGCCCCCGGTGCTGACTTCTGGTAAGTCCAAGTTGGCTGACGCATGTATCGATGCGGCAAGCTTAATGGTGGAGCCAATTCTGGACCTGGTTGAGCAACGGCTCTTAAGTAGCCGCATGCCACTTCTTGTGTAAGTGCATGTGAATACGCCTCCTCCAATCATGTGAAATTCCCCATTCGGAAGGCACTACAGTCCATTTATCCTGGTGCTTTGGTTGATATTGTCTAGGCAATCTAATCTAGTTGATATTTATCGGCACTGCACGCATCCGGAGTATCTATTACAACGCGATTAACGCTCATCCCACGTGAACAAGGCAAGGCTCCGAGCTGCTAACATGTACATCATTAGGTCCTGGCTCTTTGCCTCATCTCTAGTCCTAGGCGTCGGCTTACTCGGAGGCTTCGGTCGTATCCTTGAGAAGCACACGCGCATGTCCATCCAGGCCCTAGATTACTTCGCCAAATCCGACACGCACGCCAGGCAATACTCTCTCATCGCCCAGTCCCTTCTAACCACGGCGCTAGCCCACCTTGAGAAACGGGAGCTCCAAGAGCGCCTCCGGCGTACGGAAAGTTCCAGCCAGCTTTTTGGGTTCATTCCACATGATGACGGCCACCTTAGAAGGAACGATGCTTCTCCCTCCGACCAACCGAGAAGAATGAATGATGCATCTTCCCCCGACCAGTTTAGTGCACAGACGGCTATGAGCCCCGCGGCTTCTGTTTCCAGGAGACATGACCCGCCAGAGAGGTCATATCCGCAACAGCGGCCATTTTCCATGAGCTCACCACGTGCCGGGGATGTAGACTTTTTTGGTTTGGGTGATGCTCTGATGGGACAAGATGGGAATTTTTGGAATACGTACCAGGATGACGGGGACCCGGGGTTGACTCTGAACTTATTTCCGTTGTTGGAGGCAAGTGGGGGGATAGACCTGGCGCACTACCTGTGATCTTGTTAAACCGTACTCGGCTGCCCCAAGTGATTCGGGTCCTCGTTTGTAGTAACTCCCCACAAGGAATCCCCGACCCTCTTCAAAAGGGACATCCGAACAAGTCTATTTCTATAATGCAGTATTCCGTCAAATAGTAGTAGTACTTTAGGAAGATATACGATCCACGCCTCATCACCCAAGAGGTCAGATCCCTGGCAGGCACGACTCTGGTACAATTGCCTAAGTTTTTGGATTCAGAACGTCGGAGCTGACTAGTTGGCGCCGGTGTTTGGCAACACCCATAGCGAATATGGCCTCCAAGGCATACAATTGGCAAATGAGCGGGAACGGGCTGTCGAAGGATATCACCAGTGATCGTGTCTATCCTGTGCTTGGTGGTGCGGACTCTTTAGACGAAGTTTACAGATGTTTTATAAAGGCGGGAATCACCAAGGTTAATATCAACGGGTGAACGAATAAGGGTTACGCCCTCAATGCTGATAGAAGTAAAAGGGATGCCTGTGACGAGCATTATAGAGGCAGCTAGAGAAGCAAAACACTGCCGAGGCTTACATGAAGTTAGCTGGTTTGGAAGTACTGGAACCAAGATCTGATAATCATCTAGACACGCTTGAGGAGTATTGTCTGACGTGCCAGCCCTAATTCGACGGTACAACCTTTATCTAAACGGAGATGGGATTAGCTGGCCAAGTTGTCTTGTGATTGCAATATTGGGTCGCCGCCATTGAGAGGTCTGATACATGTTCATCCATGCCGTAAAACGGAACCGCTCAAGGGACTATTATCTATATAAGCTGTTAACGGTCCTTTTTCATGATTCGCTTCTGTATCTACACAGTACTCTGCAGATCTAACCCCCCTTTCAGATGAAAGAGAAGAGGCTGGAGAAGAAGGCGGCCAGATGGAACTAAGAGGCTTTTGTATCCACGTGTTTATACTGCCTGCTTGCCCCAATAAAACTGCTCGAGCTCCAACCTTCTAGGTTTGATCCCGAGTCTTATGATCTCGGAGCGGAGGTTAGCATACCGGCCGATTCGCGGTGGGATTCTCGGCTCGGTTCGGAGTTCGGAGCTGGGTCCAGCCAGGGGAGCACCCGAACTGGCAATCATGATTCCAAATTCTGGTCTCCACCACCCACCGCCTCCACAAATTCGATGGCTTAAACTAATACATCAAGGAGCTCCGAAGCAGACTCATAGTGGAGGACACGTATAGCGCATCCTAATTATTATTATTATTATTATTTTTTTTTTACAGGTTGTAGTAAACCTGCAATGTCTTGGCTTTCATTTCTTACTTTCTTAAATCAGGATATGGCAATTGTACCTCACCATTACGAAGAGCCAATGTCGATTTTCTGGAGTGGATTCAGGGACCCTCTCCCTAGTCAAGGAAAGCATCGTCTTGATGGGGTCAATGATGGACCAGCACATGCTCTGCCCCTCATCTAGGGCAGGGCGTGGGGGACGCTCTTTCCAGCCTAGCGGGGCAGAGATCAAGGCTGGTCTATAAAATATCCTGAGGTACTTCGTACAGCCGGCAAGTTAATTTCAGAGAGAAGTTGAAGCCGGGCGGAACAAACTAAAGTTTAACATGCTGTGTCTCTCTTACATTTGGGACATGGTCCTTTTGACGTTAGAGTTGTGAAGCTCGTGTTTGAGGAGTGGGGCCTCCTCCCGCTTCTATCAAGTCAGGCCCTGTTAGTTGGTGTAGACGACTGCAGCCTGGTTGACAATGAGGAGCAGAGACAGCGGGTGATCGATCCGGGGAATGAGGCCCAGATCCTCCCGAGTGGGAAACCAACCTGGCTCCGCAGGGTTGGAGTATTATCGTGTTTAGTAAGAGCCCGACCATACCAAGACCCTGGGTCTAGCGCAGGAACAACAACTGTCGACCTGCTTCGTAGCTAAGCTTCTGGGGCGGAAATTCAAATGCCGGTCAGCAAGACAATAGGACATCTTCCGTCGATGCAACATGCAATGATGATGAATGCCGTCAGCCTGGACGTAGTCATGGGAACCTAGACGCCAGGCAGTCCTTTCTTTGAAGCAGAGAAAGAAATGCACGATGACATACTAGCCACCCATCTTTTGTTGAAGGTGTCGCCAATATCTACCTCCGTACTAATGCGGGAGATGTTGCATCAACTCGGCTGACCCGCCCACTGTCTATTATGATGTACGAAGTACATATTCAACGGATTAAGTCATGGTCCCTTGCTAGAAAGTCTGGCGACAATTTAACATTCATGTAGACTTTCCGAGGCGGACCCGGCGCATCCGGAGGGCTTTTCGGGAGAAACTAAGATAGGAGTTTACGAAGGCCGTATATCCAGGGGGTTTGACCCCCTGGAACACAGGAATCGCCACCCAAAACCCCAGCGAGCAGGCTTGTGGTGTGGGAGGAGGATGGCGCAAAAGCACCTGATTTCGGACTTAAGCACAGTGTTTCCTTCCAGCTTCGGACGATGGTATGGGTTCTAGAACCGCAGGGGAAGCTTCGTGGTGTGTGGGTGGTGCGGCGGAGCCCTTCGGTTGGATTAAATGTCCGTCCCATCTGAAGAATGAACAAGCAACGAAGCCCACCCAAGAGATGTCAGCAATAGGATGGGAAGCGAAGAAAAAGAGGGGGAAGGTTGCAACAGATGGCTGGGCTAGTTGGTATCAGCATAAAAGCTAAATCGGCCAAGAGCGGCACAAATAACGCAGGTATCGCCGACTTCGCCCAGCGAGGTTTATCTCCGCGCACGCCCACGTTTAGGACGCCATGCGCCTGCGGGCTGGGTCAGTCCAGGAGGTGAGAGCAGCCGTTGTGGGAAGGAGCAGGCTTTTGAACCAGGACGACGTGCGGTCTGCCCCTCGTGCATGCAGGTAGAGGTACTTTGGCGTCGAAGCCCACGAGGCCGCACCGTGCTCAACTACGTGGGAGGGCACTATGGTCCTCGAACTCGACAGTTTTCCTGCTGTGGAGAAGTATGTACTGCTACCGTGAGATGCTATTTGATGGCTTATGGTCTTGGTGCTGAATCCGCCCCACTCTCGGCGCTTTTCCCGATTGTCCCCTGCCCTTTCCCCGACCCATGACGCCTGCTGACAAATTGACATTCCTCACGCCCTTCATCTTCTTCCCCTCTCTATCAGATTCCTTCCAGCCCACACTCGGTCAAACAAACACCATCTCACCGTTCGATTCCTGCAATTTGCGCCTGGGACACAACGCTTTGCCCAGGAGAACGTCCCCAATTCGCCGGGTGACTCAGGCAGCAGCTTTTTTTCTTCGCGTATCCACCAAGCATTGACCCTCGTCTCTGCCCGGACTGGCCCCGCCTCCCACCCACCTTCTACATCCTGTCGCTGTACGTCAACCAGCCCTTGGACGAGTCTGTGCCGCTCCCAAGGTCACAACAAAGCCAGCCATTCTGCAGAGGGGAAGGCGGGTTAATCAATCAATCTGTTCTTTTTGCTCCTGCGCATTCCATCCACCTCCATTGCCTTCAGTGCCGATCGCACCTTGACTGGACTGCATTCTCTGCCGGCCCCGTTCCTGGTTCGACTATCCTAGCCACATTATCAAATCCCTAGCATAGACTCCTCTGAACAAGGGCATTTTTCCCTTTCTCAACTCTGGCCAAGGGAAAAAGAGATCTTCTTTGTAGCTGCTTCGTTAACAAGCCTTTGTCAATTCCAATACGCTGCCCGAGTTGAAGGCAGCAGGCCAGGCGGCCAAGTCATATCATCTGCTCGAAGATCGCTCAGCGTCTTTCAAACTATTACCCATCCCGCAATAGCCCGGTGTTGAAGAGACGCCAACATGGCATCGACTGAATCCCAGTCTCAGAGACCTTCCCTTCCTTTCTATCTTACCCCTCAGCAACAGCAAGTATTACTCCAGGCGCTAGCCGGTGATCAACAGCAAGGACAATCCTCTATTACCCCGCTCACCTCCGCCGCCCTCTCCTCCCATCAGAACAACTCGTTTCCCGCCTCCATGGATGACCACGCTGGAGATCTTAGCGCCTTCCAGGACAGTTCGTTCCTCGATAGCTACGACGTTAGCTTTAACCCCGATTCCAGCTTTGATTTTGACATCTCGCACGCCTCCATGCCTCAGACCGCAAACGGCGACACCTCTGAGACGGCAAAGTCGGAGAACTCGGCGGATAACGATACACCGGAGAAGCGCCCGCTTGAGGAAGACGAGACAAGTCCGGGAGCCAAGGGAAACGATGCCAAGAGGAGGGATGGTCCCGAGAAGGTGCCAAAGAAACCCGGTCGCAAGCCGTTGACGTCAGAGCCAACTTCGGTAGGTGAAAGATGAATATCCATTGCCAATACGCGGACTCCCCGCCGTGGAACGTTTTACTAATCATTTTTATCATTGTCCCTTCCACAGAAGAGAAAGGCCCAAAACCGCGCGGCGCAGAGAGCGTTCCGCGAACGAAAGGAAAAGCATCTGAAGGACCTCGAGAACAAGGTGGCAGATTTGGAAAAGAAGTCGGAAACTGCGACTACCGAAAACACCGCCTTGCGAAAGCAACTTCGGAGTGTAATGGCCGAGCTGGATGAATATAAGCGCAAGGTTCAATTGTTGGGTAACCCGCGCCCGCCCGCTCGCGATCGTCTATCGGGCCATGGGTTTGGCTCGCCCGCCATCAATAATTTGAACGACGTCCACTTCCAGTTTGAGTTCCCCAAGTTCGGGTTCCTTCCCGGACCCCCCATCAATTCGAAGCCCACCAATGGACAGAATCGCTCTTCAGCCTCCCCGCAAGTCCAGACTGCATCCAACCTAGCCAGTCCGAACGGCAGTCACGCTTCTAACAAACAGCATTCACCTATCAGCGTATCGGCCGCGACGCCCAACTTGGCAGGAAGCACGCTCCAAAACTCACCAAACCCACAACGGGATGCTCTCAACGGCCTAAACGGCGCGAGGAATAGTTTGGATTCTGGCCATTACAGCCTTGGGAGTGGGTCAACAAGCTCTCCCTCCGGCTCTTACAACTCCGTAGGGGGGCCCAGCTCCTCATGTGGTACATCGCCGGAGCCATTTAACCAGTCCCCCATGGGATTCAAGCCTCTTGACACCATGACAACTATTGGCGAGGAGCAGCCTACCCTACAACATAACAATATGCAAGTGCCGACAAATTTTGGTGACCTCTCCGCAGATCTGAATTTCGACTGGCTTGCACAACAGAACGGGGGCCAGTTCGATCCCCAATTGTTTGGTGATTACCGTGAGCCGCAGAACAACATTCTTGCCGGGAACAACTTCGACGACAGTTTCTTTAATGATGCTCTCGATGCAGACTTCTTCACTCCCTTCAATGTGCCGCCAGTCGCGCTGCCGCCTAAGAACACTGCATCTGTCGACGCAGTTCCACAACAGGAGCCGTCTAAGGCTGCCAGTGACCCATTGGGCCTGGTGAAGGGTAATGATCTCATAGACTGTAACAAGGTTTGGTACGTATTGCACTGTTTCCGACCTGATCCTCTTCTGTGCCCAATTTTGGTTGCTAACCACCCCCGGACCTACAGGGAGAAAATACAAAGTTGCGAGAAGGTACAGGCGGGTGATTTCGATCTTGATGGTCTTTGCTCTGAGCTACAGAAAAAAGCGAAGTGCTCTGGTAAAGGCCCAACTGTTAAAGAGCAAGATTTCGAGGCTGTCCTCAACAAATACCTTGGGCCGGACTTTTTCGACAGATGCGGCAGGGGCTTGCCTCCCCAGAAGCCCCAGGTGGAGTCATAAAGGAGGGGTAATGAAACAACGACAGCACCTCTGTGGTTTACTCGGTTCACGACTTTCACTATAACTTGCGCTTCTCTTTTACTCTTTCTCTGCTTTCCCTAACGTTACACGCACGGGAACAAGTTCCGCTCACTTCTTCTGTACAACGGACATGGGAGGTTTAAAAAGCACTAAATGGGAACATGGGAATTTTTTCTTTTTCTTTTCTTCGTTTTTCGACCAGGATAGTAGCAGGAGGCAACGATTTTTATGGCGTTTGATACGAGTGGGAACGAAATGCGAGTCTTACGCCTGCTGCATATGGTCAAGGCGGAGGCTCTCTCTCGAAGGAAGCTTGGGTTTCGATCTATACATTACAGGGCAGGATGGGAAACTGGAGTTTATTGTCGAGTTTAGTTTCGTTTTCTCTTTTACGAGGTTGATGCGTCGGGATCAGGGTTGTGATGACGGTGTAATAGGATGGAATGAAGGTTGGCATTCCAGGTTCAATATGAGGTCGAGATGGACGCATTGATTGGACGTGTACAGTTCAGTAAACAGTCAACTACGTTATGGAGTGCTTTTCCTATTTTTAGGCCAACTATTGTTATGATGCTGTTTGCGAGGCTGAAGTGAAAGACAAGCTCAGCTCAAAAAGAACATTGACGTAGAGTGACGTCAGTGGCCGTGACTGGTTCTAGAGGGTTCAGAGAAGATGTCCTAAGAGATTGGTGGTATGCTGTAGCTCTTGAGATCGACAGAAGAGATTGGCGTATACTTCCGGAGTGGAACATAACAAGATACCTACCGCTTCCTCTTGACTGACGATTATCAATATCATTCATCTAAGTTGGAAGAGCTACTACCGAGGCACTTCTCTGGGCACCTCATCAGCGATTTCAGGTGATTCCTGGTCAAGCAGCAATTTATCAACACCTACTTCGTATCCTAGGGGGAATAAGAGCCAAAGGCGACAGGTAGTCACGACAAATAGGAGACGGGGCTGGCAGAGTCCCATAATGCCATCGTCCATAACCAGCAAACTCAAAAATATTTCATACTCTTGAAGAGTGAAGAGGTCGGAATAATGAAGTTATGTTAATTCTTTAGGACGATGACTAATCACGACTGAGAGCTGTTCGCAGCTGTACCCCCCCTTTTCTTGGCGTTGATCCCCCGCAACCAGGAAGACCAAGTCGGTGGCCTCCAAGAGTTCAATGTCAACACAGGCATGGTCTGACCGACTCCTGTTTGATTCGAACGACCCTAAACCCCCTGCAACCTTGTGAAACAATTCATACCACGACCGACCACGAAAGCAGCTGATCCAGAGGCGCAGCCCTTTATCCCATCATATTTACCCTCAGAAAACAGGACTATTTCCAACTAGGCAGTATATTACTCGGCTGGCCCAACCCATCTGGGGTCCTCAAGGCACAAGATGGATATCGCATACGACCATATCCAAGAGAGCTCATTCCCTAAGGTGGAAGAGGAGGACAAGAAGGACTCGAAGCAGGAACCACCACCGCAGCCGACGCTGAACGAGGATATACAGGAGGCATACAAGGCGATTTCGTCGAGTACTTGGGGTTCGAGGATTGGTGGGTTTATCGGGAGTGTTGTCAAGCAGGTTTGTAAAACACCCGGATGGTCTCTCCTCTGAAGAGGCCACCCCTTTTTTGCTCTTTCCCGGCGGCTTTCGTCGGGAGGAAGAGCTTTGTGAGAGTGTTGCTAATTCCTAAGAATCTAGGGCGAGCAAGTCTACAGTCATGCCCAACAGGAGCTTAGCGCCGTTGGCGGTGAGGCCACGCGTGGCTTCTCAGACCTCCGGGAAGCTGTGATCAGCCGAACGCGATCCCTTTCCCTAACGACGGCGGTACCAGCACAATCTAGCTCTACGGACCAGACGACAAGAGATGCGAATCAGGGCGAGGACAGGGCAGCGACGCCCACGAATAACGGAGCGGGCGATACGATGCTCGGGAGGTTCAAATCCGAGGCAGCGAAACGTCTACACGACCTCCAGCGAGCTGAAGATGCTGCTGACGAGGCGCTCCTCAAGTTCGGAACCAACATGCGTGACTTCTTGAAGAGCGCCATTACGATTGCGCCACCGGCCGAGGGTGAGGGCCAGGGCAGCACGGTCATGTTCGAGAGCAAAGACGCCCAAGGCAAGAGGGTTATCCACACGTCTCGGTTCGATGCTCAACTTCATGTTATCCACACCTCGGTGGATAGCTTCACCAAGGATCCCGAGAGTGAGGAGTTTACGACCTGGGCGAAGGACTTTGATGTGGAGAAGAAGACGGCGGATATCAGCAGTGATCTCTCCAAATATCCCGAGCTCCGGTCGACGATGGAGAAGCTTGTGCCGGATCAGATTCCGTACGCGGATTTCTGGAAGCGCTACTATTTCGTGAGGCATAGTATCGAGACGGCTGAAGCTAGGAGGCGTGATCTTCTCAAAGGTATTATATTATATTCCTACCTCTTTTTTATTCTTTGTCATGTTTCTTCCAAATCTTCTTCTTGGTCCTTTATATATTCTAACGTTGCTTTTCTCCCAGCTGCCTCCGCTGAGGACGAAGTCGGATGGGGTGACGATTCCGATGATGAGACCGACGACAACAACACCCAGAAAGACAAGCGCCCGGGATCCACCGAATCCTCGACGACTATCCACCCTCCCGCCCCTGTCCCCGCCGCCGTATCCTCGCTTAAGCCCAGAAAATCAAACGACGAGAAGTCCCAACCCGACAGTGAAGCCAGCTACGACGTGGTGGGAGCGCAGTCGGGAGTTCCCAGCCAGGCGCCGAACAGCCCCAAGGACTCGAAGAAAGATGACGACAGCGATGACGATTGGGAGTAGGCTCCTCGATAGTTGTGGTTTTGGGGGTGTTCGAACTTTTTTTTTTGCTTTTATTCCTTTAGAGAAATACCGTGATTATGGCGCTGGTCGGAAATTATTGGGTGTCTTTCTTTTCTTTTTGTTTCTCGTTCGTTGGGAACTGTACTGTTCAACTGTGGTAAAGCGGTTTGCTGTTGAAGTTTCCTGGTGCAAGCGAGAGCACAAGGGTTAATCATATTCCCCCATTTTCAAGCGACGGTCCTCCTCCCTTCATCCACACGGGCGCTGCATCGTGTTTTTTTCGCTGCGTGTGTCTGTGACCCCGTCCGGTCCCTTTCCATTCGCGAAATTAGCAAAATTACCACTTCTTTCTCGTGACTTTCGTGAAGCCGTCCTCATCGACCTCGGGCTCAGGCTTCTCCCGTCTCGTCTGCACAAGAGGCGGCGCATCCCCCATATCCTCATCATCATCATCATCATCATCCTCGTCGTCCTCATCCCAATCCGTATCCTGATTCGGATCCTCCCCCTTCTTATACAACCCGTCGATCTTCTTCCCCTTCCCCTCCTGCCACCTCACCCTCAAAACATCCACATTCTCGAACCTCCCCTCCGCGCAGTCCCTCCTTATCCTGACAATCTGTTCAGCGACTTTCCAAAGCGACGGATCCCCTTCCTCGATGATGACCTCGAACTCGTCCTCCATGACCTGCTGCAGGAACTCTTGGATGTATATATTATCGACGTCGTCAGCCTTTGTGGAGGAGAAGGAGGGAAAAAGGTCGGAGAGGGCGCCGGCGAGCCAGTCGCGCTTGTCGGCGGAGTCGGGGCCGCCGAGGTTTTCGCGGACGGCGAGGGTGAGGTCGGGCCAGAGGTGGAGGGCGTAGGCTATGCCTTGCTCGAAGTTGGTTTGGCGGATTTCTGGAGCGCGGGGGATGGTTAATTTGGAGAGGAGTTGAGGGATGACCGGGGGGCAAGCTTTTGCGTGTAAGTACTTACCCACCGAGGGGAGACTTGTGGGATCGCTGGAGGCCATGGTTGTGGTGTTGGGGGGCTTGGAAACGTTGTCGCTCCTCGTGGGCGTCGCGTCTGAGGTCCAAATATTTCTTTTTTTCTCTTTTTTGATCGCAAAATTTCTGGTGTTCATGGAGGGGTAATACAGTAATAGTAATCTTTGAATACGCACCGTGCATCCATTACCTATTTCGGGGTTAATTTAGCGCTCCGGAGATACTTCGTCCTTCGTAATTTAGTCACTTTTTTAGAGTGCTCACCTGCCGGCAATGCCCAAGACAAGGTCGCACTGGCTTCCGCAGGGACCGCGTGCGCCAGCTTCAATCTTCATCCTTCTCCTGTTCTGCTCAGGTTCTTCTCGTCAAATTATTGATTAATTTTGTCCATATGGACATCCTAATGTAATTCCAACCTCTGCGCCTCGAACCCGTTCGGGGCGCTCTATCAAGCACTTTAGAATACCTCCCCTCCTCCCCCCTTCAGAGAGAGCCATTGAGCCATGTCCGGATGCTTTGGACTAGGCCTCGTCGAAGTCAATTCCCATGCATGGCAGGCTGCGAACCGGATATCGCGCTCTCGTCAAAGCAATCACTATGAATAAACTCTCGACGACCTCCGTCTCCTTGGCTGTCATGCCGACGGTGATTGGGACCTTCTTTTCACATGTAAGCGCAATCCCCCAAACAGGGGCTCGTCAAGAGGTTTTCAGTTCGACATTCCCCTTCTTTTAATCCCTGCGCAACCACTCGAGCATCTCCAATTCCTGAGAGCCAGCTATAGTTGACGCGATAAAGCTAATACTTCCGCGAAAAACCATATAGTATCTCAATCGTGAACCCTTACATCAAAAACCCACGGCGCACCTTTCCTACCACGAGGGCCTCCGCTTAATCAAGGCCTTCCTCGAATTCGCGTCCCACCACACTGTCGAAGAACTTCAGGCATTCACCGCTCGGTGGGTTCCCCATCCACAATGGGTCAAGGTCAAAGATGTCACCATCCCGGAGGAGCCGCTCATGCGCGCAGCTTCCCTCCTCCAAGACCAGCTCGGCGAAGACGGCATCCGAAAAGTCGGCGGTCGCCAGTGGTGGCAATGGAGGAAGCCCGACACGCCGTTCAAAGCGGAGTGGGTAGAAATGCGCGAGGACTACAACGCGCGCAAAGAAAACGGCGATCCGGGAAGCCGGGTGATGTTGTACGTTCACGGCGGCGCGTATTACTTTGGCAGCGTGGACGAGCACCGTTACCAGATGCAGAGACACGCGCGGAAGCTTAAAGCTAGGATTTTTGCTCCTGAGTATCGGCTTGCGCCGCAGTTTCCTTTCCCTTGCGGGTTGCAGGATTGTCTGGCGGCGTACTTGTACCTACTTGAGAAGCAGGATCCGAGCACGATTGTTCTGGCGGGGGACTCGGCTGGTGGCGGGATGGTGATGTCTATGCTGGTGACTTTGAGGGATAGGGGAATTCCCCTGCCTGCTGGCGCTGTGCTCATCAGTCCCTGGGTCGATTTGACGCATTCTTTCCCAAGCATCAACGGCGATAGTTCTCTGGATTATATCCCGCCTTGTGGGTTCCATCACAAGCCGTCGATGGTGTGGCCACCGCCTAATGGTACCGAGATGGATTTAATCGAGAAGCAGGCCAAGGAGAGGAGGACGAGGCTATCTTGCTCGATAACACGGCAGAACGACGAAACTATAGAGGCCGCTTCTTCTGAGTCTGCCGGCGATAACCAAGCCAGTGCGAAGGCAGACCACGACCGTCAAAGGCTCGCTCTCGAGCGAATGCTCACTATTGACATTGACGGCAAGAATATGCAACTTGATGACCAGATTCAGGTAGGTTTGACTTCCAAATTTGCCTTCCTTTCCTGACTAACTTGGGGATATCAAGATGTATACAACCAACGAACTTCTTTCCCACCCCCTCGTGAGCCCGGTCCTTCAGCCCTCCCTTGGTGGACTACCCCCACTCCTTATCATGGTCGGAGGTGCCGAGGTCCTCCGCGATGAACAAGTCTTCCTCGCCCATAAATGCGCCAAACCAAAGAAGTACGGCCTCCCACCTGATTCTCTCACAGACGCAGGAAGGAAACAGTTAGAAAAGTACCCTCCGACACCTGTACAACTCCAGGTTTGGGACGATTTATGTCACGTTGCACCCACATTAAGCTTTACGCGACCGGCCAAATTCATGTATCGATCCGTCGCGCAGTTCAGCGCCTGGGCGCTCGCACGGGCGCAGAACTGTTCTATTCCTATTCTTTACGACGACGATATCTCCGTAATTTCGTCTTCCGAATCCGACGACACGGAAGAAGAAACACCAGCTACTTCCTCTGAGAAACAGGACACTACACCATCTACAGACCCGCCAAACCGGGGAAATACGTCGCAAGAAGTTGTAGTTGGGAGGGCAGGCGATCCTTTGCCGCCCTTTAAAGACCACATGATCCGTCAGCGCGTCACAAGACACGGTGACATTCTCCCATTAGAGCCCGAGACCGAACTACCAGGCTGCACCCTGAAACCAAGCGACGTGGGCGTCATCAAAGAAGGCCCCGTTCGCAAGTGGCTCGCCGCTAGAGAACTCTGGGACAAGAAGTACGCCCGCACCAAAGCCAGGGTCCACAGGCACCTCGTCAAGGAAATGGCGGACGGATACCTAGACTTCGGGGACGGCGAGACCCCCCCGCCTAGCGCCATAGTCGGACGTAGGAGGGCGGCCAGCACGTGGGGAGATTGGGGCCACAAGAAGACGAAGAGCATGGGCCTTGCGCTGTGGTCTTTGTGGGGATCGAAGCATGATGAGATGACGGTGGTGCGTGAATCCAAGGCCGGGAAGGAGGCTGCGGCGTCGAGCCAAAATGTGGAGGCCCAAGAAACTGTCGTTCCTGACCGGCTGGTTGTCCCTGCTACTCACACTCATGAACGCGTGCTCAGCAGGTCTGGCTCTCGGCAGATGGTTGTTGTGGACCAAAACCAGACCGGCGAGCAGAACGCTGACCTTCTTCGTGGAGAGACTCTCGTCGAGGATCTCCTTCGCTCGAGGAGGGAGAAGGAGGCCGAGAGACGGGAAGAACTCGGTCCCGACTACGTCCCTGAGACCGGTGTTGCTGGGAAGCGGCCTATGGTGGACGGTATCGCGGTTCCATTTAGTCTGAACAAGGACGCAACTACTTCGAGCATGGTTACCCTTCACTCGGATGACGAGGCTCCTGCGACGGCCGTCAAAGAGCTTGGGGAGGGTCGTGCGATGTCGCCGGAGACGGAGAAGGTTGATACGGCCCACAACAATGTAACGGGTCGAAATCACCGCGGTCCCATCGCGAATGAGTAAAGAGAGGGATATTTGAATTTGAATTTTTTTCTTTTCCTTTGGATGTACAAAGACAGGTTTAATAAGGACAACCATCAAGGTTTCGATACCATCCCATTTGTTTTGTGGAATAATAGTATACCGGAGGATATGAACATTTTAATAGTAGTAAAAACACACACACACACACATATATATATATATACATATACAAACACCGATACAATTGTCATGTCATCCTCCTCACTCTTACCTGTATGCCATGCCACCTTCAACAGAAAGACGAATAAGGGTTACGAGCAAAATCAAGTTGTCTGGGAATTGGTACATTATTGTACAGATCTATAGGGGATATCCAGCCAGTTCACAAACAGCCCCTCCATCATGACTGGCAGTTCAAGCAGGGGGGAATGTCGAACGTGCATCAACGCTCTTCCCATGCTCGTGTTCCAGTCCACTGCTCCTCTCAGGTCCCTCTGTATTTCTCGATTTTCCAATGTTGTACATATAGTCTTCCTCACATACGCTCTTCCTCCTCGCCCCAGATATTCAGACCTCCTTTAGTCAACACCGTTCTCGGCCTTCCACCGCTCGAGGTAAACCTCAGGATCCCTGGGTCCCTTGGGGTTTCCTTCGTAAAGACCGAAGAGGGGCTTCACCGTCTTGCTCACGAAAGGAGAAAGCTGTTCACAACCAAGGCAGTTAGCAACGTCATTCGGGGCCAGATACCAAGTAGATACCAAGTATCAACCAGCTTATTTCACCGAAACCGTTCTTCCTTGCTAAGGCACGCCGAAAGTCCTCCAATGTCCATCTCCAAATAGCAGCAATCAACGAAGAACTTACCGTAAACCCTTCGAGAGGCGGCACCGGATACGTCCGCACCTTATTCCACTCGATAATGTATCCTCCGTACTTCGTATGCCGGCCCATCGCTCCCGTCCTGTTACCCTTGTAGAAACCCTTTTTGATATCCTTCGTGGTAAGCCTGAGCTTCCGGAACTTAATGCCGAGCGATAGCGTCGGCCTCATCTCGTCCGATTTTCTTCGTTTCGGTAATTTCGTTCGTTATTCGGGTCTTCCGTCTCGACGGGGGAGGGGAGAGTAGCTATCGCTGAGCTCTCTTGATCGCAGGAGGGATTTACCCCTTCAACTAGCTCGGCACTTTCGATGGACGTTCCTCCGAAACCAAGAATGGGACCAATTGAGTCTATCTCCCTTGCGATGTCAAGGAGTAGCCCACCTCTTTTTTCTCGGTAGCCCAGCGTTCGTTGACAAAGGTCTAAAGCTTCACGAGAAGTGACGTTCTCACGCGACGCCAGGTTCAATCCATCCATTTTTTTTCTACCAAAGGACAGCGCTGCTGACTCATCTTTTCCTACGTGCGGAAATGAATCTAAAACTGTGCATTCGCACCTTCATATGGACCAAGAACTCATTCAGTCACGTGAATAGATGTATATCATGTGACACTTCCAATCAGTGTGGGGCACTCTGATTTCAATCCCCACTTAAAACCCATCTTGCTGACTCATTCATGTTATACAGTGTGGAAAACTTCAAAGATATTTATTCACACCTTCATATGAGCCAGGAAAACTTCATTCCACGTGATGATATATCATGTGACTTTGGACGCATTCGGCCGAGTCCCGAGCCTGGCCCCGTGTCTGACCTAAATTGAGACCCGAGACAAAGAAGCCTTCAAGATTGACCAAAGTCATCACAGAAATACGAAGGGGGCCACAGAACGCCCACGTCCCATTTTCGTTTTCCACCTCGCGTTGTGCAAGATCTTCCCTTGCCCTCCCTCCCCCTTTCGGGCGCCCTGCAAGATACCCATGTCCCTCCCCCCTCTCTAAAATAACTCTAAAAAAGTGTCCGAGATGCGTCCCTAGGGCTCCATCCCGTCTAAATCCCGAGTGTTTCAGTGCTGTGTCAGGGGGGCTCGGGATTCCCGCGTAGCTGGGCCTGTCGCAGCGCGACGCCCGGCTTTGGTGGGCACTTTTTTTTTCTCCTTTGATGAGATTATCGGCCTACGGTCGAGCGCACTGCACATGGCTGCCATGTGCACACAAGCGGTACGACTTGATGCTATTCTGGTTGGCTCGGTGTTTCGTCCCCTTTCATCGGGCGTATGCAATGCAAAGTGGAAGCAGTGGTACACGCATCGTGATTTGCATTTTTTTTGGTTATTCGAGTATACTAGTACAAAACGCCAGACTATGAAAAACGACGACCATCACACCTCTTCTATCACCAAACGCCCGATCCAACCGTGCTATACCCCCACTCTCGCCCTGCCAGCTCGAGCCCGAGCGCTTCACCTTGCGTCCGAAACCAGAAGATATATCCCCCCATTTTAGCAGTTGTGGATGGTGGCTGTTGACAAAGGATGCAGGAGAGGGGTTCCCTTGCATCGGCCCATTTTCAACGGCCCGGGATCGGGCGCGTGGGTTAAGTGTAAACATGCGGGGAATGAAATCGAAACAACTCCTTCGTTCTCCTTTTAGCTCGTCTTATCCCCTATGGCCGCCTCCTCGCCCTTCTTCCTCGCGCCTAGCAGCCTCTCCTTGAGGCTTACTTTGGCCTTGTCCTGCTTCTTTTCGTATAACGGCTTGTGTTCCTCGTGGATGTCGTGCTCATGTTCATAATCGACGTGAACAAATGCCCTCTCTACATCAGCAAGGCCTGGAGTTCTCTCGTCAGTGTCCATTCTTCAACGAAAAGGTTTCAATCCCCCAGGTAAAAAAACCAACCTTCAATCTTCCTCTGGAGGCCCTGGGCGACATCGTGAGTAATCCTCAGAGGAGCAGATTCATCCATGACGACATCAACCTCGACATAGTATTTTTGGCCAGCGTGGTACGCACGACACTAATGAGAAGAGCGTTAGAAACCTGACAGTCTTAATGTTGTGCCAAGAGATCCTTTGATTATACGTACGGTGTCAACTTTCAAAATCTGCTCATCATGAGTCATGGAAATGTACACCAGTTTGTTGATGAAGTCACGAGGAGCGGCTTTGCCAACCAAAAGCCAGACTTGCTCGAACGCATTGGAGGTCCAGGAGAAGAGAATGATGAGAGCGATGCAGATGGCACCGATGGGATCGAGATACCAAACGAACCTATCGCCAGTAATGGACATGATGAGACCAAAGAGATTAACGGCAATATCGTTTCGATGGTCGACCTAAGATGTCCATTGTCAATACTCCATCAGGCGCAGACAGGAAAACAAGGAGGTCACTTACAAAGAACACATGAACCGACGGGTACTTTCGGTAGAAGAAGCAGTAGACCATCAATGTGCCCTTGGCAAAAACTGCGGCCCGTTATCATCTTATAGCTCCCAGTCATGCTGGAAAGGTACCTTCGACTTACTTGCAACGCTCACGAAAATGATGGGGACTATGTGCAACTTTTCTGCCTCTTGCTCTCCGTCGCCTAGCGCACGGCCGGACTCAATCTAAAAAATCCGAGGTGAGTTTCGATCGCCCAAGAACCAGAAGCCGAGACTTAATTGAATTGCTAATTCTCGACAAAATGGAGAACGAAAAAAAAAAAAAAGGGGGGGGGAGGAAAGCTTACCAAGAGCTGGATGGCAACAGTCGTCATCAAGGCACAGAAGAGGATGACACCAATCGTCTCAATTCTCGTCCGGCCCTAAAACATACGTGTTAGAATGAGGGGGTTTCCAATAGGTAAGATGCGAACAAAGGTAAGTCAAGCGGTGTGACTTACAACTGGGTACTTATACACACTCGGCCTCGCAGCCATCCTGGAGGTTACGAGCATAACGAAAGAGGAAACGAGATCCATCTAGTATATCAATCTAAGTCAGTAATGAATTCTCTTACGTAGGTAAGTGCTAGATTTTCGAGATTGGTTTACTAACAAAGGCATCGGCGGCGGTTGCGAAGAGCTAGCTCAAAAGTTAGCAAAGAATGCAGAAATGGATAGTAAGTAGACCATAGTCCTGGTGATTCGTACGGAGAGAGATCCAGTAGATATGGCGGCATAAAGCTGGATGACGAAAAGACAAAAGTTGACGGTGAAGGACGCGTTGACGGCAAACTTGATCTTGGGTCCCATGCGGGCATCCTCTTCTACGGCGAGGCGCTCTTCGTCATCGGCGCCGAGAAATTGGTCAATGAGCCGGTTTTGGCGAGTATAGAACTTTTTCAGTTTCTTCTCATTGCCATTTGGATGGTCCTGTTTAAGCTGGCGTCGAGTGACATTTTCTCGACGATGACGGCCAAAGTCTAGCGGGTCTGCAGGGTTGAAAACATGGACACCTTGCACGGTTGTCTCGACTCCAGTAGCCTCTGCGGTGTCCTTGGAGGAGGCCTTTTCCTCAGAGTAGGATGCAGTACGATCAGACGGCGGCACCGCCTTCCCTTCTATGACTGGCAATATGGCGTCTGAACTTGCTGCGCCTGCATCTGCACGGGGACTTGACGAGGCTATAATCGGTATTGTCAGTACTAACTAAAAGCCCTAGAAAGTAGATAACTGCTCAAGCATCGCCGCAATAGAAGTTACGTAGCCGAACTTTGTACGTAAGTTGCAACAAAGCTCATAACAAAGACGGGAAACGGCACAGGGTTTGCCGCGTACAGGGCTTAAATCAGGCGCTCTTGAAGATCGCGACGGGCCCTGATCAGTTGCCTGCGACAGATAATCATAACGCCCCTCGAATGTGATAAATTGATCTCCGGGCAACTTGATCTTCTTGGTTCTGCTCTCGCCCACTCATTTTTTGGCATTTGGGGCTAATCCACGTCTTGGCTTTGCTTGGCTTTCTGGGGAAGAGGGGAAAGACCAGCCGAACGCGTCAATCAAATTCAAGAGATATCTATCACCAAAAAAAGAAAAGAGGAATGGAACATACCAGGATTGGGATCATCTCGTATTTGGGAGGCGTCAGTGTCCGACGCCATCTTGTTCTTCAATTCGACCAATTGATGGAATAATGAATAGAATCAGATTGATGCTTGAATATTTCAAGTTCAAGGTCTGACGCGAAAAGGAAGAATCAAGTAAAATGTGCAGTTAGGAAGAAAAATTCATCAGGAAATCAAGAGACCACGAGAAGACTGGAGCATTGGAACATTGAAAGAGGTCGGACAGGAAGTGAAGCTCCGTTCGCTTATTCTTGCCATCTCCAAGCGAGTGGCAATATCCGTCAACCAATTCATCCAGGGGAGCACAAGATCCTGGCTCATGATGGGGTTGTGAATAGCGGGGAGGAAGGTGCGTGCAGAGCCCGGCTGACCAAAAACAGGCCTGTAATAGGCTGGAAGGTACACGGATGTTTGCAATTCCATACCGCTTCCTACTTTGCAGCGTGTGCTGCTGCACGACTGCATGCATATTGCTACTTATATCCCTGGTTATACGAAGTATGTAGTGCACACCAATGGTGTTACCCGCTTGGAGCTTGTAGGGGTTATTTGACATGAGCCATGATACTGGGCAACAATAACCGCTGGCAAGGAATTTTTGTGTGGAGCCAGTCCAAGATCAATGTTCTTTAGCCTGGCTCCGCGAGACGCTAGCACAGAGCGAGCGATAGCTCGAATTGACTGGACAGACAGCGGACGCTACAATGAGAAGAATAGAGAGTAGATTAGGCTCGTTCCAACAAAGCAACGTCATTCAGGCCACCCTACAGAGACTCCATCAACTCTTAATGCGTGAAATGAAGCAGTGCAGTGCAGGATCTCTAGTGGGAGTCTCGTGGGAACGGGACCAAGTGCCGTCTGCTAGTACCAGGAACTGGCGCTCAAGTGCTTACAACTTTAAAACCACCGCATCTACGAGACCAAACAATCGAGGAGCAGCGTAATAAGGTTGGTTTTTCTCCGAGGTGTTTCTATTGATATGCGTCTGTCGCCGTGATACCCGGATGAGATGAGTATTTGTCTTCTCCCTTCGTATGGGCGACCCAAGTCGCGGACCTTAATACGCTCTGATATAGCCTCGATCCCCCGTCATCACTTGACAACTGGCCGTTTGGACGCCCGGAGTCAGTGCGCCTGGAAAGCCTGTATCCGAGAAGGACACTATGCCCGATGTAGCAAAGGGCTGCAGGTATGCAGTGCGACCTAGCCGAAAAGGCAACACTGCGCTATCCGGCACTGAAACTCGATGCAAGTGTGGCTGGAAGCCCCCCGCGAAGCTGGTGGTGCTTGTTTTTGGCGTGACAAATCAGTTCGGGGCAAGAGTCCCGAACACGAGCAGGGAAGGAACCTATGGCCTGCTAGTTTTTAAATAGGCGCGACATGTACGGTTAGATAAGGGGCTCGCTGGCTGCTCTTCCGCTGCAGGCGTAAAGATGAGATCGATCTAAGTCTAACTCAGCTGGCAAGGCGTGCTGCAGGGAGGTATTGTAGGATGGGATCGTGCCTTCCAGTGTTTCCCCGACGCCATGCCCATGTTTATGGACTGATACCGTGAAGGAAACCTCTTTCCAGCTTGAGTTTTGCATATGAAAGGAAGACAGTCAACTTGCCAAGGAAGTTGCAATTCAATCCACACGTCGCAGGTTTACACGAAGTATTCATCGGGGCATGCGTAATCGAAACATTTAGTGGCGTGAGGGCAATGATACAACCGGGGCCCAGAATCAATACATTGGCTTCATATGTTTCCACGACGTCGGCGGACATATGTCAGAGGAGGCACGACCGAGCTCTTTCAGATGGCCTGGCGGGGAACTCGCGGACAGCAATGGGGACATTGTGTCCTTCTCGCATCGATCGAGGAAGGAATGGCCACCGTGCTACCGAGGGAACCCTCGATCCGTGCTCCCTTCCTCACTTAACTGTTGGCCAGAATGGGCAAAAAATGCTCGACGATTACGAGTGTTCTCTTCTCCAAGAAACAGAAAGCAAGACCATGCGAGACGCTTGAGAAATCCTCCCAGTGTACAGGTTGATCGATTGTACATCTTACCCAAATCTACCAGCTCAGTGGAGATTGATTCTCTATTGCCATCCTTCATCCTTGTGTATAATACCCATCCAAATGCCCAAAGGTTCCAATATTTCGTGGTCAATTTGGAGAGCTGAAACTCTCTCCATTGTCCATCATCCCCTCACCCGAAGATGCGGCAAGATCAGCCGAGTCAACGCTCTCTCGCCGGTAATGAAGCCCGAGCATCTTTTTCATTTCTCAAAATATCTCAGCCGGGCGTATTTCAGGTTTCTCTGATGGGTATTTCATCGAATACGAAGCAGTGTTAGCTGATGATAATAGATCCAGATCGCGGCGAACAAGCTGAGGCTTCCAGCCTTGCGTTAGTTAGACTCGAAACGGCCCCCTGAAAAAAATTATCCGAATCCAACCCCCCTCAATCGGAAACTCTATCTTTTGCATTCGAGCCACGAAACACTCGCCCGTCTCAGCGCCAAGGATTTTTAACTCCAGCTTTGCGTCAAACCGAGGGCGTTGGACCTTCTCGAAGGTAGAAGTCACGAGGGCTAAGTACCACCACAGTCAAAAAGGGAAGAAATGTACACCTCTAATAATATCCCGAAACGCACTCTCCGGGCAACTTGCTATCGCTCGACCGACCACTGGCCTGTTTCATACTCTCCAGTCCCTACGTTACGGCCCTTTCCTTCGCCCTCTTCCCCCCACCCCGGCCCAGGACAAACGTAATGTCGATCCGATGTAAGATCGTACCTCAACCTGGCCAAGCCAAAACAGGGTGCTTCAGCAAGAGACTGGGGCCTTGACTGTAGCCACCGTCACCCACGCCTAGACGCAAACGGACCTGACTTGCTCTTGACCCTCGGTGGGACGGCTCCACATGAGTCCTCGCGCCGTGTCTTTCGCTTGCGAAAACCTTCTGGCTTGCCTATCCTCAAGTTGCCCAGCGCTGATCGTATCTTGATATTCCTATTATCGCCCGTGATATATTGTACCTCGTCGTCTAATCTTTCCTCGAAGCCTTGTCTAGTAGGCCGTGCATAATACCATCGAACGGCTTTCCGATCCCCATGGATCGTTATTGATCTTCTTACTTAGTCCCCGCCCTCCTTCCTCTCTCCTCTTCCCTCTTCCTTCTTTTTCTCTTGCCAAGCTTGACTTAAAGTCTCCGATGACTTCAATGTCTTGCTAGTTTTGTTGTGTTTCTTTTTTATTTTCTCTTCGCTTTTCATTTCTTTCGACGTTTGGGCAAGTGGCCCCTCACGTCTGTTCCCCCTTGGAGGCTGCTGCGCAGTCTCGTTTTTTCCTAGGCTCTCTTCTTGATCCAGAACGAAAAAAAAGAAAAAAAAAATCCATAAAAAAATCTGTTTCCCCTCTTGTTGTTTCTCTTTTTGTTACAAGTTATAGAATATGTCGAGTCCTCTGGAGGACGCCAAGCCCGCCTGTGGTGGCGGTACGATTGTTGGTGATTATGATGTTGGCATCCACGTTCTTGGACTGTGTAAGTGTTGATTCACACGATCTTGGCATCGCGAGGAACACCTCTGCTAACCTCGGATTCTTTGTGATTATTAGTCCTTGTCCTTGCGGCGTCAGCCTTCGGTGAGCAGTCGCCAAACCCACAGCTTGGAGTAAAGCCTACTAACACCTTTTCCCCAGGATGCGGCTTCCCAGTGATGGCGAAGAAGATCAAATGGCTCAAGATCCCTCCGCCGGTATTCTTCGCAGCTAAGCACTTTGGTACTGGCGTTCTTATAGCAACGGCGTTTGTGCATGTTAGTGAATACAGATAACAACAATTAAACAGAAACAGACCTACTAACACTTGGGGTAGCTTCTTCCGACTGCGTTTGCAAGCTTGAATGATCCCTGTCTACCCGATCTCTTCACGGTCCAATACCCGGCGATGCCCGGTGTCATCATGATGGGCTCTCTGTTCTGCCTGTTCATCATCGAGATGTACATGAATGCTAAGACTGGTGGACACTCCCATGGCGGCCCCACAGGCGAAGCTCCAGTGCCCATGAACATGGGTTCTCCCCCAAGGCCTCCTCGACCCAGCAACGTCGGCGGCTATCCCGATGACAAGAAGGAGATCCAGAGAATGTACGATGACGAATATGGTCGAAACATGCAAGACAACCCTTTTATGACGAACGACGAGAAGGCACAGTCCGACATGCCTGCTTGGTTCATCGTCTTTTATGAGCAATATGTTCGCCAACGCCTCGAGTTGGTCAAGATGATTCAAAACGCTGCCCCGAGCTACAACTACTCAACCTCCCAGGATCAGCAAATCTCCCGTGCCGCCGAGAGTTTCGATACCGAGAACCAGACCGTCGATCCCTCCGTGTACAAGAAGCTGTCGGCCCAGATCACCATTCTCGAAGGTGGTATCCTCTTCCACTCGGTCTTCGTCGGCATCACTGTGTCTCTTACCGTCGATGGTTATATCGTCTTGCTCGTTGCTATCCTTTTCCACCAAATGTTCGAGGGTCTCGGTCTCGGCTCCCGAATTGCTGAGGTTCCTTATCCCAAGAAGAGCATCAGGCCGTGGGTTCTCGTCTTCGCTTTCGGAACCACTGCTCCCATTGGCCAGGCTATCGGTATCCTCGCTCGAGACTCATACGACCCCAACAGCGCCTTCGGTCTGATTATCGTCGGCGTGTTCAATGCAATGTGAGTCCCGTCTCTTCCGCTATTTGCCCAAAAGCCGGGGCCGAAAGTATTAACCTTTTGTTTAGTTCATCGGGTCTCTTGATCTACGCTGCCCTTGTAGATCTCTTGTACGAAGACTTCCTCTCCGAACACGCCCAACATGTCATGAACAAGGCTACTAAAATCAAGGCTTTCTGCTATCTTCTTGCTGGCGGTGAGTATTCTGGGGAGATACACTGGCCTTTGCATAGTAGTAAATGTGCTAACGCTGTGAGAAAAGCTGCGGGAATGTCCATTGTCGGTGCGTTCGCTTAAGCAAGTTGTAGAGCTTGTGCCACGGCAACCGAGAGTCGAAAGCAGGAGAGCGACGAGCGAGTGGGATGAAAAGGAGGTGGGAGTAGTGAGAAGCGGAGTGGAAATAGAAAAAGAAAGAAAAAAAATTTCAACAAAAAAGCAAAATGGGAGGAGGAGAGGCGACCGGTTCATTCCTTTTACGGGGCTGCTTCGCGTCCAAGGGAATACGAGGCATGCCAGCTTTACCCAGGTTCTGGAGGGGAAGGAAGAGCAAAAAAGGCGTCGAAAAGAAACAATTTCACGCACACGCGCACACGCACAACCGTCAATCAATGTTTCGCATTTCTTCTTCTCCCGCAACCAGAAGGAGGCGCTAGATTCCCGCGTCTCTCTTACTGTTTAGCCCCGTGCCAATGTCTCTGTGTCTTCTTTGCCCATGCCTTCTTGACTAGTACGGGGAACCGCTGGTCTAAGGAGTATGGGGCAAAAAATGAGAAAACCAAGGACGCACACATGTTGGCTTGAAGGGCTGACCGCAAAGTTGGAGGAATCTTACGATTCGAGGGTAGTTCATGGATCTGAATGTTAGTGGCTATGAGGATTCTAGGGCTTGAAGAAGGTGGGCTATATGGTATTTAATGAATTTAGACGTGGACGGGAACTGAATGGAAGGGGTATGTATGGGCGTGTATCAAAATCTAGATCGATAGCATTGTATGGTTTATGGTTTGTATTTCTGAGTGACGCGAAATATAGGAGCTTCTTGTTTAGAGTAAGGCCCCGTCTAACGTGGAACGGTTGGGGTACTGATCGTAAGTGGGACAAGAGAGATCGTCTGTAAAAAGGAATATCTGGGTATAGTAAAGTACACAAGAGAGATCGCAGAACCAGACAAGATTGGTGAACTAGATAATTGGCCCTTTTCAGCTTGCACACAAGACTTTAACGAGAAAAAAGACCGCCAACGCCTCAATCCTCCCTGCCCACCGAGCCGCTGAACCATACCGAAAACTTTTTCAACACCCTCCAATGCACTCGTTCCCTATAAAAACTGACACAAGGACTTCCCCAAAAATTCTCGTGGACCGAAAGACGTCGCAAATGAAAACTCAGGCCATGAAATCCTCCTCCATCTGTGTAAGCCCACCGCCACCCTGGATACCACCTCTCGGCTCCTCTACCTCATGAGCCTCAGACCTAGCCCGCACCGGAACATCCCCCTGAACCCCATCAACTCTAACCCTTCGCACAGGTTCCGTCGAAGGACCAGCCGCCGACGCAGGCCTCTGCTGCTGCTGAGCACCAACAGCCGCAAGAGCCGAAGCGGCGGCGGCAGCCTCAGTATGCTTGAATAATTCCTTGAACCAATCGGCAGCATCCTTGTTGCCCTCGACGAGCCACTTGAGACAGAGGGTGACGCGCTCCCTCGAGAGGGGCTGGTACCCGTCGTAGGATACGCAGTTGAGCAGGGCGACGAGCCCGTTGTTCTGGAGGACTTGGCGTTGGACGTCTGCGTTACCGGGGGTGCCGCGACCGGGGCGGGGTTGGAGGAGGGTGGCGATTATGGTGAAGATGGGGGCTTTGACGCCGGCCCAGGCATATTTGCTTCCTTGCTCGCGGGAGGTGCTCCCGGAGTGTTCTGAAGTCATGTCCATGGGGCCCGTGGAGTCGAAGGACTCGTTATCCGAATCCGGGTCAAAATCGGAATGGGCGTCGTGGTAGTCGTGGCTGTGATGATGGTGATGATGGTGGTGGTGAGAGTGGTGGTGATGGTGATGGTGATGGTGGTGAGGGTCCTTGGGAGACGATGAACCCCCCGAGCTGCCTGGTTGACGGACGGCCTTGGGCTGGCCGTTACTCATATCGACGAGCGGCAGCTTGGGAACCGCAGCTTCGAGCGCCGTCAGCAAAACGATGAGGTCGTAGACGGCTTCCCACTTGATCAAGAGCTCTCTCGTCTCACGGATTTCGGCCACCAGCTCGATGAACTCGAGGTACTGGATCAAGGCCGCCTTCGCTCTTTGCATCTCCCAGTAATCCATGCGGAAATCAGAGGGCTCCATTTTACCCTCGCGGATCTGGGATTGGACGTGCATAATCGCCGCGTATTCGGGTACGATAAACGAGCGGAAGAAGGTGTAGAAGAAATGGATCAGCTTGAAGAGCTTGGACTTCTCCTGCTGGGAGACGTCATCCATGTGGGCGGTTGTTGAACAAAAGATATCGCCGACGAGTCGTAGAAGGACGGACTGGGCGGGAGACAGAATAAAGTTCCGGTACGAGCTAACCCTGTTCCACGCGGCAGGGATGAGTGAGTTGTGGTGGAGGGCGAGAACAATATCTCGCATGACTTGATATACGAGCGCCGTATCATCGAGAACCCAGATACCAACGTAAACGAGCATCTCCTTAAAAAGACTCCTGCCAGAGTTAAGGGCCAGGAACATCTTGCAGCGCGTTTTCTGAAGATTCTCACCACAGGGCGTAAGCCCATCGCCATGGCTATCCAGGATGCAAGTCTTGATGATCATGTAGAGTGCCTCAATCTGCCTGGGATCAAGGATGTTAGGAATCTCGGTAAGAATCCCGGACGACATGACCTCGTCGTCGTTATGGAGCCTCGAGCTATAGGTGGTAGGGCTGGACGGATCGGTGGCACTAGAGGCTTGCTCCTCAGCCCAGCGCTGAAGAAGAGCCTTGCGAGCCGAGCCGAGTTCTTCTTTGGCTGCGTCTACGGATTGCATTGCCGTTACATCCTCAAAGTTGGCACCCACTACCTCAGTCCACCATGAGTCGATCTCATGAGACGTTCGCAGGTAAAGTCGGTCGCGGTCCCACTTTGACTTGGTGTTCGGGTCCCAAACGGGAGTCACGTTGCTATCGTCTTGGACGTGGATCTCATAAGGCACTTTTGGCAGCCAGTTCCAAGCTAGAGGTGACACCGAGTCTAGAGGACTGGGCTGGTCCTTAGCATGGTGCGCCATGTACTCCTTCAGGAGGGCTGTGGCAGAGGGGCCGAGTTTAGAGTTGCGGGCCAACCAGTTATTCACTTCGGTTCGGGCTACCTCCATGTTGGGCTCGGTCCATCTCAGCTCGGCGGGCACGGGCGACGCCAGGACGGGCTCGCCCTCGGCGTCATCAAAGAGCACGTCCAAGAACAGCTGCATCTTGTTCCAATGGTGGCCCACGACCCAATTGTGGGCTTGTTGCAAAGTCGTCACCAAGAGACGTTTGACTATTTGGTAGGTAAGGTCAGCAGTGTATTCTTTGGTATCCAACAAAACCAAAAGGAGACAAAAGGGGCAAGTCTTCATACAAAGGTCATGAATTTCAAGGACTTTTTCAAAGAAGTCTGTGGTCCCCTCAACATCACTACCAGGACTCTTGCTGTTATTCGTCACATAGGCACAGAGGACAATGGTCTTGTAGGCCATTTTATCAAAGGTGGCAGCAGCACATAGGTCCTGTGGCACAGGGCGGGAATCGCTGACTAGAATATTTCTAGCAATCTGCATCAAGATGTCAAGAATCTGAACATCCTCCTTGATGGTAGCATAGTTCTTGACAATAAGGGTTGAGCTCTGAGGATAGGAAGCAGCGACATCTGGCCCTTCAAGAGGCCCAAGGGCACGGTTGGCAAGATTTGGAATGGCTGATTGAAAAATCTTTCTCAGATACACCCAAATCTCAATATTTGGGCCAAACTTTCTTGTGCTGTGAGGGGAGGTTAGCCAAGGCTCCATAACAAGTTCCACTGATAGTATTCAAAACAAAGCAACAAAGGGGAAGAGGAAGAAATGAGGCTGGGTGTCCGAGGAGTTGTGCGGAGGATAAAGGAAATAATCAGTATAAGATATAACAATCCACTGACACTCACCGAACATCTTCATCCTGAGTCTTCTCCAGAGACTTGGACAACATAGAGATAGCCTGGCGAGTAGACTTGGGTCCCAGGACAGGCCTGCCAGTGAAGTGGCATTCGATAGTAATGAGGCTCGCAAGTAGACACTTCTCCTCGATCGACTCTCCGAGACTAGGCGGAGCTGTTGGCTGAGGAGCCGAGACCGCCGGCTGGGCCGAAGACGACTCGGCTACCGACATGGCTCGTGCTCGATCGAGTGTGACGCTATCGCGGGGCGCTTGGAGAAGGAAAAGAGGATGAAACGAAGTAAGATCTGGTCTTTGTTCGGACTCGAACTCCCAGAAGGAAAAAATGTTTATGGGTGGCGGGGCAGAGAGAAGCTGGATGGCGATGAATTTTATGGGAGAAACTGTGGGAGCCCAGGGTTGACTAGTTTCTTTTTTTCTTCCACCTTTCAAAACAGATGAATTAGGGAAGGCTGCTGGCTCAGATCGGCGCGTGTATATGATGCACCAAACTTGAGTCCTAAATATACTTAGGAGGTTTAAAGATGCGTCGGTGAGAAGATGGCGAGTGTAGAAGATGAAGGTCTCTCTTGAGCGTCGTTGACCGAGATCGAACTTTGATTCTGAAGTGGGGCAACGAGAGGACGTTGGGATCTTCCAAATCCTGAATGTCACTAGTACCTGAATATAATTAGTAATTCTCCAGTATTTAAACTTCATTTATCCCACAATACAAGTACAAGATACATCCACAACCACAGCTCATCAAGAAGCCCTCGACATGAAGAGAGCATCGATATCTTCCGGCAGGTCAGTGAGGGCTGAATATAGCACGACTTCCTATAGAGAGGCTGATATTAACTGGAGTATGACTTCCAAGTATCAATATGTTCAAGCACTACAGTAGTAACCTGCCAAAGGTATCTAGTTCCAAGCTGCCTCCTCTCGCGATATCTTCACCCGGAGCTGCCTTCGAGCAGTGACTGGTCCCCTTTGCCATTCTACCTCTCTGCCATCTCTAGATCCCTCGAAACTACTGCGCCTTCTTGTAGACCAAACCAACCTCATTGCCAAACACTCCGGAGTAGCCAACACGGACAGGGGACGGGAAACTGCCTATATTCTGCATCATGGTCGTGATTCTATACCCCTTTATTCAATACTTCAACCATGTAGTAGGAACTACCACCGTATATCAATGCAATCAGACGAAGAAAGTAAGAAAAAAGAAAAGCTCCCAAAAATTCAGGCGCCATGGTATACTCAAAGTCTCAACACCGCAGCCGGACAAAAGAGAAGAACACAACTCATCGCGCCAAGACATATAAAAACCCAAAACATTCCGAAATCCCTTCAAAACTCTCCCCTCACATCAACAAGTACAATGCCCTAACAGCCTTCTCAGCAGCCGCAACATGCCAAGGCCTCACGTCCCCCTCCCTATCCGCCACGCCCCTAACCCTCGCCAACGTCCCCAACGCCCTAAAATGCCCCAACATCTCGCGCAGTAAACCCTCGTGCTGCCTCGGGTTCCCGCCCTCGCTGTACACGACATTGACCTCCATGACCACGGGTGGGTCCTCGATCTTCGTGCCTCCGCGCTTGATGAGGTAGCCGCTGAAGAGGGACGGGTTGATCTCTGTCGGGGATGTGGTGTTGTTGAGCTTGTGGCTGAGCACGCAGCCCCACGACTGGTCCATGACATCGACGAGGATGCCGTCCGCCGCGGCGCCGTCGGCTGCTGCTGCGTTGGTGTCGCCGCCAGGCGTGGGTGCGTTGGCGGGCGTGGGGGGGTTGCCGCTCTGCTCGGGGGAGAGGATGCTGGCCTGCGGCGTGGAGGCTGGCGTGGTGTAAAAAGTCGCCGATACGGATGGGTTGAGCCGGACGGCGGGCGGGATCAGCTGGAGCGACGGGCTCGTGTCCACCGTCATCAGGACCAAGCTGACCCTGGCTTTGGATTCCGTTTGGGCGAGACCGGTCCAGAAGTCCATCTCATCTGCCTCCATCGGCCCGCACTTCGTGATGACGACTCTCCAATGGACCTTCCACATCGATATGAGGTCGTGCGTCGTTTCCCAAATCTCGTGAGCAACGTCCGTGAACGGTGTCGCGAGGGGCCGGCCCTTTCGTCCAAGACAATATGAAGCCGTCATCTGCTGGCTGCCTCGACTATCCGTCCACGCCGCCGTAACCCATCGTCCGTTGACGCTGCGTGCATAGGACACGTGAATGCACGAATTCTCATGCATAACCGATGCGGACGGCGTCGCCGCGAGGCTAAAGTCTATAAAGCGCGGTGCCACCTGCTCGAGCATGATGGCTGGCGCCGGCGCTGGCCCGTTGAATAAGGTACACCGGTCGTATATCTCGAGGCAGAGCTTAAGCATGTCCGCAGGAGGCTGAATAACGACGGACGACGTCCCGCAGACGAAATCGGACGGAACGAGCTGGAGGACTAGCTCGTTTGACGGTACGGCACTATTCTTGCCTGTTAACAGGCTCTTGTAAGCTTCCGAGAGCTGCTGGAATGATGTACACGCCTCCACGATCGAGCTCGGATTGGCAGGCGAATATATGAAGAACACAACAAAGTTCTTCGACGACTCCGTGGATCCTCTAAGGGCCTGGCATAAAAGCTCTACTCGCTCCGCAAGAGCTGAACTGATACGCGGGAAAACGGTTCCCGGCGTGACCGAGATTTTATCCACGTCGTACCGGACCAGCCCATTGGAGATGCTCTCTGTCGACGCAAGACGGCCAAAGCTTCCAAGTTTCATAGACTCGTAAACACTTCTCGCACGGTCCATGAATAAGTCGACGCTATCGGCCATACCATCCCATCCTGGAAAGACGCATACGGCGTGCACGTCCTTCGGGCCTAGCGATGGCCCAAGCCCGAGACTTTCCCAGAACGACACGGCGGATGGAAGGACAGAAAGCCTTGTCTCCGCCCGCTTCAGCTCGAGGTGTGGGGGCGGAATCTGATATACAGTCGGAGGCATGGGTATTGACGAATCCCGACCGGGGACGGGACGCGGCTGGAGAAGCGGGCGGCTGGGGGGACCGAGCGATGGGGTCCCGTCCTGAATCTCCGAGAAGGCTCGGAGCTGACACTCCACAGCTCCCGCTAGGCTCGCCGGAATAGATTCACGCAATCCTTGCAATGCCTGTCGCGACAGCGAAGCTAGCTGACGGCGCTTGACGGGGGAGGGCACGGGCGGCTTGCGCAAGGTGACGTCGCTGAGTATCTCCAACGAGCCGAGCGCTGCCTGCTCCGTCAAGATCTGCGCGATGGCCACCATGTCTTCATCGGGGAGCGACAACTGGAGAGCGAGCGGTTCCGGATCGGCGAATAACTTCGCCACCGGCATCTCCGAGGCTCCCGCTCGGCCAAGACGAGGTAGTTCCAGGACGAAGCTTGGATCAGAGTCATCGGGAACTTCGACGTCCCGTAGTGATGTTGCGTGCGAGATCAAATCATCTTCGTTATTCGTTCGTCTTGGCACCGCAGACTTGATGGGCGAGAATGCCTCCTCGCTCGACACGCTCGTGTCGTCCTGGTCGGAAATTGTACTGCCATCATCGCATTCCACGTCTGCGAGGACATCGATTTTCGTAGGGCTAGCATGAATAGAGCTAGACTCCAGACCAGTCGTTATCCGCGCGATCATGGCTCCGTGGTTTTCGGGAAGCGCCTTTAGATTCTTGCTGTTCTTCCCGTGGCGTCTGAGATAATCGGTTGTTGGCGGCGCTTTATGGTTCAAATCTTCTTTGGTAGGCGACCATGTAAAGGCATATTTGCCTCCGTTTACGTATTTGCTAGTGACCGGGGGCAGGGTCACGTCGAATTCAACCTTGTCGTAGACACTCCTTCGTCTTATCAGCGGCGCGGAGGTCGGAGGGCGTTTGGGTCTATAGACCGCTGTTCGGACCCGCTTGAAGACAGTATCTGGATCAAAGGGGCTGTGTTCTCTCTTTATAGTACTACCAGGCCTCGTCTTGGACACGGCTTTGGTCTCATCTCCGAGGGCACTCCTGGCATGCCTGAGCTCCGGCTTTGCAAAAACTGGCGACTCCTTCTTGATTGAAGAGTCTTGGACCGCGGATTGATCAGAGACAGACGTATTGTTGCCCCCGGACGGGAAGGGTGGTGGCGGAGGTAATATGTCTGCTAATTGGCGGGGGTTGGATTCAGGGATTGACGTTTGAGGGTCCGGGTTCGCAATATCCGCGGTTAGCATGTCCACATCCAGATCCACGGCGTTGCTGACGGGCTGATCATCAAAGAAGTTAAAGTCTGCATCTGTAAGCTCTCCATCCGGGAACATGTCTCCGCCTAGGTCACCAAATAAGTGATCGGCGTCTGTGAGGTAGGGAGCCTCGTTTCTATCACGCTCCGCATACGCATCACCATCACCGAGCGGGGCCGCACTAGACATGACCACATCCGTATCAACGATGGCAAGGCTAGGGGGCTGAGCGTGAGGGCTAATTACAGCGCCATCGAGACTCGGTGTTGGGGCACTCGGGTTCTGGATAGCATCAGGAGGCGTAGGGTACATCACGCCGGCCGCCAGGGCTGCCGCGTTGCCTGCACGCTGCAAAGCCAACGGTGAGTTCCCATTCACCTGTTGACGGGAACGGTTTTCTGCGTCTACGGCTTCTCGGGGTGTTTCGCGCTCCTTTTTCCGTTTCGCTATTGCCTCGTTCCGTTCCGCCGCCTCCTGGAACCAACTCTTAGCACGCTCTAACGGATCGTATGATTCGTCGCGGCCAACGAGTGTGTTCCCTCCGAGTCGACTCACTGGTGGTAAGCTCGCATTGTGTCGCCGGAAGCAGAGGCAAGCCGGCCAGGAGATGGCAGTCGACGTGGTTATGATGGAAGGCGGCATGCCGTCCGCCCTCTGATCAAAGAGTTTCTGTCGCGGAACTCGAATGGCTATCCAAGGACAGGAATCTAATACCTGAGAGGGTATTCCTTTGAGCTGAAGCAATCTCGAACAAATTTGCCGCCAGCGCGACGATCGCGTATCGTGAAAGCGGCTGATTTGTGTATCAGGCGTCTGGGCGACGCCAGTATCGAGATGCGATAATCCAAGATCCAGGGCCCCTTGCGAGAAAGCCCGTACGCCAAAAGGGGCAACGAGTATCGGTGTCTCCGTATATGGCGAAGAGAAAAGAGACACTTGAGGTTTATTCAGAGACAATAGTCCTTCTCCCGCATGAAGGGCAATATTGATTATGAGAGTTCCTGTAGGCGTAAGATAGAGACGGAACGACGCCGTTGCAGATAGGCCAGATATCGTAGCATCTTGGCTCTCCCCAAGCGGCTGACTAGGGCAGAGAAGAACCGTACGGTTGTCCAGGGGCGTAGCGCCCGTCCGCTTCACGAAGTCTGCAAGGATCGTGCCTAGCAGTGCAAGGATAAAATTATCGTAGGCATCATTAACTGTGATTGCGCCCAGGGACGCAGCCTTTAGATCAATCCCAGACATCGACAGAGATTTCGCATCCTGCTCGACGACACCCCACGAAGAGCTGGAAGCCGGGCTGAAAGAGGCAGCCGACTTAACCTGGAGCCCAGCGTCTAGCAATGACGATCCGGGAAGGGAACCGGTAGGGGTATTGTTCCCTTGTGGTCCTGGAAGTCGCGGCCTCGATAGGCTCATCGGCTCGAAGGAGCCATCGTCAACGGGTGATAGTGTGACTCCTGGGATGTCGAGGTTCTCGGGAAGGGCAGGACCAATCGAGAATGAGGAGATTGCATTTTCCCTCGTGGTGACGCCGAAGTGCCATATTATTCGGCGCGTGGTATCAAAATGCGCGATGCACCCTTGATTCCTGAACAGGCTTTCGACATCTTGGATAACGGTGGGATTTGGTTGCGACTGGTACTGATCGGTGGCAGAGAGCTCGTAGGTTCGGTATGCGATTGAGGAGATATTATTCTGTGTTTTAGAAGCAATCAGTTAGCGACACAGGTTTACGGACAAGACATAGGCTTGATCAGTATGGAACCAACAAGTATTAAAGTATTGGTCGTATATTCTCCGGCCTCCATGTCGCTGGCTGTCGCAAGCCAGGCGATGGCTGGCAGAGAAAGCCGTGGGTCTGACACCCACGGAGAGGATGAAAGCAAGGAATGCGCCCGAGTATCAACGTTACGCAGAGGGTTTCTGTCGACAGTTTAACAGGAGGGTTTCGGGGGAGGATGGGGAGCAAGTATCGTCGGCAGATGAAGTCTCGCGTAAGCGGACCTCCATCTCAGAGAAGAGGTCTGCTGGTTTCGTCGTGAGAGGTGATGGGCAATGTGCGTCGATGAGGTTGCAAGCAGCTCGAGGTTGCGGAGAGTTGGAAGCGGGATATGTCGGAGAGTTTCTATGATTTGTATCCCAATTCAGTCGGATGGTAATAGCGAAATGTCGAAAGCAAGCTGGCGACCGAGCTCCGGATGATGATGATGGTGTTGGGATCGAGGTTGATGGGTTGATACTCGAACTTGGTCAAGGTTGAACCTGGTGGGCTCGCGGCTCTGGGCCTGGTTTGGTAATATTAGCCGCTGGCTGCCAAAAGGGTCTGGTCCGATCGGGCATGCCACAACGCCCCACGCCACCCTAACCCGCCTGTAAATCCCCACCTCACCCACTGGCGCAACCCCCAGGCCCACTAAAAGTCGGGGTCAAGTTGCCAACCATGCCACCTCGAGATTCTCGCAGAAATGCAAGATCAAATCAGGATGGCGGAATGGGTCCTTCCATGCTAGAGTCTCTGCTCGTGTTTCTTTTACAAGATACCACATCCAACCTATGGCACGCTTCCTCATACGGTTCCCAAGGACGGGCCGATTCATCGAACTCCCAGCAAACTTGATCCAACTAACAATAAGGGTGTGGCACGAACGCATGATGGGCACGACCGGGTCTCAGAACCCAGAAAAGCAATGATTTGGGACATGTCTAGGCTTCCGACTCGGAGTCTCCCTGTCGGCGGAGAGGAATCCCCCATCTATAGCCTCCGCGTTAGATTCGTCGACACATGATGATATCCATCCGGTCGCACGACATATCGCTTTCTACCTGACTAACTTCGCAAACGGGCAGTATGCGGACCACTTTTTACTGATTCTAGGCATCGTCAACCAGCATATATTAGAAGCGGTCCCCCAGGCTCGGCGAAAACATTCGAGTCGACACCAAAGGAAACTGTAAATCGATCGGCCTGCCCTCTTTTTAAGCTTATCCAGCGCTAGGTAAAAGCTACTATTGACACGAACCCTTCCAAAAACCCTCACCCGGTAGTTGATACCTATCCTTAAAATCGACGCCCGCGAGCTGTTGAACCGGCTATGCGATTATCAAGGTCGGAAATGCCTCCAAAACTCCATTCTTCTCAGCTAGCCCTCCTTCATAAACTCGGGGAAGAGGTACTGGACCCGCGCCCACGCCTCGGGGTTCCTCCCTTCGGGCTTGGTGATGCCAGCTACCGCGCCAACTGACATACCCTCGAGGTGCTTAGCCAACACCACGCTGCTGTGCTCCTGCTTGGTAAGCTGGTCAAGGACAGCACCAACAAGGCGCTTGGCGTTCCTGCCGTTGTGCTCCATGTTCTTCATAACCATGGCAACGTCGACATCCTCGGTCGAGTGCCAACAGTCATAATCTGTGGCCATGCAGATCATCTGGTAGGCAATCTCAGCCTCACGAGCTAGCTTCGCCTCAGGCAAAGCAGACATGTTGATCACGGAGCCTCCCCAGGTACGGTAAAGGTTGGACTCGGCCCTAGTCGAGAACTGAGGACCCTCTGTTTTTCGGGTTAGCTGGAGTTTAGCGAAAAGGTGTAGCAAAACATCACCGGATCTTACCCATGACAACAACGGTGCCTTCCTCGTGAAGTATAACACCGTTTCCCTCCATGTGGTGCGCACACTTCTTGACGATCTCGGCAAGGTTGTGGTCGAAGGGGTCCGCGAATCCAACATGGCCGACAAGACCACCCTCGAAGAAAGTGAACGGACGGACGCCCTTGGTCCTATCAATGATCTGGTCCGGGACGACGAAATCCATAGGCTTGATCTCCTCCCTCAGCGAGCCGACAGCAGAAAAGGCGATGATGCTGCGAACACCAATATGTCGTAGTGCGGCAATGTTGGCGCGCGACGGTACCTCGTGGGGAGCATATTGGTGGTTGTGGCCATGTCGAGCAAGGAACGCTACGGGGACCCCATTGTGACGCGAAATGAGGATCGGAGAGGAAGGATATCCCCAGGGAGTTATGGGGTTGATGCTGGCCACGGGCTCAAATCCCTCGATGTGGCTGAGGCCAGTACCGCCAATAACGGCGATATGGACGGGCTCTGGGAATACCAGTATCTTGTTAGATCCTTAGCTCTATGAATTCGTTCGTTCGAGATCGTGTTTACCGTCAAAGCTGACAACGAGAGCCATTGCGGGGCTGTGTACGCGCAACGAGGGGACAGGGGGTGAGGGGGAGAGAACCGAGACGCGGTATGGTTTACACGGTTCGCAAAGCCGAAATTGCAAAGGCTGCCAGAGAATTAAATTCTTCTACGAGTATCGTGAAGAGAGGAAACAGATCTGAAAAATGCTCATTTGATCCCACCTTGTATTATCAATGCCTCCAACCTATGATTACTACGATCCGGAAGGCGTGCTCGCGGCGGATATTTTTGGGGGGAGGGGCTGCTGCCCCACTAAGTCCGCCTTGTTATCTTATCGCCGCCTGGCAGAAATTTTTTTTATTTTTTCTTTTTCAAGCAGCAGCTTCAATCCAGGCCAATTCAGGATCCACACCGATTCATTCGTCCATCAACACTCAGCCTTGCTTCACCACCCGCACACTGAATACCTTCCACGGCGACGGAAAATTCGAGTCCAAATCTAATACGGAATCTCGGAGGATCACTGTCGAACCGATATGAAGCTTTCTAATCCGGACGCTGTGTCCGTGTACACAGTCTCCGGAGGGGCTGGCAAAACCCTACCAGACTGGCTGGCGAGGCGGAGGAAAAGAAATTTGAAGGATGACCTTGAATACCAAAACAGAGTCGAACTTCTCCAGGACTTTGAATTCGAGAGCGCATCCATGCGCATTAGGATTTCGGAGGATGGCAACTGGGTCATGTCCACCGGAACGTAAGTCTTGGTCGCCACCCTCTCTACTCCCAACCCTGCTTTCGCGCTCTCTGACCGCTGACCTCGCTGGCAGTTACAAGCCTCAAATCCACGTCCATAACCTCCCAGAATTATCCCTCTCCTTTGCGCGACATACAACCTCCCTCAACCAATCCTTCCAGATCCTCTCCAACGACTACACAAAGTCTATCCACCTTCAGAACGATCGCAAAATCGAGTTCCACACCCCCATGGGATGCCACTTCGAAACTAGGGTTCCGAGATACGGTCGTGATATTTTATACGATAGACATTCGACAGAAGCGCTTATTCCGGCAGTTGGATACGATGCAGACGGCAACGGCGAGGTATTCCGCATGAACTTGGAGCAGGGGAGATTCATGAGGAGCTACCACGTCGATCTCGGCGAGCCAGACGTTGGAGAGGGGCTACAAGGCGGCATCAATGCCGCAAGTGTGAATGTTGGTGCGATAGCAGAGACAACTCATAACCTCCTTGCCTTCGGCACCTCGATAGGGACGGTCGAGTTCTGGGACCCTCGATCCAAGGCCAGGGTTGCGCGCCTCGCAGGCCACGATGGCGGCGTGACAGCCTTGAATTTTAACCCCAATGGCCTGTCTTTGGCCACTGGCTCCTCCAACGGCATAATACAAATTTTCGATCTGCGACGACCGGTCCCGCTTCTCAGGAAGGACCAAGGATACGGATTTGCGGTGCACAAGCTTATCCACATGACCACCGCCTCTCAAGAAAGGAAGATTTTGTCTGCCGACAAGAAGATTATCAAGATTTGGGACGAAGCGACCGGAGAACCCTGGACGTCTGCTGAACCTACAGTCGACCTGAATGACGTCGCTTGGTGCAAGGACAGCGGACTTATCCTTACAGCGAATGAGGGCTCCGCTCAGCACGCGTTCTTTATACCCCAACTCGGCCCGGCACCTAAATGGTGCTCATTCTTGGACAACCTCGTTGAGGAGCTCGCCGAGGAAGCCCGCCCAGAGACGTACGAGAACTACAAGTTCTTGACGATACCCGAACTCAAGTCGCTCAGCCTTGCCCATCTTATCGGAAAGACCAACCTTCTCCGACCATACATGCATGGTTTCTTCGTTGCCTCGAAACTCTACGACCAGGCGCGACTTATTGCCAACCCTTACGTCTGGGAAGAGGAACGTGCTAAGAGAGTCAAGGATAAGATTGAGAAGGAGCGTGAATCGAGGATACGTGGGAAGAAGAAGGTCAAGGTCAACCAGAAACTCGTTGATAGGCTGCTCAAGAAGCAAGAGAATAGGGAGACGGTGGATGTCACTGCTGGTATCCTTGGCGAGGACCGTTTCGGAAAGATGTTCGAAGATGAGGAGTTTAAGGTGGACGAGACTAGCTGGGAATACCGGCTGATTAACCCCAGTGCCGCCGCTGCGACTTCCCTGGCCGCTTCTAGCGCGAATAACGGAGCGGGTTCGAAGCGGTCTGGAAAGCGGGATTCAGATGACGAGAGTTCCGATGAAGAGGTGCCTATAAAACGACGGGAAAAGGCCTCGACGAAGACGAAGGCAAAGGACGAAGTTGTGATGAAGGTATCATCTTCTCAGAGGCGAGGCAGTGCGCGGGATTCCGCCTTAGGCTCGCGAATTAGCCAGTCGGGCAGGGTCACGAAACCACGCGCCGAGAACGTCGTCGGCGAGCAATCGATGAGTTTCGTACCAGAATCCAAGAAGGCGAAGAAGCAGGAGCAGCAACAGCTGCTCCCGACGAGGACAAAGCGGTCGGATGCTCGGCGAAGCGCGAGCGGGAATACATTTAGACGTATGTAAGGGGTCAAGGGATGTCGAAGCTTGGGGTTTCTTTGTTTGCTTCCTTGCTTCCCTGGTAGTGGTTTCCGGGTGGTGCGCCATGAGCACTCGTGCTCTTTTGGGTATCTCTTATTATATGTAAAATTAGCATCTTGACAACGGAAAAGTGATTGCGGATTTATTCGCTCGAGTTTTAATGATATTCATGATGAAAAAGGTGTTTCGTTTACCGTCTATATTTGGGTGGCGATCATCAAACCCTCGGCGTTTGCATTGGTCAAGGTAGCAAGCACGCTCGACGTCGCTCGACGTCGGGTGCTCACGCACCATTGCAGAACTTCCCAGGAGGTGAATCTCATTTATACAGAAAAACATAAGAGCAATCATGAACAGCACCAGATCCTCCACCGTTTCTTTACACACAAATTTCGGAAACAAGTTGGTATCCTAAACAATCCGATATTAAAAAAAAGAACATAAACACCCAGCAACACCAAAAACAAAATATATCTTCAACCATTCTTGTAGTGGGGTAATTTCCTCTTCCTTTTCGAGCACCCCCTCTCACAATTTCCTCCCACCGCTCTACCTCCCCCATCGAGCTTGCTTGTTCTTAGCTGCGTTGAGGCCCTTTTCGAGATCCTCAGGTCGAATGCGGGGAGTCGGCGGGACATCATCCATTCTCTCGCGTCTTCTTGAGTTGGGGCTAGCATTCTTGACGTCTCGTGGGAACTCGGTGCGTCGGGGTGTAAGCGCCGTGACAACTTTTCTTGCAGATCGTCGGAGGCCTTCGCGGACCTTCCATTCTCGTTTCTTCGCGACGTAAAACAACGTAGCCGTGGTTACTAAAAGTCCATCGTTAGAAAAAATCATCCAACACCATTGACAACTCGAAATATATAAGGGAGTCGGAGCAAAAGCTGACTTACCCCCAATCACAGTGAACGCAACAACGACGACGATGATGGCAATCATTCCACCACGGGATATTTGGACGGCGCCGGAGGTCTTTCCAGAAGCACCTTGTTCGGTTCCAAGATCGGATCCATCTTTAGGGTAGGCGATGCCGACATCGTCGCCAGTGTAGACTTCTTGAGGATAAGGAGCCATTTCTGATAAGGTTTTGCGTCTCACTTCCTTCGCTTAGGTTGAATCGGGACCTCGAGTAGAACACAAATGTCGTGATGGTTTGTTGAAGTGTAGCTTATAAGACTAGAAGACAGTAGCCGGCCTGTCGTAGAAGATGAAGAGAAGTTGGATGGAAATTAACCTCGATCTGTTGTGGGTGAGGCAGTCTCCGAAATAAAGATGTACACAGGAAGAACATCAAAAGAGGCGGCACATTCAGCAGGCACAAGAGTATATAGATGGATTCACTCTCTTCAGTTTCCTATAATACTTCGGCTAAGCCATGTGTGATGAGAGGATAGGGGCGTGCCATTACACTCGGCATGCATATGCAGCCCGCCCTCAAGCCCTTCACTTCAATCTCATGCCGCAAAAGGTGGACCATTCCAGACCTCCATCACCATCGATAGTGCTCTTGAAGAAACACTCAAAAGTCGACGACGGGCGAATCGCAGGTGACAGGTGAGGGGGTGGAGAGAAATGTGACGGCAGTCTATCTTTGGCAACTGTGCCTGAGATCTTCCGGCCCCTCATTGGCCGTGGTAGCGCCCTCGGCGAGCCGCTCGAAATCCTGACTGGGGTCCAGACTCACGATGCAGCCAATAGAATGGGCCGGCGATCAGCGGGGTGAAGTGCCCGAATGTGGGAAGCAGTGAGCACTTCCTATAATAAACATTTTTTGCTTCTTGGCTCTGGTCAGAAAGTGCTGCTCTTTCTTGGCAGCATCCAACCCCCCCTTTGCGCCCATTCGTAGCATTCGTCCTTGTACGATCTCCGGATCCTTGGCGAAAAGAGGGTCCGATTGCAAACCTCAGAGGTGAAATCTGGTCGATAGAGCTGGTTTTCGGGGAGAAAGTGCTGCTCGGAGAGAAAGCCAGTTTCCACATCCGATTTTAAGCTTGTTCAGAGATTTGGGATCGGCGTCTTACATCTTCACGAGATGCGCACAATCCTCCCCCGGCGCTCTGATATCAACCAATCTTTGGTCCGTTGTGCTCGAAAACGTCGATCACATTCTCGATTCGGATCGTGATGAAAAATCCCCCTTTTTTTTTTTTTTTTTTTTTTTTTAAAGAGTTTCACTCAGTTCGGATGCCTTCCAGAGGATGGAGCCCACCAACTGGGCCAGTGAGGGCCAGTGAGGACCAGTGGGGAGCCGCCCACTCCATCATCTCATGCAATTTGATGCCTAAGCCTCACTCCTTCGACTCAAATTCTTCACGAATTATTTGACCAGAAAACTTCCAAAACTGAAGGGCGCTAGATGGTGCGCATAACCCTCGAGATGAGGTGTCTTGAAACCCATTGAGGGGCATGCAAGAAAAATGAATGAGCCACCGTTCCACCCCGAGGCGCCTACAGTGCACACGACCGTGACCTGCCAGGCGTGTCTACCCTACGTATCTCTCCTGGACAAGAGTTGGAGGTGTTGGGGAACTCGCGAAGGAAGGCGTCGGACTTGACTACCGTTAGCGCGGGCGAGCGATGTCAAAGTCATACTAAGAAGTCGACGTCTTGTCATCATCGCTACTCACGATCACTGGTCGCTTCATCATGCTCCAACAACCTCAGCAGCTACATCCACCCAGATCTGTGAGGTGGCGTTGAGTGTACTTTCCTCCTGCGTCAGTCACATGTTGTCTACGCGACTAATGACGTCTTCAGCAACTTGTGACTCGACTTACATGAAGAAACGCTCTTTCCAATCCTGTTTCGTGTACCTTCGGAAGCAACAAAATGTATCGAGCCTTCCTCTCCTTCTCCCTTGTCCTGATAAGCATGGGCAGGTTTTCCATCGAAAACAAGGAAGAGGAAAGAATAAACTATGCTCATGCCAAGCTTGGAAAGGACGTCAACGACATGCCTCACAGGGCTGGGTCTTTTCTCCCTGGCGCTTTCCTAGGTTTGTCCCCAAGGTCAGCTACTTGCTGTCCATCGACGTGGGACCGCTTCTTCTCCGCACATTGGTGCTATGATGCTATCGACGTAGGAGTTGTCCATCCAATGTAGCGTCAAGTCTAGATCTGAGCTCAATCAAAGATGTTAGCCTTGAGGCCCTTTGCTTCAAGTCGAACTGACGGTGCTTGTCTTTGATCTTGTTGGGTTGTTATTGTCCACTCTGTCAGATTTCACTATTTCCAGGGTTCTTATTCGAACTCTTGCTTCACCAGACCATTTCTACTCTCGTTTGGCTAAGAGCCGGCCATTGTAGCTTCTGGCTCCCTGCTTCAGACTCTATTATTTACTTCTATAATGGCACCCATGGACGGTTCTCCGTCGTCGAGCAGCAGTGCTCGCCGTTTCAATGGGCCTCCCAAGAGTTTCAGTTATTCTTCTTTATCACCAGATCCAATCCAGCTGGTGGAGGCTACGACTTCCCAGACTTCAATATCAACCGGCACGGATCGACATGTTAGAAAGCTTCCCCTTGGCCGCTTCCCGACACGCCGCCCAAGTATAGAGCTAGAATCGCCTGGGTCTTATAGCTGTGGCCAGCCGCCCCATCTCCACTCTAGGTTTTCTGGATGTCAGCCGACCAGGCAGAGGGTTCATGGACCCGAGAAGTCTACCGTTCCCACAACACGAGACATGGCCGTATCGCCTTTCCAGAAAATCCAGGGTCACCCGGTCCATAGTCCCCCGCCGAGGGTGTTACCCACCACCCCTGATGCTGTGACACACTTGCCTGAGCTCTCCCCAGTGCACCATTCCTCTGATTTAGGCTTCAAGGGAGACGGCTTTGTGCCAAATGACGGAATGCCCCAGTGGAGACGATTACCAACGTCAGACCAACAGTCGCCAAAACAGCGCCCATCCCCTTTGGTGAGGCACATGGGGCCACCGGATGTCCCTCACCAGCATATCGTTCGAAGGTTGCCTAGCGCCTCTAGGGACCTGGGCCTTCCTTTGAAAGGCGCTTCATTGAACCCCGTTTATGTGTCTCGTGGAAGAATCGACGGCAAGCAAGTTAACCGGCCTGCCATCTCCGGACCTCCTCCAGACCAGTCTGCATCAGTCTTGAGACCAGCGTCACAGAACTCCAACATCTCTAGGAGGCGTATGACCCCAGTTCGATTGTCCCTCCCATTTCAAGGTGACGAGATGGTTGACCTTGAGAAATTCGGATCTGCTTGGAACAACTATCTTCAGAACCACGCTCGCCGAAGTGAAAGCCTTGCTCATCGAATATCAGAGTTGGAGAAGCTGATTGCTGATCAAAAGAAGACCACCCATGAATACGCAGACAGACTTAAGCAGCAGTCATCGACAATCTCCACCCTCGAGGACCGAGTTTCTGAGCTATCAGACCAGAACACTATCTTGACGAGGACCAACACAGAAGTTCGAGACGAGCTGGAGCAGAACGATGCCAGAAGAAAGGAGATGCAAGCTAAGGTCAAGTCATACCGCGCCAAGTTAAATGAAGCAATTGTCGAGCAGCAGGAACTGTATAAGCGCTGCAAGACATTGTGCGACGGGGCCGTCGACAGCATCCGGAAGGCAAAAGAGGAATCAAAATCGAAACAGCAAGCGGCACTGGAGCAATTTGAAACAGGAATGAATAAGGCTACCGCTGCACGGGATGCGATGAGGTCATTGTTGGAAGAGGAACTTCGGGTATCTCAGGCATACTGCGAAAAGGGTAAATGAATAAGTGCCCAATGGTCTATTGTTTTTGTTCCGCCTGAGCTCTAACCAATTACCAGTTGGCGAGGAAAATACATCCTTAAAAGAGCAGGTATCCCACCTGACAGACGAATTGAAGGAAGAAAAGGGGAAGACTCAGAGACTGGCTGAGAAGATCGAGCATGAACAAGCGACGCAAGACCGCCTGCAATGCCTCGAGTCGAAGTCGAACGAGATTCTTGCACAGCTTCAAGAAGCGAGCTCACTAATTCCATTCGATGAGGCTACATGCACTGTGATTTCTTCAAAGTAAGTTGGTCCTCGTTACGACAAGTTGAGAAATGGGATGTTTCTAACATTCTTCTAGACTTGATGCGCTTCTTGAGCATGCCACCACCACCGCAACGAATATTCCTAGCATCCCTGAGATGAGGAAGGGCCTTGTTGACTTGTTCTCGATGCTCGAGAATACAAGCACACGGTAGGCTATCCTTCCCTGAAGATTTCCTCCCCTATACTAATGATGATGACAGGCTCCAAGAAGATGTCTCGACCGTCTTGTCTGGCCAAGATTCCATGCGCTCTACCTCCTTAAGTCTCGAAGCTACAATTAGGGACCAATTGTCATTGGTCAACGATCTGATAAAGAGCCAGGATGAACGCTTACTTACGAAGCTCAGTGAGAAGCACGATATATGCGAAGAATTATCCGTCCGTCTAGCTGAGAAGGATGGTGAGCTTCAGCTTGCTTCAACGAGGGTTAACGAGGCTGCGTCTGTAGCCGCGGAGAAGAGCCGTCTAATCCAGGAGCTTGATAGCAAAATTAAGGCGCTTGAAGCAGTCTCTGATGAGAAGTGCAAGCTCAATCAAGAAAATGCGTCTCTGATAAAACAGCTGTGCAACAAGGAGGCGACTACCGCTGAGTTGCAGCTACAACTCGAGTGCGCTCTCGCACAGAATGAGTCGAAAAGCTTGGAGCTGCAAAATTGCCTTCAGGAGATCTCGGAGCATATGAAGGCCAACAAAGGAGACTCGAACGACGTCTCTGCCATGTGGGAAAAGATGACTCTTGAGCTCGAATCGGAGAAGCTCAAACTCCGGGACACAGAGAGGGCCATCCAAAAATACGAGGGCCAGAAATTGACTCTAGAAAGAGACTTGAACGAAATAACGGCAGAAAAATCGAAGCTCTCGAAGGAACTGGCAGATATGATGGCCTCACGGGATGATGAGAATGCCACTCTTGAGAGGACAAGAAAGTCCCTAGCTGACGCCGAGCAAAGAATTGTCAATTTGAAGGGCAGATTGAAGAAATCCGAATTTGGCAAACGCGATATCCGTGAAATGTTGAACCGTTGGGCGGGTTCTGCAGACGGCCTCGGTGAAATTCAGGGAGACATCCTCGCCCTCGATCTTGACGCGTTGCGGACTGTGGTTCGCGGGATGGTGGCGGCACACCAAGAGTCGACGGCGGCTCGGAATTGTCTCGTTGCGCTTATCGACAAACCTCCATCGCCATCTGCGCACCTGGAAATCCCAACTCGAGACTCAATAATCGTTGCCACAGAAAATCCGTCTGGCGCGACGAACTTGCAGACGGAAGGAAATGGACTGATTTCTCGGCGGGAGTTCGGTACATCTGATTTGCTGATGCAATCCTCTCGAGACGATGCCGGGCTAGTTGAGAACGGCATCATGAGTCCTGAGGTGGAGGCGGCTAACGAACCCGTACGGCGGATCGTTGTTAGGAGCCCATTCGATGAAACTGCTGGCATTGCTCCACCATCCGTGGAGCAGGAACGGATATTCCGCAGGCAGACTCCACGCCCCTTATCGATTCTCAAGCCTGCGCAGGGCACCCAAGAGAATAACGCCATGACTCCAGCGACAACGCGAGGCCGCAAGGAAAGGATCACAGCATCTTCGAAGCCCCGTGGAAGGTCGATGCCGCCTCTTCGTTCCCGCAACCGCAAGATTGAGAGCTGTGTAGCAGACAAGGAAGGAGATTCTCAAATGGACGACCTGATGAGCGGCATCAGACTGGGCCTTTCGCTGCAGCAAGGCCAAGGTGGAGCAACTAAACTGAAGAGAACGACAACGCCAGTCCCAGAGGGTGAGAGACCGGCGAAGCTACAGAAAACCAGCCGAGGCATCTTTGGGACGCTTGAATTGGAAGTAGGCGATCTAAAATCGTCTTACTTTCCGATGCGTCCTCAAAGCCGCCCTGGACTGGCGGATGGTATTGCGAGCAATGGGCCGTCGATGGTTCCCATCACGAAGGCCAAGCCGATGCCGCGTTATAGTGCGGGAAAAATTACCCGACAGCCAAGCGCCAAGGGAAGAAGCAGGAATATTACCAAGACATATTCTAAGAAGCCGCAGGAGACCGAGACGACTGTCGGCAAGTAATATTGAAAGTGCGGAAAACGAAGGCGAGTGGCAATCTTATGGGTGATGATGTGACATGACTGGTATACATTTTGAGAGAATGGCGGAAAGGCATGTCTTGTAACCCGGGCCCTGCATAGTTTTGAGCTGCGTATCTGATGGGCCTTGTTCAACACTCGGGCCTGCGAAACTATGAATGCATATTTCTATTAGAGATAGATTAGACACACTGAAAAAGGAAAAGAAAATCTAGAGTTATTCATATAAAGAGGTGGCGAAGTCCGCTGAGGTGATTGAGCTGGTCGTGCCGAAAGTATGTGCAAACGCTGAGGAGTCAACACTGAGGAGGATATGTAGCGAGAAATATTGTTATATTCCTAGTCGTGCCCAACCATTCCGGCTTGTCTATATTATGCAACAGAGTCGTAACGTGACAAATAATGTACAAGATGCCTCTGGGACTGACAGCTTCTGAGGGCTCTTGAGATCCCGGCTAGTGGTACAGTGAATCGCAACCCGCATCATCTCGTTCCCAAGAACCGAGGCCGCAGTCTCATGAGAGACCTTTTTGATTTCGAGTAGTAAAGATTCGGTTCGAGGTTGCTTATTTACCGCCCTTTCGTTTCTGCTCGAGGAAGAGGACGTGTTTCCGAACTATAGGTCGTGTTAGAAAGAAGACGCATATGGCACTCGGGAGCAGGGCAGAGATGTGCAACGCGTGATCGGGATCGGGGAAGGGCGAAAGTGCCGATAAAGCTAACGAGGTGAGAGCGACTCGGGAGGAGAGAACATACCGATGGGGTCGTATTTTAGCATGCTCATGGGCGGGGCTGTGCGCTTCCGGCGGAAGGTGTAGAAGAAGCCGGTCGCCGCCATGCTGAGCAGGCGGACGATTATAACACGGGATTTTCCTGCAATGGGAGTGGTCTGGAGTCAGTCATCTTGAGAGCCAATGTTATAGTGTAATATTTCGGTCGTTGAGGGGTTATAGGCAAGGTGGATGCATACCTTTCTTCGCCATTTGGAAGGCATTGGCGGGTTGTCTGATGGTTTGGTGGTGATGGATGGTGCAACAGATTGAAGCTTAGGTGAGTGGTTGTGAAGATTTTGGGAGGGTTGGTGTTTGATTGGCTGGTTCTCGGTGAGCGGGGAAATTGTTAATCCGACCCGATAAAAAAAGGCACACCGAAGTGACAAGGTGACAAAAGTCTCCAGCCTCCATCAAGGTTCGGTCGTCAGGGTCCTGTGATACCTGGGGATGGCACATCTTGTTCTCAATTGGCCAATATTGGACCGACCGGCGACGCCAACTCGGTTGCCTTTTTCCTACGAAGCACAGTAGCACGTGTATTTTACGTGCATTCAAGGAGAGCCTACATGTCCCGAATGCTATCAAGCCTGTGTCCATTACCTAACAGGAACGCTATCCGAGGCGCGAAGCAGAAAAAGAGTCGGCATCAGTGGATCACTTGCAGATGGCGAAGGAACGAACCGGCCGAGTTCAAGCGTGCGGAGGGGTATTGGCGGGCGCGGCATGCGGACCTCCTCCTCGTGTCGTCCCCCCCTCCTCCCTCCTTGCATGGCCGAGAAGGGCGGTCAGCTCTGGCCGTTGGAAGCGGGCCAACCGTGGAGATTGGATTAGGTCTATCGATATGCGGGTCGGATGTGACTAGCTTCTGCCTCGCCGGTTTCGGGAGGGGATGTAAGTGGAGGATATCGTAATAGTTTGGAGGTGTTCTTGATAAACTGCGGTCTGCTGGGCCTGTAATGGATGGTGCGAATATTATGTAGAGTCGAGAGATATGCATCCTATACAGCAATACGAAGTAGTGGGACGGTGGTTGTTCCCAGCCCGTCTTTCAATTTCATTTCCAAATCGACATGTACGAGGGGAAAGGGACGGTTGTTGATGGCAACGCTCGTTAGCTTTGCCGAGCTTGATTGGAGCTGGTACAAATCTGGGGACAGACAGGATCGACAGTTCCTTATCCGCTTCCCAAAAGTCTACTTCAGACGTTGTAACACTCAATGTTGGCAGTAATACTTCGAAGAAGCTCTCGAACAGAAGCTCTCGAACAGCGACTCGAGCGGCAGTTACTTGACGCATTCGGATTTCTCAACTCCGTATCAATGACGCGGCTGACTGTTCCGCTCTCCCGTTCCAGTTCTTCGTGGAAAATTGAGATGCGTCGCCCGGTAAGATGGTAAGATGAGCAGATGAGCAACTCACAGGCCAGGCCGCCTTATTTCGGCTTGCTTTTTTATCCCCCGTGGTCTAGCGTCTGGCTCCCTCAAGATAAACTCGAGAGGAACCCCCCCTTGTTCTTTCTTCCTTTACTCTTTTTTATTAATAAACCTTGAGAGTCCTTGTCGTTTTCAAGAGTACTCATACGAAGTAGACTGAGGTTGTTCTTGTCATCAAATTGATATCTGCTTGTATCAATCAGAAGACTGTGCGCTCGCTCGGCGTAAATCACTCAGCACATCGTGAAGCCTCAAAAAGGGAAACCATCCCTGTACACAATTTTTTCTATCTCTCCTTTTCCCACCCACCCCCATCCCAAGTCTTTCCCCCCCAAAAAATTGGAGTTTTTATCATCAACTGCCCATCCAATCTTGATAACAGGGGAGCCGAGAGAAACCGCAATTAGCAGCGTCGCCCTATTCCCCCAAAAACCACGCCACCAGCTCTGCCCAGCTCACCACCAGTCATATCCCGCAGGGCACAAAGCCACCGAGGAAGTACGGATATTAAAATAGCACCGACAGATTCTATTGAACAGCGTCGAAGGGGGGAAAACATATCGAAAGAACTTGCATATTGCTTGACAGGTAATAGCCGCAAGCTCCGGAGTACCCGATACCTCGTCCACACACCGCGTCGCGTCCCTCGTCGCCCCTCAAGCAATCGCCTTGGCGACCGAGTCGGCTGTACCCGGTACCTCGTGCGATTTCCTGAAACTGAAAGTCGTTCCTGGACCTTCCGATCAGAAGTGAAAGCTCGGGACATTTTCCAGCATTTGCAACCGGTCTCGTCTCGGCTTGCTTCCAACGCCCACGTCGCTGCCGCGAGAGGGTGTTCCGATTCTGTCCCCATCAATTGATCCGACCGCCCTGCATCCCACGCTGCCACGCGCTATTTGCTGTTGCTACCCCACTATTAGATTCATTGGCATTTTCAGGATGAGCATGAGGTCGTCGATATTAAGGCGGGCTAAGCCTGCTAGGCCTATGTCTAGTATTATGGCTCGTCTGCCTAGGCTGTCCTGTCCCAGTAGTGCCAGTCCCCTTGTGCCCCTCGTGCTGTCGTCGCAGCTGCCAAAATTGCCCCACCATTCCCAGGCCCGTCATCTCCACATAGATCAACCCTCCCCCACCATCCCCAGAACTACTCTTGTCGCAAACCTTTATACTTCTCGTACATCCTCTTTGCGCGCAACCAGAGGCTCTTGTAATCGGTTACTACCCTCCTCCTCTTCGTACTCTTCTGCTTATTCTTCTGCTTATCCTTCTTCTCCTCCTTCCCTCGTCCAACTCCACCAACGCACCAACATGTCGACGACAACCTCCTCCCCCTCCGCCCCGCGGTTAAACATCAACAACATCAACCCCCACGTCGTCAAGGCCCAGTACGCCGTGAGGGGCGAGCTCGCCGTCAAGTCCGAGCTCTACCGCGCCAAAATCGCCTCTGGCGACGCCGCCGACCTCCCCTTTAAGGAGGTTATCTCCGCCAACATCGGCAACCCCCAGCAGCTCGACCAGAAGCCCATCACCTTCTTCCGCCAGGTCGCCAGCTTGCTCGAGAACCCCAAGCTCCTCGAGCACCCGGACGTGCTTGTCGATACCCTCGGCTACAAGACCGACGTCATTGAGCGCGCCAAGTGGCTTTTGAGCCAGTGCCAGTCTGTTGGTGCTTATAGCGCCAGTGCTGGTGTTCCTGCGATAAAGAAGAGCGTTGCTGATTTCCTTGAGAGTGAGTTCTTTCTCTTACAAACGGAGAATCCGAAAATTTCCCTTGTCTGCCCCTCCTCCTCCCCCTCCTGGCCCCTCTCTCTGTTGAGGCATTTGTCCGCTTTGGTCCCCTCCCCTTCCTCTTCCCCTCCCCTCAAGTTTGCGTCTTCCTGTCCCCCCTAGTGTCAGGGATGAGGTATCGTCTCACAATGCGCAAAGGCTTGTGTGAGATGAGTGTTGTTTTGTTTATGACCGCTGTGTCCCCTCCAAGCGTCGTGTAGGGGTGACACGAGTAATAAGGAGGGGAGTAGAAAAAAAAGAGAATCTTCTGACTCATGACCAACTTCTTGCAATATAGGGCGAGATGGCTTCCCCGCCGACCCGGCTCACATCTATCTCTCGGCCGGTGCCTCGGCCGGTGTAAACACCCTCCTCCACATCATCTGCGCCGACCAGAACAGCGGCGTCCTCGTCCCCATCCCCCAGTACCCCCTCTACACCGCCTCCTTGGCCGTCCTCAACGCCGTCTGCGTCCCTTACAACCTCGACGAGTCCAAGGCATGGGGCACCGACCTCGAGACCATCAAGGCGTCCTACGCCAAGGCCAAGGCCGAGGGCGTCGACACCCGCGCCATCGTCATCATCAACCCCGGTAACCCCACGGGCGCCTCCCTCTCCGAGGCCGACATCCGCTCCGTCATCGACTTCGCCCGTCAGGAGAACCTCGTCCTTATCGCCGACGAGGTCTACCAGACCAACGTCTTCGTCGGTGAATTCCACTCCTTCAAGGCCGTCCTCCGCCGCATGCAGCAGGAGCAGCCGGGCGTCTACGATCACCTCGAGCTCGCCTCCCTGCACTCCATCTCCAAGGGTATGGTAGGCGAGTGCGGCCACCGCGGCGGCTACTTCGAGCTCGTGGGTTTCGACCCTAAGGTCGAGGCCGAGATCTACAAATTCGTCTCCATCACCCTCTGCGCCCCCGTCCTCGGCCAGTGCCTCGTCGAGGTCATGGTCAACCCCCCCAAGCAAGGCGACCCCTCCTTCGAGCTCTACGACAAGGAGTACAACGCCATCTTCAACGGCCTCAAGGAGCGCGCCTACGCCCTCCACGCCGCCTTCTCCCAGATGGAGGGCGTCGAGTGCGGTGAGCCCCAGGGCTCCATGTACATCTTCCCCACTATCAAGTTGCCCGCCAAGGCTGCCGAGGCTGCTGCCGCCGAGGGCCGTACGCCCGATGAGTTTTATTGTATGAGGTTGCTCGAGGCCACGGGTATTTGCGTCGTGCCTGGCTCTGGCTTCGGTCAGAAGGAGGGGACTCTCCACTTCAGGACGACCTTCTTGGCTCCTGGTACTGAGTGGGTTGGTAGCATTGTTAAGTTCCACAAGGAGTTCATGGATAAGTATCGATGAATGGAGAAAAGGCCTTGATAAGGGTGTAGGGAGGGTCGTGGTTTGCTGTTGTTTGCATGAACATCAAAGCAAGGAGTTGGATTCTATAAAAAAGTCAGGGGGTGTAGAGGAAAACATGCATACACACACCCCAAAAAAAAGCAATTCATAGAAGAGATGTAGCGTATGAGACGGCAGTGTACATGCGATGCATGATGCATACAAAAAAAGCGTGCGACATTCAAAAATAGAACGTGAGAAGGCCTATTTTGGTCTTCTCAAGCTAATAGTTTTGCGGAATACTCCAACGTTGACTCCGGTGACTCCATCTAAACTTGTTGGAATCAACCCACAAATCAACAACCTCGGCATGTGAGACAAACAATCTAATCCACCAAGAGGAGGCAGAATCATAGTTGGGAACTCGTTCGTCTTTTGTTCTATCTAGAAACACCCCCCCCAAGAAGGGCGAATGGAAGAACTATGATGATACACTTGGCAAAATCTCCCGCAAAACCAACCACTACACCACGCCCACCGCAGTAAGAAGCAAGAATAATAACATCAAACCTTCTTCCTGTCACCCCTTCCCTCACTCGTCGCTTTACGCCCTCTCGCTTCCTCGTAGTCGGACAGCCTGGCCGTACTTCTGCAACTTCGTGATGAGCTGGTCACCTTGGCGCACGAGGTCCTGGTACTGCTTGTTCTTGTCGTCGGGCCGGTTGGTCTCGATTATGCCGCCCTTTCCGGAGACGCGATCGATGGTGCAGGGGATACGGCCGGCGGCGATGAACTTGGCGAGATCCCTAAAGGGAAGAAGAGTTAGCGTGTGAATTAGAAATGAGAACGAGGGGAATATTGCGAGAGATCATACCTGTCAAGGAAGTCGACGGTGACACCAAAGTCGTTGGCCATGCTCTCGAGACCGACGACGCGGTAGCTCTGGAGAAGTTGCTGATAGGCACGTAGGCGCATCTCACGGATGAACCAGTTCTTGTGCTCGTGCAGGTATCGGTCCTGGGTGAGGAACTGCTCTTCAACCTGGGCAAGAGCCTGGAAGAAGGCCTTGTATCGACCATTATAGAGACTAGTGACGAGCTGGGAGAGGGGCGAGAAGTCAATAGCGAGCTCAGCCTCGGGCTGGTCGGTGCCAGTGCCCAGCGTCGTGAGGTTGACGGCAGTGGTCTTAGTCGCAGTCGCAGCTTGGGGTTCCTGCTCCACGTCCATGGAATCGTCGGCGCTAGGCCCAGCGGAGATGACGCCGGTGAGGGCTAGAAGCTTGTCCTCGCCATCGCCGAGAATGGCCTTGATTTCGGGAGCATCAACAACCTTGGACTTGAAATCGAGCCTCTTGAGCGAAACAGAACCGGTCAGGACAGAGTATACGACGAGGGAGGAGTACGTGCAGAGCTCGTAGCTGGTGAAGGTCGATAGACTGTCGAGCAGCAGAGGCGCGGCAAGGTTGTATGATCGGACGGTGAGGAGATGAAGGCCTTCGTAGGCCTTGAGGCGATTCCTTCGGTCCCAGTCACCGCCGGTTTCGACGAGAGTCTTCGCTCGCTCAACGTGCTTCTGGACGAGGGGTTTATCGCCGTAGAAGAGGCCCATTCTTATTATCGCGAGGACAATATCGATCCTGGAACCGATAACTCCAGTCTTCTCGAACACATCTTCGTATGCGCTGATGGCTCGGTCCTAAAACGGCGGTGATTAGCCGTCAGCAAGTAGCTCGAAAGGATTCGAACAGAGATCTTGAAGGTGGCAAATAGCAGGTATCTCTCCTTACCTTGTCACCCACGCGAGCCCAGAAATCGGCCCTCTTTCCTCGAGCAGCCAAGATTTCTGTGTCACCAGCATTCTCAACGGCCTCATCCTCCTCCTTCTGGAACCCCTCGAGCTCCTTATCATTATCGGCCTTTAGCTTCTCGTAGAGCGCCTCATCCCAAGGCAGCGTAACCGTAGTAACGGGGCTCTTCGTCGCAATGATGCCGACCAAGCTCGACTTCCGACTCAAGGGTTTTCCCGGACCGCCGGGAGTCTTGCCCTCGCCGACAGAGTTCAGGATGCCCTCGACGGGGTGCGCTAGGTATCGGTAGAAGGGCGCCATCTTGTGCTCGTCGATGGCATCTTGGAGAGCTTTGACGGCGGATTCTTGGCTCGACCGCGAGGCGTAGGGGTTTGTGAGGGTGAAGACATGCTGGCTGAGGGGAAGAAGGGGCCATTTGGCGTACTGAGGATCGGAACCCATGGCGGCGGTTGTCGAGCGAACTGGGCACGAGTTCCTGAGGACAGGTCCAGAGATGGCAAGGAAATATTAGGACGGCTCTAATTGACAAGGAAAGGCGGGGTGAGTGAATCCCCGATACGAATAAAACAATCTGATAGCACCGGCGATGTTGACGGGAGCTATACGGGATGTGTTGGGATGGCAAAAATAGGTTGGATGGTTGCTGATTTGTGATGTTGACGAAAGGCTGCTTTGAGAGCTGGGCTGCTCTGCTGTTCTTGCTTGCTGGCGACTGGTGGTCCGAGCGTCAAGGCAAGGCTGCAGTGGGAATACGCACCCCCCAAATTCTCGGTCCACCACCTTCCCTGCCCATTGGCATTCTTCAACACCATCCAGAAACAGAAAACACAGCAAACAAACTTTATCGCAAAAGTTAATCGACGCATTTTGCCGTTGTCGGTGGTGATTTCGGCACCAATTGCACATTGAAACTAACGTTATTGGCATCCGCCCTTTATTTTCTTTCTCTCCATCGTTCCCCTTCCCTGATCGCCTCGACGTCAATTATCACCTTTCCCCCCTCTCGGACCTCACGCCATCTTCCCATCGCCCGACATGGGTACCGAAAGCGAAACTCGCAGTTCCCCATACGACGGCCATCAAAACTACAAGCGTAAACGCTCCTCCTCTCCTCCAACCGGAGACTCTCCCTCCCACTCCCGCCGCCGCAACGATGAAGTCGACGAGCTCCCCCAGCCCTACAATGCACGATCTCTCCAGCCCGCGAAGCGCCGCGCCGTCTCCCCCTCAGAACAACCGCGCAAGCTAAAACGCCCGGGAAAGCGCGCCCAGATCTCCGCTAGCGAGCGCGAGGCCATCCGAAAACGCCAGATGGAACGCGAGCGCGAGCAAGCCGCCGCGGAAGCCGCCGAGGCAGAGAGGCAGCGACACCGCGGCATCAACGACGTGGTGAGGGAACACTATAACAGCGTTCCCGAGCGAGGTCGCGACTGGCGCAGGACGGATAGTAAGATCAAGGGTCTGCGCTCGTTTAACAATTGGGTGAAGAGCTGTATCATCCAGCGGTTTTCGCCCGATGAGGACCATACGCCCGGCGCGAGGGAGCACGGCGTCTCTAGTGGGAAGAAGCTGTTGGTGCTCGATATTGGATGCGGGAAGGGCGGTGACTTGGGCAAGTGGCAGCAGGCGCCGCAACCTGTCGAGCTCTACGTCGGACTAGATCCCGCAGATGTCAGTATCGAACAGGCCATTGACCGTTACAGGAGCATGTCGAACCGAGGAGGCCGCGGTGGGAGGGGCGGATACAACTCAAGGAGGCCATCTCGTCTCTTCGACGCGCGCTTCCTCGTCAAGGACTGCTACGGTGAATCAATCGAAGACGTCGACATCGTGAGGCAGGTCGGATTTGACCCTTCGCCCATGAACCGCCGCGGCTTCGACGTCGTCACGATGATGTTCTGCATGCACTACGCTTTCGAAAGTGAGGAAAAGGCTCGCAGGATGCTCCGCAATGTCGCCGGCGCACTCACAAAGGGCGGTCGCTTCATTGGCTGCATTCCCAATTCCGACGTCCTCAGCGAACGCGTCCGCCAATTCAACGCCCAACAGGCTAAGAAAAAGCAGGAAAGCGAGGCGGGTAAGACTGCTTCTTCCAGCCCCGCCGCCAAGTCTACCACCCCTCCCCCTCAACCCAAGCCCGAAGCCGACGCCGAAGCTGAAGACGGCGAAGTCGAAGAAGGCGAAGCCGAAGCCGGTGCCGAATGGGGCAACTCCATCTACCGCGTCCGCTTCCCCGGCCCAACTCCCGAAGACGGCATCTTCCGCCCCGCCTTCGGCTGGAAGTACAACTACTTCCTCCACGAGGCCGTCGAGGAGGTCCCCGAGTACGTCGTACCCTGGGAGGCCTTCCGCGCCCTCGCCGAGGACTACAACCTCGAGCTGCAGTACCACAAGACCTTCACGGACGTCTGGGAGGCCGAGAAGGATGATGAGGTTTTGGGGCCCTTGAGCGAGAGGATGGGGGTTAGGGAGAGGGGGAGGGGTCCGCTTTTGGTGGAGAAGGAGGAGATGGAGGCGGCGGCTTTTTATGTTGCCTTTTGCTTTTATAAGGTGTAGAGAGAAATCCCACTCCCCACTTCTTATTTTTCTCTTTTTCCACCCTTTTTTTTTTTTTTTTTTTTTTTTTTTTTTTTTTTCTTTTCTGCTTTAGGTTATGGAGATTCGGAGCATTGGCATTAAGTAGCATGGCCAGCTATGGTTTTGAGACAGGGGACATAAGAGTCCGGTGAGAAAAGTGGGAAATACTTCAAGTTGAACTCCAGCAACAGGCAAAGCGTATGCGTAGGAATGTAGTTTTGATATGGACCGTATCTCAGTAGATCTCAATAAAAGAATAAAAAATTCCTCGTAATATCACTGGGGCTTTCCCCTCATCTCTAGGGACTTGTTTGCAATCTTGTGTATTACATTAGCTACTACTAATGAGGCTACCTCGTGCTGATAATATTGATATTTTGATAAATGAGTAGGGTATCATGGCAAGAAAAATGCCCATCCGCAGAAAAAAAAAATATGGAAATAAAAATGCTTCATGCTTTCCAGAAAAGAGGAGAGTAAGTCAAATCTTGACCCAAAACAAGCGGTTGGCATAAGGAAAAACCAAAAAAGGAGGCAAAAATAGCAAGCGCTCAAGTTGGGATGTCCATTATTCCCAAAAGAATCCCACAGGGTCCCTCCTAGTTCCCCGTGCTCGACCGTTTCCAGATCATGGCGGCAGCCACACCAACACAAGCCACTGCTGTGACGGCAATGTACAAATTCGTCCTATCAGGAGATGGCTCCTCGACCTTGGGGAACGCCGAGCTCGGATGCGTCGCCGCCTCAGCAAGGGCGACGAACAGCTCGCTTATGCTGCTCCACTTCACGCTGACGTGCAAGGGGGCGCTAACGTTAAGCTCCGCTGTGTAAGCGTCGGGCTGCAGCTCGGTGCGTTGAGTGGCCTTGTCGCGGTCTGCCTTGAGCGCCGTGTAGACGGCAGGGAGCTCGTCGAGCTGGGGATATTTGGCGCGCAGCTCGACGATGTGGGAAAAGGAGTCCGGGTCGGACGAGTCGTAGGCGTAGCAGATAAGGTCGCAGGCGTCGAGCTTGGCCTGGTTCTCGAGGATGGCGTGCTCGTGCAGAGCGAGCTCTTCGAGGATGAGGTAGCATTGCTTGCCACCGGGGAGCTCGACGCTGTCGACGGCCCGGCGAGGCTGGATTGTTGGTCGGTGGAGACCGTCGAAGGGGATCTTGAGGAAGGCGTCGAGGAGGGAGGACTTGCCGGCACCGGGGGCGCCGACGACGTAGCAGTGCACGACAGTTCTCTCCACCTTGTCGAGGCGCCGACGGCGCTTCCGAGGCTTTGTAATCTTGAGCGCGGAGATTGTCGAGTCCTTGGGGTTGGAGGGCTCGAAACCTAGATATGCTAGGTATTCTAACGTCGTCTTGGGGTCGAGGAAGGTAGTCATGCTCCACTGGGCTAGCCACCCTTGGAGGGTAATGTAGCCGGCTTCATTCCTAACCGTTGAGGTTGGGAACGACGCCTCTATCCACGGCTTCGGCAGGCCAGGTGTAGGGGCGAAGAGCTCCTCAAGCTCGTCCCTATCGAGCACACCGTCCTTATTCCTGTCGAAGAGGAGGAACAGGTCCACAAAGAACTCGTAGCCCGCGGGACTCAGCTCGGCCGAAGAGTATTGGGGCACGTCGAACTTGGGCCGTAGGAGGCTATCTTCTAGACTCAGACTGTCGGTGTACCTATGCTTCCGTAGAATTTTCCAGATGTTGCCATGGTTCCCTCCCTCGGCGTATAGCTTATTCATTTGTAAGAATGCGTGCAGGTCGATACCGGTTTCGAGATCGGCGTCGGGCATAGACTTGTTGATCGCCTTCTTGATACTCGATATCTCTTCGTCTGTGGAAGCCTTGCCGGAGACTTTTACTTCGAGGGTTCGTAGCTCCTCGTCATTGAGAAAGCCGTCGTGATCTTTGTCGCAGAGGTAAAAGACGCGGCGCAGAGCATCCACACAAGCGGGCTTCAGCCGCCCTTCCTTGTAGTCGAACAACGGCGCAAGAGGGTAGGCGACAGCATTCTGGCAGAGTAGGATAGCCTCGACAACGTTGATGTTGAGTTTGGCACTCGTCCGTATACACGTGTCGATTTCTCGGAACTCGGCCATGACAGGCTTCATTTCCTCCTCGGCCACCTGGGAGAAACTTCCCTCGGACGTAAGGTCCGACTTGTTGGAGCATACGACCACGGGTAGGTTAACTCCCAGCGATCGGAAGTATGGCATCCAAAATAGCGCGACCCTTTCATAGCTGTAGTGGTCTGAGTAGACGAGCAGAATGACGTTGGATTTTCTTATCTCTTTACGAAGGGTGGTTCGGTCTTGGGGTCGGGCGGAGGTATCGACGATGGTAGTGGTCCCTGCATTGCCGATATTCGGGGGTAGGGTCACGGCGGGAAGGACAGGTTGGATCTTGCCGGGCGTGAAGACGCCTTTGACAAAGGTTGCGATGAGGCTCGACTTGCCGGTGCTCTCATCTCCGCACACGCATATTCTCACTACACAGACAATAGAACCATTAATAACCAATTCTTGCCGGGTGTTCGGAAGACCGAGGCTATTTGGAGGTCTCGGGAAGGGCGGAGAGGCGAATCGAGAGAGATCGAACCTGATGTCATGGCAGCTTAAATTCTTAATTCCCGCGGAGCTCTAGGAATGGATCCCGCATTCGCAGGTTCAGGTCGTGGAGGGGCGAAGAGCAGATGTCTGGAAAGTGAAAACGCCGGGCTAGGATGGATTTTGAAGTGGGTGGTCTAGAGTTCAGAAGTCAAAATATAATTCTGAGAGACCATGGGATGGCCGGATGTGGTGAGGGAAAAGATGAGCTGAGCTCTGGAAGACGAGGGTCGAAGCCGCGGAAGTGGGCCATGAAGCCACCTGAGTCCAAAAAAAGAAGGAATCAGAAGGAATCAAAATAATTTGATGGGGAACAGCTGCGGCGGGCGCGATGCGGGTAATGGTGACGGTGTATTAGGTACCTAAACTATTGCGATAGCACAACATTTCTACCATTTCTACAGGGCAATCTCCGCACATTCGAGGTACTGGATACCCATTGTCTAGCTTCCACCAACCACTGGAAAGCCCGGCGTTAAGAACGTGGGGAGCTGAGGACCCCGACGTCTCAATACGACACTGCCAGACCGCACTACGAATGACATTGATATGCATTGAGGATCCATCCATGATGCTCGATTAGTGGATGAATTCTTTACCTTATTATTTATTCTAAAAATTTGAAGCCTCAACTCTTACAATTCAAACAAAGCAGAAGTGTTTTGTTCAATAAGAAATGATAATAGCCGCGAGCCCTAGTCGAGTCGCTCTCAACATCCTGCCGTTTTCCACCATCCGCTATCCTCCTCTGGGTCGGTGTATTATTGTCCAGAGGACGAAGAATGGGTGAAGTCTCGACACTGCTTGTGACGCGCTAGTTCCTTGGACCACGACATTGAGGGATAAATAGTCTTGCGTGCATTGAGGAATTGTATGTTCATCCATAATAATGTGTATCTGCATGTGCACTTCTCTCATCGTCCGGGCTTGGCCGTGGCCCTCAAACGATACTTGAAAGGTGTTACATCTTTTCAAGCCCCCGAGAGATGTGACCCGATACTCCCCATCAATGACGGCTTGAGTACCTTTGAAGTGTGCTGTGTGTGAGAGAGCCGCTATTCGATCTGCATGAACCTCTGCAACCATCACTGGAACCAGTTGCGCCTTAATCGACGTCGATCTTCAGATGTTACAATTACCCTCTGCGAGATGCGAATTCTCGAGCCTGAATGGGGAGTTGAAGACGACAAGAAGACTAGTGTTTAGTTACTGAGAGAAAACTGGCAAGTCGTTGACATCAATGCAACTTATAATATCGATCCAATATTACCCGGTCGTTGCGGTTGCGCTGGGTCCCTGTCGCCAACTTGCCCCGCCCTTTAGAGTGGTTTGGTCCCAGCAATCTGGACAACCAACGACATCGACCGGAAACGTCAACTCGACTTCACTTGAACCCTCATTATCGCCAACGCCGAAAGCCCGCTCGCGCCAGTTTCGTGCTCCCCGGAGCAGTAATCTTAATACCGAGCTGACCTCTCGATACCGACTGTAGCGACAAGTCCAACCATTCAGTAGCGAATCCGCGACATACTCCACTTCCACCACGCACTGCTGTGACCACCTTACGCAGCAGCCGCATCCTTCGCCTCGCCGCCTCGTTGCCGCCTCGACCGTAAATAATTGTCGCTCGGGTTAGCACAGGGCCCACGCATACTCAGCCCAGCTTCGGAGGAACAGTAGAGGCCAGATACCCCGCCATGTTGTAGGTCGAGCTCCCCTCACCCGCGCACACCGTCCTTTGTGCCCTTGGCATGCAACGATCCTCGTCCTCCTCCGGCTGTTCCCGACTTGGAACCATGCACTCCCTTCCTGCCCTACAAGATCCCGCCCCGAGAACGTCTAGCTGAAGTTCTATGCACTAATCTTTTTCGTAACCCCTAATCTTTGCAGTGTCCTACCTCCGCCTCCTCGATACCCCTCGCAAGCGAGCTACGGTCTCGCCAACGCCGGTCTCTTTCCGCTCATCGAGACGAATAATATACTTACGAACCCGACGGGACCCGAGTATCAGTTTCTAGTCGGAGAAGGTGGATATACTCCTTGGCGGCTCTCTACTTCGCGGCTTCTGTTCTAAGGGCTACACCCCAACCGATCACACATACTAACCACGACATCTGGATAGGCACCTATGTGCTCAAGGAGGACCTCCTCCTAGCTACTCCCCCAGCGCATCCCTCCGAAATTCCAAACGCGAATCCAAACCCCCTCGCGACTACCCCCCAGCCCGCCACATCCGGGTGTAGGCCAACGCTCGTGAGCCTCGACGTGCGCCACGCACCACGATTCTTCCTCGGGTCCTCGAACACGACACTCTCACTGAACGGCGCCCCTGAGAGCATTCAAGAGCATCCGAACGAGAGCCGATATTCCAATGAGCTCGGTGCACTTAGCAGCGACGAGGGACGGGGGACTTCTACGAGCGACGCTCCGCCCACGACGGTGACGCTGGGGTCTAGCACGCCGGCGTTTGGCGAGGGAAATGCGCTTTTAACACCTAACGTAAACCCCAAAGATGCGAACAAGAAGAGGAAGCCGAAGAGCAATATGAGCAAGAGCAACTCGTCGTTTATATCGCGGGTTATTGGGAATGATATGCTCTCGAAGAGGTTGCAGGATCGGCCCTCTGACGGCATCTTTGCCTTTGCGAACGTCAACCGCTCGTTTCAATGGCTCGACTTGTCGTCTCCTACTAAGGTATGGACCATGGACGATGTCATCCTTCTCCGACAGCTACCCGTCGGCCTCGGGACCGTCGCACTCCAGGCTTCTTCCTACTTTTCGATCTTCGCTGACCGTTCCTTGTTTTTCTGATGCAGAATGAATATCTCACCAAGATTCTCTTCACAAAAGCCCATTGCATATGTCACGATGTGAATCATGTCACAAAGGCTCCCAACCATATAGATATGATCATGGGATTCTCAAGTGGTGATATTATATGGTGGGAGCCAATCTCCCAGCGATACACAAGGGTGAATAAAAATGTATGAATCTGACATGCCTCTCACTTTTGCAACAAGGACAAACTTACAACATTTTTTAGGGTGTTATCAATGCCACGCCCGTTTCCGAGATCAAGTGGATCCCGGGATCTGAAAACCTGTTCCTCGCCGCGCATATGGACGGCTCCCTAATAGTCTACGACAAAGAAAAGGAGGACGCGGCTTTCAACGCTAGCGAAGAGAGCGCGTCCTCCAGCGGCGAGGTAGCTGCTCAGCCTAGTAGCGGCAAACGAGTAAACTACTCGAAGCAGATCGAGGTGAACAAATCCGTCTACTCCAAGAACCAAAAGTCCAACCCGGTAGCTCTGTGGAAGGTTTCGAACCAGCGAATTAACGCGTTCGCGTTCTCGCCTGACAACCGCCACTTGGCTGTTGTTTCTGAAGATGGAACGCTTAGAATTATCGACTACTTAAAGGAGAGGTATGCAAAGCAGATATATTGAAGTGCAATCCTGCCCAAGGAATGCTCTTTAGCTCTCTCAATGCTAACCACTAATCTTCCAACCTATACAGGCTGCTTGATCTCTTCTACTCTTACTACGGCGGTCTGACGTGCGTATGCTGGTCTCCGGACGGCAAATATGTCTTGACCGGAGGCCAAGATGATCTCATCTCGATCTGGTCCGTTGCCGAGTCGGCCATCGTCGCCAGATGTCAGGGACACCAGTCGTGGGTAACCGCGGTTGCGTTTGATCCGTGGAGGTGCGACGACAGGAACTACCGTTTCGGGAGCGTTGGCGAAGACTGCAGGCTGTGCTTGTGGGATTTCAACGTCGGGATGATCCATCGTCCAAAGGCGGTGAGTTTCTTTCCTTCATTTCCTTTTTCTCAGCTTGCCCATTGTATGAAGCGGTCCAACTAACACCCAACTCACTCGCTAGGTCTCCGTGTTGCATCGCGCCTCGATATCATCGAAGCTCACTAACCCCCAACAGCGTCTCGAGACGACAAACACCAAGTCTTCTAACCGAGGGAGAGCCGGTTCCAATGCTTCGGCTGACGGGGAAGAAGACATTAGCGAGAGCGTCAGCCATCCCGTCGAGCCACGGTCTCGGACAGCAATGCTACCGCCCGTTTCGGTATGGCTTCCGCCCTCCTTTTTTTGTTCACGAGGTGTTTCTACGCCACTTCGAGAAGGGGTAATTTTTTTTACTAACTGGTGAAATACCATGTTTCTAGACGCAGGTAGTTGATACACACCCCATCGCCTGGTTGGAGTTTACCGAAGACTCTGTCATGACTAGCTGCAAGTCGGGTAAGCAAAACTAGTTTTCCCCCCTTCGTAATGGTGTGAGACAATCCAAGGTGAACGGATTGCCGAGGTCTGTTGTTCGGTATGTCTAACACGATTTTAACCAGGCCATATTCGGACTTGGAGTCGTCCGACCGATTTGGTCGCTTGACCGCGTTGCCGTGGCATTTATTGGGCATAGAGAGGCGACCGTATGGTTTTGGGCTGTTCAAACTCATCCAGTCAAGCTCTCTCTGGGTCTCTCTGTGTTTACTTGTTTTGAGTTGAGAATTCAATTGTACATACTCCGTACTTCGTACTTCGTAGCGAAAGGGTGGCATTTGCACTGAATTGGGCATGTTAATCATTTCCATTTCATACAAATTTTTCCAAACTAATCAATCCCAGTCCGGTTTGAGCAGGTGAGAGGGTCCATGTATCCTCACGCCATTCATGCCGGTACTTCGTACGTCGTACGTCGTCGCTCCTCGTCCCTTGTCTTCACAAAAAAATTGATCCCGGATCCGATCAAAATCTACCCAGTGCCGGCAACCTCCGAAAGGCAAGACGGGCGAGCTAACACTCAGCGACAAGGTACAAGTCAGGAGTAGTTTAGCGTAGTTTACTTCGTCCAAGTAAAACTAATCAATCCCGCGCCTCAAGGATGTTCGTACCATTGCCGCGAGAATGACGCCTTCTTGTTTAGTCTCGACCGCCTTTTTATCCCACTCCCGCTCATAGCGGATCGCGGCGTGTTCGATTCATTCTCTCGTTCGGTTCTTCCGTTTGAGGCCCACTTGGCCGTTGGAAAACGACACGGTAAATCAATGCTGAACAGTCTCAAAGAGAGGGTCCTCCGCTGGTGCTTCTTTTTCTTTCTACGCCGTGAGGGGTGTGGTCTGATCAAAGTCCTGCATCTAGAAGATTACTAGCTCGGAAACTAAAAACTGGATCCCAGTGGAATGTTTCGGGATCAGTAAATACCACGCTACGACGTAATTTACGCCCGGCTAATGATTCTTGTCCCTGTCGCCTTGTGTCATCGTGCGCTAAGAACGGATGGTCCTCCCACTACCTTTTTTTCCTCGATGTTACGTATGGGTCGGTGTATTGGATGAACAAAGATTTTCAAGGTGAACTGAGGTCGGATCTCAGCCGATGGCAGCACGTGCGGGAGATGACGGGATCGTGTCGGTGAGGTCATTTGGGGGGTTACGTCGCACCTCCCCGTGGCATTTTCCTTTTTTTTAAACCAATCTTTGGTTGAGGCAGCATTTGAAGCTGTTGGGCGGTTCATGCGCTCCCTTCCCCCCCACGCTTGTGGAGGTCAGGCTGCGAGGTGAAGGAGTCGTAGCATAAACTTTCGTTGTTTGGGGGCCACATGATCGTTCTGCCCTGCTTTTTTTTCGACTTTTTCGTCTTTAACGAAGTACGAAGTGTATGAAGTAGACTTTGTCCAAGCTGGCGCGGGTACCGCGAAGTACGCGGCGTATGTACAAGTACTCGATAGTCGATACCGTCGCAGGGAAGGATTCACTCAAATCAGGATAGGGCTGATGGTTCCCTCGTGCTACTTTTAGCCAGTGAGGGAATGGAACGCGACCATCAATTGAGAAACTAGATTTGGTCGGTGGGGCGCAGGGCCCCTTGGTCGGCTTGGTCGATGATGAGAAAGGGGAGGAACGTGGACAGGTTCCTTGGACGAACGTGGAGCTCAAGTAAGGCCGTGTCAATCCATTTGGTAATTCCATCAAGCTACCATACGAAGGCCCTCTTTCTTTCTTGACCTTACTCGAAAAAGAAAACTAGTCATGGAAGGATGGCCTCCTCAAGATGAACCAGGGCCCTGACGACAACCGCTCGTGCTCCAGATCGGTGCCTCACATCAATCCCATTGTCCATCACTCTCCCAGATGCTGCGGGTGTCCTTGTAAGTTTAGAAACACGAGAGGAGTGTGGATATAGAGTGAGTGGGGGTGCCGGTCCGTATCTGAGCGGTTTGCAACGTTGTAACAGGCTGCTGTTGTTGCCAGCTCTTCGACTCGGCAGAGTTTTTCTATTATATGCTTAAATGGCTAGAAAGTAAATGTGTACAGTATTCTTCCTTGGTAGTCATTCACTTCCAAGGACCAAGGACTACTCCTGCATGATACCAGGGGTGCGAATCATCCCCGGCAGCAGCACGTGGTGAAGAGCGAGATGACAGATTGTAAGTTTACGACGGCTCGGTTAGTATCAATAAATGAGAAGAGACCAATATCGCGGCTGCTTCCCGACGAACCAGCTCCCTAGATTGGGAAATGGGGAGGAAGTTTGCCGAGGGTTGGTGTGGTTTCCAGGAAAGGGATTACGGCCCTAGTAAATCTCATCAGCCCTGCCCTTCATGACGTCCGTCTTTGACGTATTCCCATCTACGAGGACATTCATGATAATGTGGAGCGCTAGTTATTAGGCGAAGCGATTCTTTGAGAACACAAGGACCTTGAATGGCTGGGTATAGTTCGAGTCGGGCCGGCAGCCCGATGCTGTGTAAAAGATGGACAGTTCAACGGCCATGCGAGGAAGGGCCGTGTCATCATCGACATCGCAAATCCTCACAGGTTCATATGAGGTATAAACTGGCTCCGGCCGGACTCGACCATCTATAAACAATACATCTCCTGGGACAATCGAATTGGAGTATCCCTCTGTATTCTCGTAGAAATCACCTCGAGGGCTTCCTCCGTAAGTTATAAGTCAAAGATCAGCACCTGTGTTTCGTCGATCGGCAGGAACGGAGTACATGTATTTTTAGAAGTCACAGTGTGACCAAGATGCTCTCTCTCCATTGACGCGCGGCAAGATCCAAAATGTAGCCAAGTCTCTCAAGGTCTCGGGCTCTCCCGACGCCGTCGCCCGTGCAATGCCGCATGCGGCACATAAATCCGAGCCACCACCACAGGCCCACAAATACGAAGTAGAGATGAATCCGATGAATGATGTAGGAAGTTTAATCCTCGGTATTCCACCGGAGAACACAAAAAAAGGAACGAGCCAGGTGTCTCGTCCGACCTCTCTGGGGCTTACGGACAGTTGTTGATCATCCCGTCCAAGCGCATTCACGTATCATTGGGAGCACGCTTCAGCTAGAGTGACACTTCATCAGGGCGACGCATTCGGGAGCAATTGGAGTGGCTCTCGGGGTGCCTAAGCATTCGGCGCATCATGGCGTCTGTCTTAAAGCTGCGGAAGCATAGTGTCAACAAACCCAACGGGCCTGCGCACAAGTTTCATCTCACACGCTACTTCCGGCATTTGTTAGCCACAACGATTAGGTTCAGTAGCATCGGCACTTCTAGAGTGTACGCTATGCGTAGGGAAGGGCAACTACGCCGATCACGGGGGTTCGGCGATAGTGTACTTCACATATCGAATGTGGCTTTCCCTCCGTGAAGTGGGGAGCAAAAGTTGGCTTGAGAGGTTGTGGTGTAGAAAATGGTATGCTGGGTGGGTGACGAAGGTATTCCGGGTTGGCATCGTAACATCGGAATCTCCACGGCACCGAATCTTCGATCAGAACGTGCCTAGATTTGGCGCGATCTTAACTCGTGCGAAGTACTCCACTGCCTAACTACGAAGCAGTGTGAGGCGAAACCTGAGGTTTACTTCGTAAGTTTACTCTGCCCCTGGGAGGCTGGTGTCGATCTTTGGCATTCAGCGCACCGGGCAGAACTCGGAGTCGTTTCGGCGATTGAGAAAAAAGATATTCCGAAAGTGGAGCATCGAGGAAAGCCCCTGAAGATGACGACAGTGGTTGCATGAAATGGCGAACCAAGGAGCAAAAATCAACATTGAATTTTTGAAGTTGAATCCTTCTCACACTTGTGTCTGTCCAATCGCCGGAGCAGTTGGCGATAGAAAAATTTTCCATTAATGGGACCCATTCTTTCACTACCGGGATCTCTAATCCACTCGCTTACGCTAGCTGCACAGCATTTCATTTTTTTTTTCTTTCTCCCCCCTGGCAGTTGACTTTGAGTGATCGCAAGCTAAAAGCTTAACACCGAACACCGACCCACGACCTCGCGAGCCACCGCCGGTCAAGGCAGTTTAAGTGATGACCCACTGGGCCAGGGGAGGGGTGCGTTGATAAGATCAATGCTACTTCGCAGGTCCCATCAGGTTCGACATCCATGGAAGAATCTTTTTTTACGCGCCAACGAGTGGATAAGGTGGGTACGGGAAGAAGCGGAAAGCCTGTCGCCGCACAGAAAATGGGGCTTCTTCCCTCATGAACGAAGACCTCATCAATTAATTGTTCCAAGATCAGGCCAGGCCTTCGTTCTAGCACATCGTCAAGCCGGTGGAAGAAGTGGGGATTCCAGTGAGTCATCGACGTTGTTTCTGACAATGCGACTGCAATGATTCCGGGATTGCCCCCATGCCGAGATCTTCATCGAAGCCTAGATATCGGAGTGGTAGCTTACTTCGACCTTCGAGCACTGGAACTGTGAGCAGATGGAACAACAATGGAATGCAGGTCCCATTAGACAATGTACCGTGGGAAAAAGCAGCAGTGCTGAATTATGGAACTTCGAGTTCTTGTATCATGCCTAATCTCACAATCGGACGTTCTCAGAGAACGTCGAGATACATGCTTCTGAGGATAACAACTTGAATCGCGTCGTTCCTCGTATCATGGAGACGATCTAGAAGGAGTACGAGATCTTGTAGTTTAAACTAGGTACCAGGGCAACGGACAAAGTGACGTCCCACAACGCAAGGCACCGGACACGATGCCCCACGCAGTGATGTCTGACCCTCGCCTCCGAAACAAGACATTGTATCCAACACTTGAATCCCGAACCACCACGGATTTGCCAGATTTATACCGGGCAGCATTGTCGGGCTGGGGTGAAGTAGACTCAATTCCTAGCTGTCGATTAAACGCAGATAATTAGGAATAAATCGGATTGAAACGGGGATAATGTTTATTCGAAAGAACGTCTTCTCTCTGCAGTAAAGAGGAAAACCGATGTTCCATAGCTCTGCCTGCCAG